GAGATATAAACCAACTTTTCAAGGAATGTCAATCTGCGGTGGATGTTATAGGGGGGCGGACAACCAGATCTCTAGATTCCTGATAACACTTAAATAAAAGCATACAAGAAGGTAAGATATAAAAATGGTTAAATATCCTTCTCTACCTTATGGTACCGGTTCGTGGCATTTGCTCCGCACTGAATAGCTCTTGACTTTTATCTATGTATTATGGAGTGGTGTAGAAAATGGTGTGAAGTCCCCCGCCTGTAACAAGATAAGAAAACTGAGCCTCCTGCAGATTGGGAGCTGTCCAACAAGTCTGTGAGTCATTATAGTAAGTGATAAGGATGGCACTGCCTGTGTGGCACAGCTAATCACAACTATAAGATTTAATGCCACCGAGAGGGAACAGCAGTATTCTGATGAGCTATTAAAGTATTTTTATTAAACATACGTGCATTTTCAAAATCTGAAGAATGACTTAGGATGAGGCCTTGAAATCCTATACAAAAAAAAAAAAAAGAAAAGAAGAGAACTTAAATGAGCCACTCCAGCTTATGACGGAGTGTATGAATTTGCGGTTCCAGCGATCGCTGTAGGAAGAACGTTTTGGGTGTTTTACAGCCTGACACAGCTCGAATCCAACTTTCCTGTATCTATTTTCCAAATTTGAACAGAATGACTAAAAGTTTTTCTCAAAACTCTGCAGCAGCACAAGCTGGTATACTACCGGCGTTGAATGAAATACGCTTCATCCTGCACCTCATAAGGTGGTAAGGGCACCGCGCTGGAAGAGAGCTCTATGCTCAGCGGCAGAACCGCACTACTACATATCCGCGCGGCGCGACGGGGTCACCCCTGTAATCCTCTGGCACTTGGGAGGAACAGGTGGATCACTCCAAGGTCACGAGTTCGACAACCCAGCCTGAGCAGAGACGACGACCCCGTCTCGCTACTCCAACCAGTAGAAGAAATTAATTGGCCAAACCTACAAAACCCCACACTAGTGTGGGGTTTTGTAGGTTTGGCCAATTAATTCTCTTCTACTTTGAGTAGTCGAGACGGGGTCGTCGTCTCTGCTCAGGCTGGTTTCGAACTCGTGACCTTGGTGATCCACCTGTGGTCCTCCCAGAGTGCCAAGGATTACAGGTGGTGAGCCCCGTCGCCGGCGCGGATATGTAGTAGTCTTTCTGCCGCTGACATGAGCTCTCTCCAGCCGGTGCCCTTCCACCTTTATAGGTGCAGGATGACAGCGGTATTCATTCAACGCCGGGGTAGTATACAGCTGTTGTGCTGCTTGTCAGAGTTTTTGAGAAAACTCTTTATCATTCTGTTCAAATGGAAAATAGGATACAGGAAATTTATTCAGCTTGTCAGCTGTAAACACTCCAAACGTTCTTCCTACATGCGATCGCTGGAACCCAAATTCTACACATCCGTCAAAGCCTGGTATGCTCATTTAAGTTCTTCTTCTTTTCTTTTTTTTTTTTTTGTATAGGATTCAAGGCCTCATCCTACGTCATTCTTCAGCATTTTGAAAGATGCCGTATGTTTATAAAAACTTTAATAGGTCATCAGAACTACTGCTGTTCCCTCTCCGGGCTGGCAGTAATTTAATAGTTGTGATTAGCTGTGCCACACAGGCAGTGCCATCGCTTTCACTTACTTAATGACTCACCAGACTGGGACAGTCTCAATCTCGCAGAGCGCTCAGTTTCTCTTATCTGTACATGGGGGATTCACACCATTTCTACACCACTCCATAATACATAGATAAAAGTCAAGAGCTATTCAGTGCGGAGCAAATGCCACGAACCGGTACCATAAGGTAGAGAAGGATATTTAACCATTTTTATATCTTACCTTCTTGTATGCTTTTATTTAAGTGTTATCAGGAATCTAGAGATCTGGTTGTCCGCCCCCCTATAACATCCACCGCAGATTGACATTCCTTGAAAAGTTGGTTTATATCTCGGGGGGTGTCAGTTAAGCTCCTAACACCCACACGTGGGCAAGGGGGCAGGACCGCCCTTGGTTTTGCCTACTGCTAGGGGCCCAATGTCTATGTCCCTTTAAAATACATATGTCGAAATTGAGAACTAAAATAAAATCTTAAGCCCCTAACCCCCAGATGACAGAATGGACCCCCCTCTTGGCCAACGGGGACCCCAGGGAAACCTTGGAGCTGAGCTGCTGGCCGTGCGGACCAGGGAGGTGAGACTCGCCTGGTCACGCTCCCCTCCCTTTTGGAGTTGCTCTTTGTAACAATAAAGACACTGAATCGTTAACAGGCCCAAGGCCATGCCAGACAAAGCTTGCTCCACGCCTGCAGACCATCGATGCACTTGACACATCCCTCGAGTCCGGTGTGTGTCCATATATGTCTGTGGCTTGTCTCTGATTAACAGACATCCTCAAGGCAAGACATTCCAAGCCTTTAGACGAGGTTTCATTTTTTAAAACAATTATAAATCAAAGAAGCCTTAAACCCACCTATATTCTATAGGCTCCCCCCACCCCCTCCTTTGGGATGTTAGTCATTACTCATTTATTTATCCTCTCTCCAGGAACCTTGGGGAGGAATGCGCCATCTGCCATTCACTCCTCCCCTCTCAATCCTTGGGTCACCACCCTTGGCTAAGTTTCCCGGAACATCCCGGTTGTTGAATGCCATTGCCGGTTCCCAACCGCCCCAACCGCCCCGAGGTGTCTGCCCCCGAGGGCCCTGCCCCTCTTTGTCTGAACTTTCTAGGGGAGAGGGGACTCCTGAGACCAACCGAATCCAGCCCTGTGGTGACGCCTCTTTTCCGTGACGGGGCGTCTGTCTTGGCCTCAGTCTCCTTTTCTGGCTCACTCCCTCTGGGGACGCCAGGGGCCTTAGAGAGGCTCTCCCGGTGAGGAATGGAGGCCTCTGGGCCGGTGGCCAGTGGGGGCCTGAGGCCGGGAGCCCATGCCCGATTCTCGGCCCCAGGCCAGGCTTCAGAGAATTAAGGCCTGGCTGATAGTTTGACTCCAGCAGGCTCATGAGACACCCCGAGACTCGGCTCCCCGGCGGGCCGCTCCCGGGGGGCCTGGCCCTCAGAGGCTGAGGGGGTAATGAAGGTGCTTCAAGTTGCTGAGTTTTAAGGTAATTTGTGACGCAGCAATAGGCACTGCTCTCTCCCAGCCCTATGTCCCTCCCTGACTCTGTCTAGAGCAAGAGTCTTTCTGGGCGACTCTGGGTGGGGGAGCAGGTGGAGGCGGGGACGCCAGTCAGGAGTTGTTCCGAGCCCCCTCGGGTCTCTGAGGGGGGGCGCGGGGGGGCTTTGCGCGTCTCCCTGGCATGGCGCCGTGCTCACAAGTGGTGAGGCTGCCCCCGTCCCCCAAGAAGCCAAAGGCATCTTGGCCAGGTCCCTTTCCACGTTTCCTGCGCTGAGCACAGCGCCCCGCACGCAGAAGGCTCTCGGGGAGCACTTTCTGAATAAATAAACGAACACTAAAGTGACTGATAAAGCAAGTTGGCCCTCCCCAACCCAGCACAGACTGGCAGCTCTCGCCCCTCTTTACCATTGCTAGCAGTAGCCCCGCCTGGGCACCTGCACTTAAATAAATCTACGTGTGACCCCGGACCCCAATCCTGAGTCCCGTTCCCACCTCTCCGCCCTGAAAGGGCACCCAAAGTTCCCCATCCTTTGTTCTCTGTGTCTATCTTCAACCCCTGCAGCATACCCCTCCCGCGCCCAGAGCACTTACACATCAGCTTTCTGGTTTGAAAAATTAAAAGTCCTTAGAGAACATAAATAAAAGATACCCATGTGCTTCCTAAGTATTCCCCACAGCCAGCGGCCCCTTGATGAACTGGACTCAAGCAAGACTTTTTCTTGAAAGAAACGTTACTGCTTTTTCCATACATACATCTCCACTGAACTCCGAAATTTCTATGTAACTATAATCTGAGAACTAAAGATGATCCCTGAAAGTAAGGTTTTGTACCACTAGATATGGAGAGTCTTTTTTTTTTTTTTTTTTTTTTTTTGTACAGTGGTTGCCATGTAAGGAGAGTCTTTTTAATTTTTTTTCTTTGTTGCCCAGGCTAGAGTGCTGTGGCGTCAGCCTCGCTCACGGCAACCTCCAACTCCTGGGCTCAAGCGATCCTCCTGCCTCAGCCTCCCGAGCAGCTGGGACTACAGGCATGCGCCACCGTACCCGGCTAATTTTTTCCATATATATTTTTAGTTTGCCAATTAATTTCTTTCTACTTATAGTAGAGATGGGGGTCTCGCTCTTGCTCAGGCTGGTTTCGAACTCCTGACCTTGAGTAATCCACCTGCCTCGGCCTCCCAGAGTGCCAGGATTACAGGTGTGAGCCACCGCGCCCGGCTGATATGTAGAGTCTTTCTGCCTGACATGAGGCCTCTCCTCTACCGGGTCCCTACCTTTATAGTGCAGATACAGCGTATCATTCAAAGCCGGGGTGATATACAGCTTGTGCTGCTTGCAGAGTTTTTGCAGAAAACTTTTAGTCATTCTGTTTAAATGGAAAATAGGAACAAGAAATTTATTTCAGCTTGTCAGCTGTAAAAACATCCCAAAAGTTCTTCACTACATCGATTCCTGACCCAAATTCTACACATCCTATAAGCCTGGTACTCATTTTAAGTTCTTCTTCTTTTCTTTTCTTTTCTTTTTTTTTTTTTGGTATAGATTTCAAGGCCTCATCCTACGTCATTACTTTCAGCATTTTTGAAAAGTGCACTGTATGTTCTAATAAAAATACTTTTAATAGCATCATCAGGAACTACTGCTGTTCCCTCTCCGGGCCTGGCATTAAACTTTAATAGTGTGTGATTAGCTGTGCCACACAGGCAGTGCCATCCTGTCTTCACTACTTAATGATTCACAGACGTTGCGCAGGCTCCTCAATCTCCAGGAGCCTCAGTTTCCTTATCTGTACATGGCGGGTGATCACACCATTTACACCACTCCATAAACGTGCACTAACTGGCGGCTTGCCCACGTACCTGGTGCCCTGGTCCTCCCTGTCATCCCTTGAGTGTGCTAAGTAACCATCTGACCCGCTATCTCCACTCTGTTTCTTCTGGCTTTGGTAGGAGGTGTCAGAAGGACCCACACCCATTTCCTTAGGATCATTAGTTTCTGTAAAAGAAAAGAGGTAGGGGGTCAATAGAGATAAAAAAAAAATGTACAAAAAAAAATTCCCCCAATTTCAACTTGGTTAATAACCATCCACTTTTAGTATGGAACACCATACTCTTTAATGTGTAACATTTTTTTTAAAGCATTAGCTAAGACTATGTAAATTTCACTTCTAGGTAGAGTCTCCATAAAAAGTCTCGTACAGGTAAGCAAGGAAATGCGTGCAATGTTACAACGCTTCTGCATGGGTTGTAAAAGCCAAGAACTGTTAACAATGCAAATACCCATCCACAGGGACTGGGCATATAAACCAACGGATTACTCATCCACCTTTGAAAAGGATGCACGAGAACTACCTCTGTCAATGTGGATCATTCTCAGAAACATACATGAAGGGAAAAAAGCAAGTTTTATAACAGGCACAGAATACCGGTTATATAAATTAAAGACATGCAGACCAATGCTATGCACTGTTTAAGGTCACACACATATAGAGAAGTGATTGGAAGAATCCATACAAAATTCTGAACAAGGAAGGAAAGGAATGAGATTAGAAATGGGGGGAGGGACAAAAGGAACGCCAAATTTATGTGAAACAGTTTATTTCTTTAATTTAAAAAGATTGCAAGTAAATACGATAAAAATGCCAATAACTTTCTGTTCTTGGTGGCAATACGTGGGTGCTTGTTATAATGTTCTCTGTGCTTTTGTCTTTAAAATTTTCTCAACAGAAAAAAAAAGCCACGTGAAAAGGAACAGACATGGTGGGAGCATCTTTGATAAAAGGAAAATGAGCACATTCAAAGCCACTCAGTTTTTTAAAAGGCCAATCAAAATCGGCCAATTTGAATGCACTTAATTTTTTTTTTTTTTTTTTGAGACAGAGTCTCACTCTGTTGCCCGGGCTAGAGTGAGTGCCATGGCGTCAGCCTGCTCACAGCAACCTCAAACTCCTGGCTCAAGCGATCCTCCTGCCTCAGCCTCCCGAGTAGCTGGACTACAGGCATGCGCACCAGCCCAGCTAATTTTTTCTATATATACTAGTTGGCCAATTAATTCTTTCTATTATATAGTAGAGATGGGCTCTGCTCTTGCTCAGCTGGTTTCGAACTCCTTGACCTTGAGCATCCGCCTGCCTCGGCTCCCAGAGTGCTAGGATGACAGGCGTTAGCCACCGCGCCGGCCCCAATGCACTTAATTTTAAGGGCTGGTTGGCTGCGCCTTGTGTGTGTGTGTGTGTCCTGTGTCTAATGAACAAGACTAAACGCTCCATGTGTGGGGACTGTGTCTTAAACTCATCAAGTTCTCACTGATCCAAGCTAGCCACAAGAGGCACCAGATAAAGTTTGTGGAATAAAGAAAGAATAGGTGCTCAATATATATATATATTGATTAGTAGTAATAAAGGTACTACCATTTGTTAATGGCCCCCTAATACTGCTGGAAACTTGTATCTTTAATTATCTCTGTTATGTCTCTGATAATTAACCCTGCTTACAGATGAGGAGACTAAAGCTCAGAGACGTTAACTCCTGGCCAACAGCCCAGGAAGCCTTTACTGTGAGCTACAGTCTGAACCCAATGCGGGTGGCTCCAAGGGCCAGTGTCTCTGCACTGGGCAATACCAACTCACAGCTCCTCACCATGGGGTTTGCGTGGGCAGCTGAGCTCAAGATATATTTGCAGACTGGTGTTCAAACATGACACACAAATGAATTTTTTTATCTAATCCTTTAAAGGTTTCCTTTAGGGCCCCAAGCCTAGGGAGCAGGAGGCTGAAGCCTATCTTTCAAGTCCATTCCCGGATACTTTGGTGAGGGGGGGGGCATGGTCACACAGGACCCCAGGCCCCCTAACTCCCTCATTCAGTCTCTCTCCATGTCCGGCACTGGACTAGACGCCTTGAATTCAATCAGGCTGTCCTGCCCTGCCTTAGCATGCAGCCTCCAGGGGGAGAAAGCCTTGCTCTTGCACGGCGAAGGCAATAAACGGATACATTGAAAGCATCAAAGCTGGGAGTGGGGACGACGGTGCGCTGGACAAGGGCCTGGGCTCCGGAGTCAGACTCTCCGTTCTGTCACCGGCCAGCCGGGGCTAACGTGTCTGCAGCGACTTTTACAGCCTCTTAGGTGTCCGCTTGCTCGCGCGCACGGAGCCGGGCGAGGACGCCAAGTGCGGCGCGCCCGGGAGGAAGTGCGGCCTGCTGTTGTCACCGTTACCGTCCGGCCCTGGGAGGAGGCTGGGGCGTCCAGCCGGGTCTGCCCGCCGCCCCCCGCACCCCGGGCGGCGGCTGGCACCTTCCTTGCGGCCCGCCTGGCCCGCGCTGCCGTGGTCGCCCGCGGACGCCTCCTCGCCCGGCTCCCGCTCGCAGCAGCCCGGCTGCGCCGCCGGGTCCGCCGCGGGCTCCGGGTGCATGCTGACTGCCGCAACGCCGACCACCCCGCAGCAGCGGAGAGCCCCGTTCCGCGGCGGCTCCGGCCCCCAGCCCCGCCAGACAGGGCCCCGCTCGCTCCTCTTCTCCGGCCCACCGCGCCGGACCGCGTTAGCAGCCGGACGCTCCCCAGGTCGCCACGGCAACCTCCGCGCACGCGCACTCGGGGCGGGCCGACGGGGCCGGGACCGGGGGGCGGGCCCCGACGGCTCGCCCCTGCGCGTGCGCCGGTCACGTGGGCCGCGCGGCGCGGCAGCTGCGCGGCGGAGACGGGGGCGGCGGCCGCGCGGGTCTGGCGGGACCGGCTTTGGAGAGTGTGCCGCCCAGCAGGTACCGCGCCCCCGTGCCCTCGCCCACCCCCGCGGCGGCCCGCCCGCCCCGGACCCCGCCTCGTGCCCCTCAGCCCCCGCGGCCGCCGCTCGGCTCGACCCCCGGCGGCCTCCGTGCGCCCACCACGCCCCCCGGGCCCCGCCGCGCGGTGGGCCCCGCCGGCCCCCGGAAGTCCTCGTCCCTCCCCTCAGTTACGCCCCTCCCTTCGGGCCGAGCACCCCCAGCCGCGCCCCCCACCCCGGATCTCAGAGCCCCCCACTACCCAGACTCCATCCGCGCGCCCCCCGGAGCCCTCCCGCCCGCTGGCCCTCGCCCCCGGCCCCGGGCCCGCGGACCCTGCCCGGGCTCCTCCCCGGAGGCTTTAGCCATCCGCCGCCTTTATTCTCCTCCCTGAACGACGCGGTGTCGAGTAGGGTTTCGCCGAAAGTGGACGCGAGAGAGAACGGCTGAGCTCGTGGCGGGGAAAGGGCTCGCCGACGCGTGCTGCGGCGGTCGCAGGCTCCGCCAGGACTGCGGGGTTTGCCCGCGCCCGCTGGGCCCTGCCGGGGGGCTGGAGGGGAGGCGCCGTGAGGATGAACGAGGCTTGTCCCGGGTCTAAAGGGACGTGCCCCGCAAACCGGAGCGCGACAGCGCCTCTTGGCGACTGTAGCCGGTGTGTGCAACTTACCGTGAGGCCCACTTGGGGTGGGGGTCTCACAGTGGGGGTCCCCATATCCAGGGTGCTGTGCTTTGATAGACCTTGTTCTGAATTCCAGCCCGGCCTCCTCTTAGCTGTGGGATTCTGGGTCTGCTGTGTTTTTTTTTTTTAAGCTCTGTAAGCCTCAATGTCCCCCTCTGTAAACTGGGGATGATTGTAACTCTTGCCTCATAAAGTTGACGGGAGAATGAAGTGAGACCATAGGAATAAATCACTTAGAGTCTTTTGCATAAAGTGAGCTCTCAGTTTTAACCCTGGTGGCTACAAGTAGCCAACGGCTATTAAAACATCAAACACAGAACACCCTGCTATATGCTAATAGCTAAGGTCTGTTGAGCACTTAGGAACCAACGCTGCTCTGAGTGCTTTATATGGATTACCTCATTTAATTCGCATCATAATCTCAGGCGGGAACAATTATCCCCATTTTCACTGATGGTTTGAGGAAATGTGCAGGGGTGAAGTAACTTCACCTAGGACACACAGCTCTTGAATGGGGAGCTGGATTCCAACCCAGGCAGTCTCTTTTCGGTCTGTGGTTTTAATCACCGCAGGAATATTCCTGGGGCCTAGAGTTTAACAAATGGGTGGTACTTTTTTTCAGTCGGTTTTTAAAGAATGAGATAAAAATTCACGATTTTAGCCATTTTACAGGGTACAACTCAGTAGTTTTTAGTATATTCACAATGCTTTGCAACCATCACCAGTAACTAATTCCAGAACATTTCCATCACACACACAAGAAACCCCAGCCCCATTAGCAGGCATTCCCTATGCCCCCCTCCACGAGCATTCCCCAATCTTTTTTTCTGTTTGTATGGATTTGCCCATTCTGAACATTTCATACCAATGGAATAATACAATATGTGGCCTTTTGTGTTTGTTTTCTATTCCTTAGCAGAACATTTTCAAGGTGGTTCTATGTTATAGCATGTATGAGCACTTCATTCCTTTTTATGGCTGAGTGATATTCCATCGTATGGAGAGACCACATTCTGTTTATTCATTTGTTCATGATAGACATTTTGGTTGTTTCTACCTTTTGGTTATTGTGAATAAGGCTGTTGTGAACATGCATGTACAAGTTTTTATGTGAGCGAAAGCTTACCGTTATCTTGGGAGGGGTGCTATGATTATTATTTTAATTCCTGTTGTACAAATGCAGACATGAAACTGAGGAATATTGGATCTCAGTTTCCAATTCCCATGTTGCTGTTGTTTCTACTCAACCCCCCTGATAGTTTAGTTGTATACCAAGAATTGGCAGCGGAAGGCAAGGAAATTCCAAAATGTCACGATACACCAATGATAACTTTGTCAAAGTGCTGACAAAGTATGAGAAGCTTCTTACATTTTCTTCTTCTCGAGTGAAATTTGAGCTTTGAACACAAAGCAGTATTGGATTCTATTTGTTAAATAAATATAGTATACATAGCACATGCCAAGTGTTGTGGAGGAATATTAAACATGTATGAGATCCCAACCTCATACTATCACAAAGCTCCATGATGATTAAAGACTTAAAATCTGAAAAGCAAAACTGTAAAATTTTTAGAAAATAACGTGGGGACGTATCTTCATGACCTGGGGCTAAGGAGGGATTTCTGAAATAAAACATAATGAGCATAAACCATAAAGGAGAAAGATGAATACATTTGTCTACATGAAAATTAAGACATTCGGTTCATCAAAGGCACTATAAAGAGACACAAAACATACCTGGAGCTAGTATCTAGAATTTGTAAAGATTTCTTATAATTCTGAGTGAAAAAGAGAAGAGGGCAAAAAATAGGAATAGGCATTTCATAGTTTAGAAAACAAACAGCACATAAACATCAAAAGAATTTCAGCCTTATTAGTAACTAGGGAAACATAAATGAAAACCATAAACAATACCATTTCACAGGGAGGGACTTTGACAGGTCTTGGAAGGACAGGTAGGATTTGGAGTACTCAGTGCAAAAATTAAGATTCCTGTGAAAAAATTTTCTAATGAAAACGTCCATAGCCCTGGAGCCTCTGAGAAGCTGGATGATTCCAGCCGTTGATGAAGATGATGAGGGGGCCTCGGGAATGCCCATTCAGTCGGGGTGTTGTGGGATTCTCAGCTCGTCTCTGTACTGTCCTTGCAGCTAGACTGACTGTCTCCCCATCCCTTTATCCACCTGTTCATCTTTATTCCCTGTGGCTGCTGTAACAAATTATTAAATACTAAACGTGGTGGCTTAAGATGGCACACATTTGTTGTCTTTCTTCTGGAGATAAGGGCCTAAAATCATTTTCACTGGGCTAAAGTCAGGGTGTCGGCGTGCTGCTTTCCTTCTAGGGGACAGTCCTTTGCCTTGCCGTTGCCAGCTTCTAGAGGCTGCTACAGTCCTGGGCTGGTGACCTCTCTCCATTTTCAGTACCAGCATCCTACGTGGTGCCTTCAAATTGCACGCTCCCTGACCTTGGCTTCAGTGGTCACGTCCCTTTCTTTGTCTTTGATCTTCCTGCCCCCTCGTAAGGACACACATGATTACGTTGGGCCCACCTGGATAATCCAGGATCATCTCCACATCTTAGGGTCCAGAACTTAACCCCATCTACAGAGTCCCTTTTGCCACATAAGGTAACGTATTTACAGGGTCTGGGTATTAGGACAGAAACTTCGCTGGAGGCCATTACTCAGCCGACCACACTGTCCGTGTTCCAACCTTATGGTGGTGCTTTGATTGCCATCATGCTTGCTTTGTTTTCTTTAAGGACATTTTGGCCAGTCTGTTTCAGATTCTTTTACCTTCCACCCCAGGTCACATTCCTGTTGGTAGCTTGGCGATATCTCTGTGTTTCAGCCAAGACTTTTCTCCCAGAACTCTTGATCCATGAACGTTTTTGTATTGGATTTTATTGCCCTTTGTGCACTGCTAAATCGAGTCAGCTTAATTGTGAAGCAGGATAATGTTACAGGCCACGGCACAGGTGCTTTCAAGAGGTGACTTTGCTCCTTGCAGTTTTGACCATAATTTTCTGCAGTTGTAATGCTTCCTGTAAGTTTTTGGTGACGGTTGCCCTACAGAAGTATAAAATGCCTAAAAGATAAGAGGGAATTGCTCTTCTTTCCTAGTTGGTGACAGTTCTGCTTTTGTTTTGTTACTGATGTTTTTTCTGTAGAGACAAGAAAAAGCTTTACAATTTTTTTTTAATTTAAATTTTTTTATTTTGCCAACTTTATTGAGATATAATTGAGAAATAAAATGGTATATATTTAAGATGTACAGTGTGATACTCTGAGGTATGTATACGTTGTAAAATGATCACCACAATCAAGTTAGTTAACACATTCATCAACTCAGTTGCTTTTTTTCCCCATAGGGAGAACACTTAAAAATCTACCCTCTAAGCAAATTCCAAGTGTACAGTATGTTACCATTTACTATAGTCACTATGCTGTCTGCAGAACTTATTCATCTTATAACTGAATGCTTCTTGGCTATGTTGTTCATTATTCATAAATAGCATGTGAATTTGTCAGTCTTTTTTGAGTTTGGTGCATGTGAGTCAGATCTCTCTGTCTTGAGCTGCCTCTGAGGAAAGATAAACTTGTGTTTCTATACATCAGGGCCGAGGACCAGACCTTGAATGCCATCAGCCCTCCTCTGATTCTCTGTGATTTAAAAAATACATTTGGCAATGGTAGTACATGTTTAAGGTCATGTTAAAATTTCAGGGTGGTGTTCCCCTGACAAGATGGCGAGGTGGGTCTAGTGAGTAGAGGTGAGAAGACGGGCCTCGGTGGCACCACTTTGCTTCTGCTCCCCACTGGAGTGGGTGCACACTCCTCTGCTGGATCTTAGTGGGTCCCTGGTGGGTTTAACATGCAGATTGCTCTTTCTGTAAAAGATCAGAAGAATTTGTTGGTGGTCTGCTCTTGAGCTGGGGAAGGTCTCCTGCCATGTGGAGACTGAGAACTGGACAGGAAAAGACCCTGCCTGTGAGCTGCAGCCAGAGACATGGGGTGCAGCCGAATTCAGCACACAGCTGTTGAGCGCCTTCGCTGTGCCAGGACTTGTGGAAGGTGCTGGAGGAACAGAGAGGAGTGAGATTTGGCCTCCACCCTGGAGGGGCAGCCTGTCGGGTGGAAGGATGGTGGAAGGAGAGGGAAAAAGTGTACCAGCGTTTCCTTTCATTTCTTCCTCTTTGAAGCACCTGACCCACGCACAGCCTGGAGGGGGCTGTCCCTAACACTGCAGATGCCTTCCTCCCTGCCCCCTGTCGGGTGTTAGACAAGCGGAGGGTGCCTGTGCTCAGGTGAGCCAACTGGAACCCTTGCCAGGAATTTGGAATAGAGATGCTAAGGCGGCTGGGCCAATGTGGAAGTTCAAGTGGGGCTGCGGAAGGTGCGTGCAGAGTCCTCAAACTTTTTAAACAGGGCCAGTTCACCGCCCCTCAGCCCGTTGGAAGGCCTTTGGAGAGTGCGGCGCGCATTCCACACATGCACGCTGTGGACCCGGGCGAGTTGGCTGCTAAGCAGGACAGGCAACAGCGGCAAAAACACCCGGTGGGCCGGATAAATGCCCTTGGCGGGCCTCATGTGGCCCGTGGGCCGCAGTTCGAGGACGCCTGGTTCAGAGACAGAACAAGGCCCAAGTGCAACCCAGGCAGGCCTCGAGAGTAGCTTCCCATACACCTGCCTGGCGCCTGTGCCTTGTTTCCCCAAGGACCCTGATGTCTGCACACATTGCCATCTTACTCTGAGTTAATCTGAGTGGGTTTTGGCCCATTGGATGACATGTTCCTTAAGAAGAAGGGTGCAGGAAAGGGGGAGCACGCTGCAGCCGAGCTGGAAGGCCGAGTGGATGTGTGTCCCGCAAACACTGTGATCTTTCTTACTCTGAGCAGGGTGTTTTGCATTTAGCAGATGCCCTGCTGCCCTACAGAGATTCACGGTGTATGAATTTGTGTGCTTTTTTTAATTTTTGAAAAAGTTGCTGTTAGCTTTGTGTAAAGTTTCCCCAGCTGAGCTGTGAGGAAGAAGGAGCGTCTGTTTCCAGTCGGGTCTGTTCGCAGACTGGCCTCAGGGCAGCGCGGGGGAGAACCTGGGGTGCGTAGTGACCAGAGCAGGAAAGCGGGGAGCCCCTTTGTAGTCGGGTACCTTTAGCTAGAGACTTACTTCAAAAATGTTCACATTCTCGGAAAAAATGGGGCTGAAGAGGGAAGACGTCCCCTTGACAGGGCTTTCCGTGGCGTGAGTCACTCCCGGCGCTCCTGGTGGGTCCTTTCCAGCTGGAACCTTCTCTGCACGCTCAGTGCGTGGGTTTCCCGCAGGCATTGCTGTGACTCAGCCCGCACAGCTTGATACGTGGTCACTGGTTTTTCATTGAAAACATCGCTTTAATATCCTAGACTCACACCTACCTGTTATTAGCATAGATTTCATATTCCAAGTGTCTAGGTTTTTTAGTCATAGTTATTTCTAATTTCATGACATTTTGTTTGAGAAGTCCTAGTGTACACAGGTGATCGGTTTTTGCATTTACTTTCCTCACGGCCTTGTGTTTGATTAGTTACAACAAACACTTCATCAGTGTGATTTCAGGAACACCCAGTTTAGGATGGTTTCACATGGAATCTCAGTTTTTGGTGTTCTTATGAGGAATGAATGTTTTGGTCATTTCTTTGGGAGTCTTATGATTATGACTGCTCAGGGACTGCAGCCAGTGTGAAAACTTTGCGACCACGCCTGGCCGAGGGCTCGCCCAGGCAGCCTGGGAAGCAGTCCCTCAGGCGGCAGACGGGGCTCCCTGGCGCCTGGCGTCTGGAAACAGAGGCGTCCTCACACACAGCACAGAAGGAGGAGCATTTCTGAGGCAGATGGTCCTCACTGTGAATGCATTTCAAAGGATTTGGGAGCCATAAGGGGTGTTGCTGCCTGCTGTAGGGATGATTGGTCAGAAAAAGAGAGACATCTTCAGTCCAAATGTCGTTGAACTTGGTATCTCATATTTTAGGTCCGTGGACCTAAATACCGGTACGAGGCCTATTAGGGACCAGGCTGCAGAGCTCCCCAGTCCCCCTGCCCACCGTGGGAAAAATTGCCCTCCACCGAAACCAGTCCCTAGTGTCAAAAGGTTGGGGATCGCTGTTTTTTTTTTTAGGTGATCTCAGCTAGTCTGGTTCGTGAAGACAAATGACCCCAAAGGAGTATTCGTTTTCATGGCTTTCATATTAAGTATTTGGTTATGTGCTTGGTAAAGTTTATAATTCTTTTTTCATGATTAATTTAGGCATTCTCATTGTGGGAAGTGAGTTTCTATGAACAGAACCCCAGTACGTAGCATTTTACCTATAGGAAATAAAGTGGCCCAACATTTTAGTTGAGAAAAACTTTTTTTTAAAACTTAATGCCATGTCAACTTAATTAGTAATATGGTAGCAATGTGCAACTTCATTGTTCGGGGTGTTGTATTCCATTGTGGGGCATTTAGGAGTCCTGCTGCTCACCTGTTTCTTCAGTTTGCATCATAATCCTTTTGTATGTTTTGTTCATAATTTGGACTACACATTCATGTATACATTTATTTAATTATTTTATGTGCCTTTTATCTCAATGTGGAGTCATTCTTCCATGTGTTCCATTTCAGTGCTTATTTTGTTTTGTCCTACATAGTGTTTTGTTTTTTTTTTTACTATGCAAAACTTGGCTAAGCTCAAATTATATTGCATCAGATTAGGAGGGAATCCGTTCGTTCTTCCTTAACCTTATGCCAATTTTTGCTGCTATTGTTGGGTATTTTCTTAGTTTTAGGACTTGCTTTTTTTCCTATCTTAATGGGATTTCTTTAAGGGGGCCATTCCCAGAAGTTTTATATTTCAGTGGGGGTGTTTTTGGCTTAAAATCAACTGTCTTTTTATAATATAAGCTGTATCCTTATACATGTGTTTGTGTATATCTGAGTCCCCTATCATTTCATTTTAGTCTCTTCTAGTCTTAGTGATACTTTGTCCCCCGTAGGTAGTGCACAGCTGGGTCAGACTGCCACGCCTCCCTTGGTGTAGTCTGACGTGAAGCCCACTCACTTAGCCACACCACCAGGGCCCCCCCCCCCCGCACGCCTGGCCTTTGTTTACCTTTGCAGGTTTAGCTCTGATTGCAGGCATACATAGCAAATCATACAGCACTTTAAATTATTTTGTTAAATGTCTGCCTCTTTGCTTAGGCACAATTATTTAATCCATTTTGGAATCCTGTGACTCACAGTACATAGAATGTAGTAGGTGCTTAGTAAGCGCTTACCTATCTGGATACCTACAAAGTTGTACTGGACTTCTCTTTCCTCAAACCTAAGGGGCCAGGCAAATGTGATGGCGTACAAATTAAGTTAGTAAGATGGAGCAGTGCTCACTCTGTTGTCATTTGAGAAAACCATTTCTTTAAGTGTAGTGAGTATCTCTTTTTTTAAAAAATATGTACATTTTTAATGTATATTAAAGTTTTCAAAAGTTTAGTGTTGTCTCTAGTGGATTGTAAGCTCCTTGAGGCTAAGGCCATGTCTTTTTTTTTATTTTTGAGACAGAGTCTCACTCTGTTGCCTGGGCTAGAGTGAGTGCCTTAGCATCAGCCTACCTCACAGCAACCTCAAACCCTCAAACTCCTGGCTCAAGCAATCCTTCTGCCTCAGCCTCCCGAGTAGCTGGGACTACAGGCATGTGCCACCATGCCCGGCTAATTTTTTCTATATGTATTAGTTGGCCAATTAATTTCTTTCTATTTATAGTGGAGACGGGGTCTCGCTCTTGCTCAGGCTGGTTTCGAACTCCTGACCTGGAGCAATCCTCCTGCCTCGGCCTCCCAGAGTGCTAGGATGACAGGCGTGAGCCACCGCGCCCGGCCTAAGGCCATGTCTTGATACTACCTCTGATTCATCTTACTTTGTCTCTATATGAGGAATAGGGCCTCTGCACTTGCCAATTATGGAAAAAGCAGAGGAGTAAGTGTGTCTTCTGGCTGTCATCTGAGTTAAAAAGTCTGTGTCTGTCATTATATTAGACTAGGAGCTTTTTTAGGTTGCAGAGCATATTGTGTTTATCTTGGTAGCCACAACATGTAGCACAGTATCTGAATTTGAGTAGGAATTTGGTAATTCTTGGTAGCTATGTTGATTAATCTCCTTGGAAGAAAAGAACTTTATGAGCTACAAATGCTAAATAATGATATTGTAAATTGACTGGTTCCACAGGCTGCATGCATTTGAAAAGTTATTGTTATGTGAATGCAAAATTGTTAAGATATGATGTTCTTGGATGTCCTCACTCAAACTATGCATGTTCCTTTAATTTATTAAGCAGAGAATACCTCTCTCCTTTCTCTTTCCTGCAGGTTGCCATGGCTGCTGTTGACAGCTTCTACCTCTTGTACCGGGAAATTGCCAGGTCTTGCAACTGTTACATGGAAGCTCTGGCTTTGGTTGGAGCCTGGTATACGGCCAGAAAGAGCATCACCGTCATCTGCGACTTTTACAGCCTGATCAGGCTGCATTTTATCCCTCGTCTGGGGAGCCGAGCAGACTTGATCAAGCAGTACGGAAGATGGGCCGTCGTCAGTGGTAACCTAATTTAAAATGGAGATAATCTTTTCTGTTTAAGTTGTATTTGAAGTCAGAGGCATTTTCAAGGAGCTGTTGAATTTAATGTGATGTTTTCATCGGAACATAACTGATAAAAAAAAAAAAATAAAACGTATGACTCCTGCTCTGACCGTGTTCACATTTTCTTACTGCCCTCATCTTAGGAAGAACTTGCCCCCCATGATTTATATCCCCCTAAATCTGCCCCTTCTATTCCCGGGCCTACTCCGGCCCCATTTCCTACCCCTTTACCTTTGCCTTTTGCTCTCCGTTTCAAAATTGTCCCTAGAAACCACTTTTAGAAGTGCTTTACCTGTTTTGAATTTTATTTTAGTTCATCATTTTAGTTCCCAGAAAAGCCAGATAGAAGTTTGAAAACAGATTCCTGCTGTGTCCCATGGTCCACGTGGTGAATGTGAAACGACTCCTTGCCAGGGTGTCTGGGAGAGTGGTCCGCAGGCATCGTGCACATTATTGACGCAGCACTGTCCTTGACTCGTAAATACTAGAGCTTGCTTTATTGCCGGTGTGAATTTTTCTCTGATTAAACCGGCAGTGGGGTATTTAAGATGCTTCTTAAAGGTCGCACCGCCAGAGCACACTCACTTTTCCTGGCTTGCGTCGCAGGTGCCACAGATGGGATTGGAAAAGCCTACGCTGAAGAGTTAGCGAGCCGGGGTCTCAACATCATCCTGATCAGCAGGAACCAAGAGAAGCTGCAGACTGTTGCTAAAGACATCACCGACACCTACAGAGTGGAAACCGACATCATAGTTGCGGACTTCAGCAGGGGCCGGGAGATCTACGTTCCGATTCGAGAAGCCCTGAAAGACAGAGACGTTGGCATCTTGGTTAATAATGTGGGCGTGTTCTATCCCTACCCCCAGTATTTCACTCAGGTCTCCGAGGACAAACTCTGGGATCTCATAAATGTGAATATTGCCGCTGCTAGTTTGATGGTCCATATAGTGTTACCGGGCATGGTGGAGAGAAAGAAGGGTGCCATCGTCACCATCTCATCTGGCTCCTGCTGCAAGCCCACTCCCCAGCTGGCTGCGTTCTCTGCTTCTAAGGTCAGGTGTTACTTACTGGAAAATGAATCCCTAACTCGGTAGAACGTTCACTAATAATTGCTTGGTCTGATTTGTTGAGCTCTTTGTCAGAAACTGATGTTTGCTTACACTGTATCTTTTCCTAAAAAAGTTTATTTCTCCTAAATTTTCCTTTAAGTTCCTCCCAATTAAAAATTTTTTCCTCCCCTCTGTTTTAACAGGCTTATTTAGACCACTTCAGCAGAGCATTGCAGTATGAATACGCTTCTAAAGGAATCTTCGTGCAGAGTCTCATCCCGTTCTGTGTAGCTACCAACATGACTGTATCTAGCAGCTTCCTGCATAAATGCCCCTGGTTGGTGCCTTCGCCCAAAGTGTACGCACATCATGCTGTTTCTACCCTTGGGATTTCGAAAAGGACCACAGGATACTGGTCCCATTCTATTCAGGTAGCACTGTGTTTTCAGGTCTTGTCATTAAGTTAATGAATTTTAAACTTTTCTAAATGATACGTAGGAATCTGATTGACGCCTGATGTGGAAACATGAGAATTGTAAATTCCAAGTTTTAAACCTGACATTCTTAATGATTTTGGTTAAGACACTAAATTCTCTTTCGTAGGGTAATTAAAAATTTTTTAAAGTTCCAACTATGTGGCATCAAAAAGATGAAATATGCTGCTTTAATATAAGTGGATGATAGGAGAATAAAAATACTATATATATGGGAATTTCACAGTAAAAAAAGATTCTAGTAATGGTTGAGGGATACCAGTAAGTAAATAGTATAATCCATAAAAACATAAAACAGGTCTATATTGTATGTAATAACCATTATGTCAAATAATATCTCAATATATTCTTGGACTTCTTTGTTCAAGAAACATAGAATGTTTTTTACTTATTGATTGATTTTTTTTTTAATGATACACGTTCTATGAAATGAATTGCTAGGCCATTTCATTGTTGTATGGACATCACAGAGTGTACTTACATAAACCTAGACGGTATGGCCTACTGCATGCCTAGGCTATGTGACATAGCCTATTGTTCCTAGGATCCAACCTGTTCAGTAAATTACTATATTGAATATTGTAGGCAGAATTTTTTTTAAAGTTTGTTCAGGCATGACAAAGATTTGGGCCTTTTAGTATTTTAAAAAATAACTTTGTTAAATATTTGAAATTGTGAGTCTTAAGTATTAGTGAGAAAACTTAAGTTTATGTTTCTTTATTTTGCATAGTAAATGGCTGTGCCCTAGTTTAGATTTTTTTCCTTTAATATTTGGAGTTTTCTTAATTACCAAACAAATATTTTTGGGACTGTTTGTATAAAGATTATTAGATTTACCACTACTAAATAAATAAGTAAATCAACAGTTAGTTTTTACTTTATGAAGAGATGTGGCTAACAATTTCTTTAATAAGAAGCAGTTTTATTTAAATGATTGTTTCCACGTCTTTTAATTACTTGAAAAAAGTAGGGAAACCTAAAAAGTAGTCTTAGAAGCCACTGACCATGAAGTTTTCTTTGAATTGAAGATATAATGAGGATGGGGTTTAGATGGAGTAGATATTTTAACTATGTTAATAGAACACCAACATTTTAATCACAATTAAACTTTGTTCACATTGATGAACTTTTCTTCAGAATATATTTTTTTGCCAAGAAATTCTGTTAAGGCGATTTAATGTGTAAAGTTGTTAAAACTTTCCATTTTTTTTCTATTTTTATTTTATCAAATTATTTTCAACCTTACCAATTGTTTACAGTTTTACAACAAAGAATTGAGGCATCAATCGCTATTTGTCCATAGCGGATTTCTCTGATAGCTTTTGCTACTGTGACTTTTCTTTTGTAGTTATCATTTCTTCTGAATACAATTTGCCCAAGTTGCAGAAATCTAAATTTTATCAAGATTTCAATCCTCTGTCAATCTTTAGCCTATAAGAAAGAAGTTTGATATATCAAACATATGATATGAAGTTTTATTTTGTGCCATTTGTTCCAGTTAGTCTCTTACATTGTGAATTAAATAAGAATGATAGTATATATTTATTTCTTGACAAAATATGACCATAGATTGAATATGAAGAAGGGCTGGAGGAAAGGGAGCAGAAAAACATACTCTCAGGTTTATAGCTTCAGAAAGTCAGTGGTGCTGTTTACTCAGCAGGGGAGGAGCTTATGGCAGAAATAGGTGTTCAATGCTGTAGCATCTCAGCGCTTTTTCCTTTGTTGTGTTTTACATGATTAATGGGTATTTGTTTGATTAAATCATATGCTGATCTATGTACTTGTTCCTTCGGTGTTGATGGTTTTGGGTTCTAACATTCTGACCTTTGTCTCTTTCATTTTTAGTTTCTTTTTGCACAGTATATGCCCGAATGGCTGTGGGTGTGGGGAGTGAATATTCTCAACCGTTCATTACGTAAGGAGGCCTTATCCCGCAAAGCGTGAATCTGAGTGCTCGTTTGAGAAGTTTCGCCAGCTCTTGGGAATCTACAGTATTCTGACATTTGGAAAAACATATTTAATTTATCTTATGTATTTTCTTTTATTACTGATTATTTAGCATACTGTTGATTCATCATTTGTAAAGCAAGCATAATACTTTCAGAAAGTGCCGTGAGAAACCTCAAGGGACATGTGGACCGCACAAGAGTCAGTAACAGCCGAGGCATAGGAGCTGACTGAGGAAACGTAAATTAATTTCCATGCTTTTTTCCTAAGCTAGTCAAACATTGTAAAATTTATGTTGTTCTAGGAGCCACGGCAATCTAATATTGAAATATACTTATGACTCGTCAGCTCTTAAAATTTCAGATTTTTTTTTTAAGGAAAACGGCCTGTTTCACTGGATGAATTATGGTTTTCAAATGTTCATGGGAAAAGACTATTGAGAGTGTTATTTTTAACTAAGATTGCTGATATTAGCCGTAAAAATCTGTGTGTATTATATTGCATAGCTCTAGTTGTTTGTTATGAAAATGCTGCACTTCAATTGATATTTCATTAGAGAACTCTGTGTGTGTGTATGTGTGTGTGTGTGTTTGTGTGTGTGCGTGCAACTTTATGGTTACATTACAAAGAATTTTTTGTCAAGATGACTTAACATGGAAACTTATGGGGTATTAAAAATCTAGATTATTCCTTTTAATACTAAACAAGCCTACCAAATTTTGTGCTATAGGTTTGCCATGTATAATATTACTTACTACATTATGGTTTGGGTTTTTCCCCCAAATCTATGGAATGAATTCATTCCTCGATTTGGATATGTAATGGGTAACCCACAGTCATCTTTTGATTTATAAAATAATTATTGTGGATAAGTAGTGATTTCTCAGCCTGTGACCCATTTTATAACTGAAATTTAGCCCTGTAGAGCTTGTTATATCTGGTTTTCATACATTTTTCTATGTAATATTCCATTCCAGTAGCATTATTAATATAAACATCAAGTATTTATGGAATAGTAGTTAAAATTGTAGGACAACTTGTGTGTGTGATATGATGTACTGTCAGAATAATAAGTTAGAAGCTCATTCTTGGTTCATGTAATGAATTTATGCATTATAGTGAATATTTTATTGGTGTGAAGATAATATGCACAAACCCCCACAATGTGGGTTAGCATTGAAACCTACTGTGAAACGTCTTTAGTTCAGGTCCTGTAAAACCAACCATTTTTGAGGAGCACATACCTAGTGCTTTGACATCTGTAAATCACTATATGAATATGACAGTATGTGCCTATTTAAAATTCAGAGCTTAGCATTGTGATGCTTATGCCGCAGCTAGTAAGTTGGTTGAAAGCCTGGACTCCTAGGCATCGTTTTCTCGTGAGGTGATGTTCTGTTACGAGCAGGCCTTAGCACACTTTTATGTTACGCACACAGTTTTCCCCGGGATATTGCCTACAGTATTTCCAGATGTGACTTGGCTTAGATTAGTGGTCAACCTCAGAAGCTCTTCCACTCATGGATCATGTCTTCAAAACATAAGATGTAAAAAACTACACACTTGGAGATACTGTGTAACACCAAAGGTTTGATGGAGTTATCTTGGAATCCTCTTGACTTCATGCCACATTGACATGACTGTAACTGATGTGTAACACACAGTAGCAACTTCATGTAAAAATATTGCCAGATAGTTATATGTAAGGTTATATGGTCCAGTAATGTCTTAGATTTATAAATTTGTTATGGAATCATTGTAATGTGATGAGAATAAGTAAACACACCTTGTCAGTGATGTTTTAAAATTCTCCCCTTGGGAGGACATAGGTAAACGTGCTTAATTGGTAAAAATGTGGTGCAAAGTTGTCCGTAGCTTTAGTGAAATATCAAGACTGAGAATTCCGTTAGGTTTTCTAGCTTTCAGAAAATGTTCCCCCCCACCCCCAGAGTTCATCTGAAAGATAATTGGATCACTGTGGACAGGGTTTTTGATTAAGAATGTGGGAAATGTGAACCTTTGAAAATTAATATGTGAATTGAAAATTTAACAGTAAAAGCAGTTGCTTCTGTTTCCTTTGGAAGAGGTTTTATTCCAAATGTTTGTAAATTGGTTGTTTGGAATGAGAGATACGTTTTTCCTCTCATAGAATGATTACAAAAAATTAACTTGTGAACACCTGTGGTCATAATTCATTAAAAGCTGATACTTTAGTAACACACAATATGCCTAGTAAGTCTTTTTGAAAAATTTGAGATGGGGGTCTTGTTATGTTGCCCAGGCTGGACTCAAATTCCTGAGCTCAGGTGATCTTCCCACTTCAGCCTCCTGAGTAGCTGGTACTACAGGCAAGCACCATTGTGCTTGGCTATGTAGTAAGTCCTCAAAGCTATTAAGTTGATTTTTTTTTTTTTTTTAGACAGAGGACTGCTCTGTTGCCCTGGGTAGAGTGCAGTGGTGTGATCATAGCTCGCCACAACCTCAAACTCCTGGGCTCAAGTGATCCTCCTGCCTCAGCCTCCCAAGTAGCTAGGATTACAGGCACACACCACCACACCTGGCTAATTTGTCTGTTTTAAGTAGAGACAGGGTTTCACTCTTGTTCAGGCTGCTCTTGAACTCCTGAGCTCAAGCAATCCTCCCGCCTCAGCCTCCCAGAGTGCCACGATTACAGGTGTGAGCCACCTCGCCCAGCCTAAGTTGATTTCCTGATCATTCTCCTGTTAGGTTGTGTAAGATGAAGGTTGATTTGATCACTGAATTTAACAATGTAGAGATCACGGGGGATTTTCCCATGCGCCATTTCAGTCAAGTGGTGAGGATGAAAGCTAGATTGTCGTGGGTTCAAGAAAGCATAGGAAGAAAAGGACAGCAAATAGAGACAGCTCTTAGGAAACTTTTTTGTTTTTTCCTAAACTCAATTACTTACAATCTTGTCACATATGGGAACCAGAGGGTTAGGCTGTATGTCCTCAGTCTTTACATTCTGTGTCCTCCAAAACAAATTTGTCTCTCTTTGTTTCAGTATTGGCTCACCTGTTATTTTTTTTCTTAAGATACACATATGTTTAATGTGTATAAAGGCAAGGAAAGGACAGCCCCAAATTTGATAGAAATACTACATAATTCCTATGGTGGAGTTGGGAAGGAAGGGAGGACAAGCTATTGCTTCTACACCCAAACATGTACAGAAATAACGTACATAGCAACCCCCACCTGCAAGGATGATGTAGCTCTCCGCCCAGCTCCCAGGGTTAGGGGCATGTGAGAAAAACAGCACCATGGGAACAACATAGGCCCCAATGCTGGTGGGAGTGAGAGGGCCACCAATCTAGGGGAAAGGGGGCCGCGAGGAGGCCTTGAGGTCATAGCAGCTTGTCCACCACGGAACGGGTGTAGTGGAGGCAGCTGGCCAGCCCCTTGCAGCAGCTATACTCCTCTAGTAGGCTCAGGTGGTACGTGCTGTTGTCACACAGCCCATACCTGAGGCCGTACTTGTCAGTATAGGCCACCCACTTGCTGACTCAGAAGATGGGGTGCAGGCGGGATCCTCAGCCGCATCTTGCCTCACCAGCCCCCACTCAGAGGGCTTGGAGACACTGACGCAGTGTGGCTGCTCCTGCATGCCACCAGGGTGGCATCGAGTCTCACCTGTTTCCCAAGCCTCTGGTTCCTTTTTTTCCTGGGGTGGTTTGGCAGGAGGTTCTTCATGCCTTTATTGATGACCATGAGAAGCTTCCGGTTGCTGGGGTGCAGGCTGTGGGGATGGCTTGAGAACTTCAGTGGAATGATGAGGCAGGGGTGGGCAGTAGGTCCATTTGGAGCCTCTGTCTGGATAAGAGAGGTAGCCATGGGGTTGAAGGGCTGGGGAATACTGTGTTCTTAATCTAGAGGCAGGTTTCTTTTAGACAAGAGGTCTCAAAAAGTGGTTTCCCTGCTAGCAGGGTATGCACGTGTCTACCTCAAAACTGCCCTTCATTGCTCAGCATCTCGGGAGCTACATACTTAGGAATCCCATTCAGGATTGGTCTCTCTCTGCCTTCCCCTCGTGCTCTACTTCGGATGCCAGTCCCAGATCCCGTTTTCACTTCTAGATCCTCGTTCAGGAAGACATCCAGTGTGAGGTCCTGGTGAATAACCTGCTCTCGGTGCAGGCACTGGCAGCCAAGGACGGTCTGTCTCGGGCGGGAGTGCCCTCGGGCTCGGTCAGTGCTTTCCTCCTCTTGTGCAGCTCCAGGAGAAACCTCAGGTGGCAGAGCTCCAACACCACGAACATGAAGTTGATGTCCTCGGAAAAGCTGTGGAAACCTAAGGCGTGCTGGTGGGTGAGCTTTAATGGCTATGGTGAATGGATATCTCCACGGATGTTTTCTCCTGGTGTGGACTGAGCAGCAGAGACTTAGGCATGACCTTACGTTCGCTCACTGATTTTGGCAAAGCTACCTTTGCCCCAAAAGCTGCCTGCACATAGCGTGGCCGGCTGCACAAGTCCACTAGGACCTCTGGGATCTCTTTTACTGGCTGATCAGCTGTCCTGACCCCAGGAGCCACAACTCCAGGGAGGCTTTCCCCAGATCACCTGGTGCCTGCACCAGCGGCTGTTATTCTTTAAAATAACATTTCATTTGAATAAAGATTTACCTTATGAAATTGCAAGTGCTTTATTCTGTATATGTGCATGAGTTTAGAAGTTATTTTAGAGCCCAGAGTGGTAGAAAAACCACTGGTGGTAGACCAGGATCCCGTAGCTCCGCCTTTGAATCTCCAAGTGACTTCTCTCTCCCCTGTGCCCAGCCCCCTTCAATCATAGGCATTCTCAGGAACTGGCAATATTATTCTCTTCCCTGATTTGGGGCTTCACTGTCACATGACAATGGTGTTTGCAATTCACTAGTCTACCCTGGTTCCTAACAGTAGGGCTGTGTGTTCAGTGGCATAGTGACTACGGGGCTGTTAAAAAGACCCTGGACAAGATTAATTTACCCAAAGTTAGAACAGAATGACACAAGATCAAATGCATTATGTGTCGGCAAAGAAAGTTCCTCATTATGAAGGTTTGTAAATGCAAAAATTCAAGAATTCTCTGAAAAATTTAATAAAATCATGAGATATGAGACAGGAAAGGACTTACGAATCCACCATCATTTATTGAATCGTTTTTGTAATTTTTATTTATTTTTTTGAGACAGAGGCTTACTCTGCCCTGGCTAGAGTACCGTGGTGTCAGCCTAGCTCACAGCAACCTCAAACTCCTGGGCTCAAGTGATCCTCCTGCCTCAGCCTTGCAAGTAGCTGGGACTACAGGCATTCGCCACCATGCCCAGCTCATTTTTTCAATATATTTTTAGTTGGCCAATTAATTTCTTTCTATTTTTAGTAGAGATGGGGTCTTGCTCTTGCTCAGGCTGGTCTGGAACTCCTGAGCTCAAACCATCGACCTGCCTGGGCCTCCCAGAGTGGCAGGATTACAGGCGTGAGCCACCGCGCCTGGTCCATTTATTGAATCTTAATGTGAACCAAGCACATTATGTGTGTGTTTCATTTAACCCTCATCCTTTAAGTGTCAGTATTCCTTTCTTTGGGGTGAGGAAGCTGATTAAACAACTTGCTCAAAATTACAAAGTAGATGTCTGCAGTGTGATATGGTCATTGCAATCCTGTATTTATCCATTATGTCAAATCAATTTTGTAAAATCATGTTAAAGGGGAGATGAAACACTATGATTTCTTGTCATTGGTGCCATTCAGCATTACTATGGTGCGGTGGAAAGTTCAGAAAAGATACAAAACAATTCTGACGATAGCACATCATTGCCCACTAGCATTACCTAGAAAAATGCTTTCAGCGCCTCAGTTTTGCCCAGTACCAAGTGTGGGCCGGTTCAACATTTAGACTGGAAACAACTTGAGATTCTAGTATCTGAATCACCCATATATATTTTGGGATGTAAACTTTTCAGAGTTTTGGCACGTTCATCCTTGTTTCTTCAGAAGGGCAAACATTTAGCATTACAGAAATTCTCCCTGTTTCCCAAGGCACAGGTACCCCCGGCGGCAGGTGTGCGCTGGGCTATCGGGAGGCCCTGTCAAGGGTCAAGCCGAGGCCGTGAGGGGGTTAGAAGGTCGTGGGGATGGGATTTGGGGGTTCTCACGTCAGGTCGAGTCAATCTGCTCAGGATTCGAGCCCCCACCGGGCACCTTCGCTGCCACATTGGTAAGACAGAGCTGTCCCGAGTACGCGAGGGGTGTGGACTGCGAGCCGCCCCAGGTTGCAAGAACCACGAGCCTGACTCGGACGCGGACACCTGCACCGGAGAAATGAGCTTTCAACACGTTTAAGGCAAAATGTGAGTGGGGGCGGGGCTTTCCGCCGGCGTCGTCCTTTCTAGAACCTGGCCCAGCTCAGCCGCCTTCAGGCCCGTGCTTATTTTCCGAGCTTCCGGCCTCAAAGCCCGGCGAATTCCAAGCCCGCGCGTTAAATCGGCCCATCCCCACCGCCTCACACCATGTTCCGGCATGTTGGCCGCGCTCCCTTCCGCTCCGTGCCCGGGGCCGGAAATGTCGCGAGACCTCCGTCCGTCCTCCCGGCCCCGGCCCGCGGTCTTCGGCGTCCAGAGCGCGCACGCAGGCGCGGGGCACGCAGGGCACGCAGGGGCGGCGGAGCCGGCGCTCCCCGCCGTGGTCCTCCTTGCCCCCGTCGCGCGGTCTCGCGAGAGTTGGGAGTAAACAGCCCCGAATGGAGAGCCGAGGCGTGTTCGCCGCTGAGGCGCCGTTATCTCGGGCCCGCCGGACCGGGGCTTGAGGCGGCCCAGGTACGTCAGCCGCCCGCGCGCTCGGGCGCCCCCGAGGCTGCCGCCCCTGCCACCTGCCGGGCCGCGGCCGTCCGCGCGCTCAGGTGGGCCGCTTGTGCCCGAGCCCGCGCCAGGCGGGGGCTGCGCGGCCGCGGCCGGGTGCTGGGGTCCGCGCTGCGACCGGGCGGCGGGCGTCGCGGGGCCTGGCACCTGCGGGCGGGCCCCGCGGCCCAGGTAGGCGTCGGCGCGCCGGGCTCTGTGGCAGTGCGTTCTCGGACCTCGCGCGACAGCCGCCGCCGCCGCGGCTCGCGGGGTGTGCGTCCTGCGGGCCCTCTCTGCGGGGCGGCACGGGTCGGCGGCTTGCTCAGTGTCCTTATTTTCTTTACGTGACATCAACGTTAGCGGAGTGAAGTAACATGCCCGGCTCCGGCCCCGAGCCTCCAGACAGACTAGGTGTGCTTCCAGGGAGGTCCCGGTGTCAGATTTAGGTGACCTCGCTTCTCTGCCGTATCTCAGTCTGTGCATACTGCGCCAGTGATTTTTTTTCTTTTTTTTTTTAAATGCAGTTTAAGAAGTCTGTGGGCAAGGTGGGCACGTGATAGTGTTTGGTGAACTCTCAGCACCAGAATGCCTTTTAAATCTGTTAGGGTCTTAAGGTCTTGGCGTGGTTGTGCCACCTAAGACTGCTATAGATCGTTAACATTTTTATTAAGACCTGTCAGGGTAGAGCCCCTGACAATCTTGACCTGTTAGTCTGCGCAAATTAAATATTTACATTTTCTTTAGGTTCTAAATGACACTTCCAAATGACTTAAAGTGGAATGGGACCTCAGAGTTCAATTCTGGAGACTAGCCTTTTTGTCTTAGCTATATTATTAGTAAGCCTCTCTAACTTCTGGGTCTCAGTTGATATATATAAAGGGCTTGGAGAAGAGCAGTCATTCATCCCAATTTTGTTTTTTTAATTTGCAGAACCCTCTTTATTTTCTTGTTTTTTTTTTTTTTTGAGACAGAATCTCGCTTTGTTGCCCAGGCTAGAGAGTGCCGTGGCGTCAGCCTAGCTCACAGCAACCTCACACTCCTCGGTCAAGCGATCCTCCTGCCTCAGCCACCGAGCAGCTGGGACTACAGGCATGTGCCTCCATGCCCGGCTAGTTTTTTCTATATATAGTTGCCCAATTAATTTCTTCTATTTATAGTAGAGACGGGGTCTCGCTCTTGCTCAGGCTGGTTTCGAACTCCTGACCTGGAGCAATCCGCCCCCCTCGGCCTCCCAGAGTGCTAGGATTACAGGCGAGAGCCACCACCCCCGGCCCCTCTTTATTTTCTTATGTAGGAGCTTCATTGAGGTAGAATTTACATACCGTAAAATTCACCTGTTTTAAGTGTACAATGGGGTTTGTGTTTGTTTTTCTTTTTTACTAAATTTACAGGGTTAATGCATCACCACAATCATTTTTAGAATGACCAGGTAATTGTCATCACCACAATCATTTTTAGAATGTTTCCATCACCCCAAGAAGACCCCTGTTGCCCATTGCAGTCAATACTCATTTTTAACTCCAACTCCAGGCTACCGCTCATCTACTTTGTCTCCCTAGATTTGCTTTTTCTCAGTATTTCAGATATTTAGATGGAATCATAGGATACACAGCCTTTTGTTTCTGGCTTCTTTCAGTTATTAATGTTTTCAAGGTTTTACCCATGTTGTAGCATGAATCAGTATTTCATTCCTTTTTATAGCCGAGTAATATTCTATTGTATAGATGTATGACATTTTGTATAACCGTTCATGCAGAATGCTTTTTGCAAATAAAATTTTATTTTATGCTCCAGTATATAATGCAGATGACAGAAGAGCTGTTTATCAAGATTAGGAACTGGGGCTTGAGCCAGGCTTTTGCCCATTAGGTTTCTACTGCACTCCCCAGGGATCTCATATAATGGAGTTGGGCGTAAATATGTAAAAAGGGACATTTTCATGCAGTGCTTAGAGAACCTTTGAAGCACTTGGGGATGAAGTGAGATCTCTTCTAGTCGAGAGGTTTTTAACATACCCTTCAAATTCATATGTTCTTTGATTCTGTATTATTTTCTGCCAGTCTAGTGGTAGATGGTTCTTGCCTGCTGCCTTCTTATTTATGTGGCAGCCACAGGAAGTGCCACAAATAATTAGAATAACAAGAACTAGGATGCCTGAAGGCTAGGGTAAACTGCACGTTGCTCCCATGAATGCAGCAGAAATCTGCATGAGGAAATGAATTTAGAGTAGAATGAGAAAGGTGCGGAGTTTGGAGGTGCCTCATGCGGCCAGTTAATCCTGGATGACTAAAGGATAAGGGAAGACTAAAAGGAGACAATAGAGGCATGTGCGAAATAGTTGGCAATGAGGACACCACAGATTTGGGGGGCTTACTAAATGCTTCCCTTGGATGGGGTGGAACAGGGAGGATTTCTTACCCTGTTTGTTACATTTTGAGGCTAGTAAAGGTGTGTGATCTGGTTTGGTTAAAAACAAAACAAAACAAAACACCGCAGACCAGGGTTTCTTAACCTGGCTATTGACACATTGGGCTGAATTTTTTTTTTTTTATGATTGTAAGACCAACTGATGGACAGAAGAAATGGTTCAGCCAGGCTTAAGAATACACCTTTATTTAAAGATAGTGCAGTCAGGCATTGCTTAATTGTTAGCCTGTTAAACAATGGTAATACAGCCAAGTATGCAATTAGTTTCGAAAGTGGTAATTTTCAGCCAACTTTTAATTGAACTGGATAGTATCCTTTCATAGTCTAAACACAATTCAGTCTTCTTTGGAGCTATTTTAGTAAACTAGTTTATTAAAAAGGCATAGGTGCATCATTAGATGATTATTGTGTGATACAAGTTATTTCCTCTCACCTGAATTATGTTCTTTAATTATTTTCAGAGAAATAATTTCCAGTGTATTTTAGTTACACCCAGAAGTATAATCTTTGAGGTATTTTATTATGCAGATTATAAGTAGGAAACTCTCAGAGCTGCAAGGAATATTAGTTGTCTGCTAGACCACTTGCTTGTCCAAGTAATACATTTCCTCTACTTTGTCTTCGTTTTACACATACATTTCATTAAATCTTGTTCTCAGTACATATGATTTGAACTGTGTTTTCCATTTAGTATTTGATGTCAAATATTTTTTTATTACATCTGTTTTAGAGGTGTAATCATACTCATGGAAAATCTATAGGTATGGAAATGCCATCTTTTAAGGCTGTGCCTTTGTATGGAAAGATAACTGGGTCTTCTACATAAAGAATTTATAGAAATTAAATCCAGTCAACACTTAGTGGATCTAGGAACAGCTCCAATAGGCTTAAGTAATATTCCAAATGATAATAAGCCTTTTCAGAATGAACTAGCTAAAAGTAATATTTTCAAAGGATATCTTTTCCTTAGGCTGGAAGGTAACTGTAGACAGATTTATGAGAACAATTTCTGGGAGATCCCTTTTAAGCTCTATTATATTTACAAATAAAATTAAATCTAACATACTTGAATTTTTGTGCCACTATTACCGGAAAATGTGATTTTTTTTCTTTAAAAAATTTTTAAAAGGTTTATTAAAGTATTTAATGTTTTATCTAATTGCAAAGATAACATGTGCTCCTTGTAAAAATATAAATAAAATAGAACAAAGCAGAAAATAACTTTCTGTAATCATACTACTAAAAGATTGAATCACTGAGTGTGCATTTTTCAGTGTTTTCAGTGTGCATTTTTCAGCATTTTTCAGTACTTATTTTCATATATATATATAGGCACATTTTGGGGAGGAAAAGTTCTTGTATTAATATATCATTAATGGTGACTAATACAATTAATGATATGAAAAGTGTTATATATCTCTAAGAAAAATGAATAAACATCCAAACAGAAAAATTTTGGCAAAATTCATAAACCGACATCACACAAATAAGTTCAAATGCTTAAAGAACATTTAAAACAATGTCAAGTGACAGTGATAACCAAAGAGATATAGAGTAAAACAAGGAGAAATAATTTTCACTTATCAAATTGACAATAATAAAATGTTCCCATTGTTGGTGAAGGCTCAGAAAAGAAGTGTCCACACCCATCGCTGCACATTTTTAAAAACAAAAATTTGATTCACACTCTGCATGAACCATTTTATTTAATATTTTATTAGGATTTTACCATATTCCTATTGCTGCTGTAACAAATGACCACAAACAGTGGCTTAAAACAACACGAATTTACTACCGGTATCTTACAGTTCTAGAGGTCAGAAGTCCAAAATCAGTTTCATTGGGCTAAAGTCAAGGTGTCTTCAGGGCTGGTTCCTTTTGGAGGCTTTGAGAGTATCTGTTTCCTTCTCTTTTTCAGTTTCTAGAAGCCACCTGCAGTCCTTGCCTTGTGACTTCCTCAGATTACTTCAGCCTATTGCTTCCATCATCACTTGTTACCCACTGTTGATCTCCTGCCTCTCTCTTGTAGAGACCCTTGTGATTACACCTGGCCCTTAACACCTGCGAAGAAGTGCTTTTGGCCTGTATACTTTTGTGTATAAAGTAACATTCACAGGTTCTGGGGATTAGGATATGGATATCTTTGGGGGGATCATTATTCAGCCTACCGTAGGAATATAGGGTGAAGATGCTGCATAGTGTTCCGTAGTATAGATGAACAGTAATTATTAATGTTTAGCCAATCTCATGCACATTTAGATGGTTTCTGATTCTCCCAGTTATAATCTTGCAGTGTATATCCTCTGACAGAATTCATTTTGAGCCTTCAGATTCACACTTTGTGGGTCAGATTGCTGAGGGAGATTTTAGAAAAGCAGGCCACCTATGTCTAAAGAGCGCAGCTAGACCACCTCAGTTCCCAGCCCAGTTTTCCCTCTCACTGGCTGTAGCCCTAGGCAAATTGCTTAGCTATTCTTGGACTCAGTTTTCTTATTTGAAAATGGGGGTAATAAAAGGTGGTTGTGAAGATTAAATGAGTTAATACATACAAATTACTTATGCTAGCACCTTCACATAAATGTTTATGTTAGATTTTGTTATTACTGGATTTATTAGAGCAAAAGTATTTTATGTCCATTTTTAAGGGCTTTAATACATATTGGCAAATTGCCATTTTAAAAGGGTGTAGTGTTTTTGTATTCATCAGCAACATATGTTGAGCACTTATATTGGGTTTGTTGACTTCTTAAACATGATTTGTATTATGTAGTGGGTGCCTCAATTTTTTTCTGTCAAAATGTTGCTTGATTTGTATAATATAAATCATAGAAAACTGAGGTTAATTTTAATAGAAATTTACTTTACCATGAATCTTTTTAGGAATTCTCTCAATTCCTTAGAGATCTACTTTTAATTTCACTTTAATGATATCAGTCCCATCCATTGGGATATTTGGATGTCATTCTGTGTAACAGGTGATGGGTGTAAGCCTGTCTGATGTGATGTGTAGCCTGGTTATGGACACAGTGGTCAGTTCTGACAAAGTCTAATGTAAGAGGCTTATAATCCCCATCCCCAACCACTTCTAAAATTTGAATACCCCTCAGCCTAGTGCATTGCTGGCAACTGAGGCTAAATAATTTATTTTTTCTACCTATTTTGGAAATAGTCTGAACCTAATACGTGATAAGAACAGTATGAAACCTTTTTTCTCTGAACCATTTGAGAGTAAGTTGCAGACCTAATACGCCGTTATTCCTTGATACTTCAGTGGGCATTTCCTTCAAGCAGTGACCTTCTTACATAATCACAGCACAGCTGTCAAAATCGGGAAATTAGTCTAGATACATCGCCACTGTCCAAGCCACGGGCAGGCCTATTCAGGTTCTGCCAGTTGTTCCAGACTGTGGCATTACAGCAGTGGATCCAGTTCGGAATCATGAGTTGTACTGTCTTGAGTCTCCTTCAATCTGGAGCAGTATCTCAGTCATTTCTTGGCTTTCATTATCTTGGTACTTACGAAAATTTTGGCCAGTTGCTTTGTAGAATGTCCCGCAGTTTGAGTTGGTGTGATGTTTCCTGTGATTTGATTCAAGGTGTGCATCTTTGGCAGGTCCCTCACAGAAGTGAAGCTTGGCTCTTAGTGCAACTGCTCCAAGAGACCTGGGTGCATTTGTCCCCTCCCTGGTTAACTTGGATGACTTGGTGAAGCTTCCCTGCTCTAAAGTGACTCTATCCTCCTTTGTAAATAAGTATGGTTTTCCATTGTGAGGCATCTTGAGGCTATGTACATATCTCATTCTTCAAACTTTATTTGTGTCACTCCTGTTTTCCTGTTTTATTCAGTGGGTTAGTTTCATTAGTTTCCTTATTTATTTTGATACTCAGATTGTCCCAGATTTGGCTAGGAGTGGTACTTCCAGACTGGCTTCTGTGTCCATTGGACACTTCCCCATCGTTCTTTGAGTGCTTCCTTACTGGTATAACAAGATATTCCAGACTCAAATTGTTCTCACCCTGCCTAGCCTGGAACTACTTTCTCCAAGGAGCCTGGTTTGTTTTAGTGGAGAATGGTATTTAGAAAACCAGTTGTGGGTACTAGGTGGGCTCCCCGCTATTGGGATGTCACCATTGCCATGTCCTTTCAGTGTACAGAACTGGAAAATGTATGTATACATGTATGCATATACACACATTTATTTATTTCTGCTTCTGTCTATCTTTCAGCCTCTGTAGATGGACATCTCATTGCCTCCTTTTACTGGGTGATGTGCTGCCTTGTGCACATCCTTGTGTTTCCCGGTGTCTCTAATGTTACTTTGCTCAGATGCGCCTCGCCTCTCTCCTTATGTTCATACTTCTAGCCCTGCCCAGCTCTGATTTTGTGAGAGCCAGCTGCGGTGCCACCTAATCAACAGAAGCCTCCTCTTTACTCCCCAGAAAAAACTCTCTATACCAGTTCAACAACCTTGGTGCTTTACATGTGCCTTTCCTTTGGCATTTTCCTTTCCTGCATTTTGTTCAGTAGTTCTTGTGGTTGGCCTCCTCTGCTGGATCACACCTGCAGGGCCGTGTCCCTGACTTACTAATAATATGTATTTGCTCTGCGGCACCTGGCAGCGTCTTAACTTGGTAAACACTCTATAAAATTGCGTGATTTAATGAGTAAATTAAAATCCTATGATACTACCTTTTCAGTATCCTGTTTTCCAGAAACCTAAAATTTACTTTTGTATTTGGAGGAGAACTGATTACCTTAGGGATTTTTTTCATTAAAAACTCCAAATCCTCTCTTTCTGTGTCTTTCTTTCTAAAGTCAGGCTTGTGCCTAAGTTGTAAGAGTATCAACTATCTCTTCTGCATAGGCTACATTATACTATTAAGTTCACTGTCTTTACTTGTGAGTGAATTATTTTGAAACAGGTTTAATTAAAGTTGATTTACCAGTTAGGGCTAAGATTTTCTCACTAGTATTGCTCACTAATATATGGATTTTATGCAGCTCAAATATTTCATAGATTCTTTAGATTGAGGCAGAAGATATCTAAGAGATTTTTTTTTAAACCTTGCCTTAATTGGCAGACGTATTTAAGTCTTTTAAATATACGTTCATTTACTGTAACATGAGAACTGTTATCACCAGCTTTATTTTCTTTGACCAGTAATTTTTAATTAAGCTAGGTATATGTTCATTTACTATAACATGAGAACTGTTATCACCAGCTTTATTTTCTTTGACCAGTAATTTTTAATTAAGCTAGGTATATGCTTCATGTGATTATATTCTGTGAAACCCCATTGCTGAGAGTGTCAAGCATAAAGAAACTAAAATATCAGGGCTCACTCCTATGTAGATTGTGGTAAAATATGTTAAGAGTAGCTTTAGGTGCCCTCTGCTCTTTCTCTCTGGTCTTTCTGTTTTGGTCTTTGTTTTTAAAGTCTTTGCTCTTGTGGTTGAAGTTCATTGAGATGGACATAATTTTAAAAATTTCATTCATTGAGTTCTGTTCCCACTAACCTTAGTCTCCGGTGCGAGTTCTAGAGATAGGCTTATTTTTCGTGATTGTTCGTTGTTACAGCAGTGAAAGTCCTGTTTAATAAATCTTTAAAAGTTCTTTAGATACTGTAACCCTTCATAGTATTTTATCAATGTTTTCATGTTTGTAGAAGCACAGATGGATAGTTCCAGAAACCAAAAACTCTTTGTTGCTATAAAGCACCAGTTTCTACCAGAAGAATGAGTTTAACACCTTGGCATACATCTCTTGAAAGATGGCTGACTCCTTTTCCTAGGTGTTTTCTTTCCAAAAACAAGGAGCAGCACAAGGCCTATCTTGTTTAACTTGTCCATCCCAGCTTGCTGGAGTACTTATGTCTCAGGTGTGATCTGTACAGCTGAGTTTTCTGGGCATGCTGCAACCAGCATTATTTTTTACTGCTGCTCTGTTGTTCCATTGTGAAGAATGACAGTGTTTCTTACAGTTCAGATAATTTGTAAGATAGCTATGCCCTTGTGTAATATAATACTCAGATAACATTTTTCTTTAGTAGTAGCTTCTCCCACAAACTGTCTTCGCCTGTCACTTCCAGTAAAGAGATAATCTGGTTTTGTAACAGATTTAGCAGGTTAATTTTTTTTTAAGTTTGAGGCTTCAGATAAAATAAATCTAATGACAATAAAAACCCTTCTATGCTATTTTCATAGAATTGGCAGAAAATGTTTTAAAATCTGGGTAATTTTAAAGCACAGTGTCCCTTAAAGAAGGTATTAAATATAAATTAACACCTAAGAACAAATCAACTTATATGGAAATTAGTTTGTTCTTGGGTGTTAATTTTACAGCAGAAAGTAAGGGTGTATACCAAGAGTTTGTCTGAAAAGTTGGTGAAATTTGTAGGAAGTGAAGTGCTGATTGGGAAATGTCCTGGAGATGAAGAGTTGCAAGTGGTAGGAAAATACAGACTGGGAAACAGAAGCAGAGTAAAGGATCATAAGCAAAGGGTCACGATTCCCTCTTCTGTTTGGCTGCTTGGATGCTCAGGGACAACATGCTTAATATGCCTGGTGTTATTTTGTTATCCTTGGTTTTTTCCACTTTTCTCATTTTATCCATTTTTACTTTTGAAGATGCCTTAAAACATTATTTTTTCCTGAAAGCAGTGAAGAATGAGTAAATAAAAATGAAACAATAAGACGTTTTATGGTTGTATTACACATTCATTTGTCTTATAACTGGGTTATCTTTTTGACCCTCTTGATTGATTTTTGTTTTACTTTTTTAGAGACTGTGTTTCACTATGTTGCCCAGGCTGGACTCAACTCCTGGGCTCAGAGCAGTCTTTCCACCTCAGCTTCCCAAGTATCTGTGACTCCAGGGGTGTGCCATTGTGCCTGGCTGACCTTCTTTACTTAAACTGTAAATATAAGTAAATCGTACCTGGCCGTGTCAGTGCGCTACTGATGTGGATGGGTGCTGTTTTTTGTTTCATAGATTGGCTCACAGAGTGACTGATCAGCTCCGTGGGACTTTGGTTTTGTGGTGCAAATGGAGTATAGGACTCAGTCGTCTCGGCCTGAGTGAGAGAAGCCTCATGTCCAAGATGGAGAAGAAGCGGAGAAAGAAATGAAAGCCTCTTTTCAGGCCAAGCCACTGAAGGCCATGGGGTTTAACTTTTTTTACGTTGGACAAGACTGTAAGATGGCTGATCAGCAATGTTGCAGCTTTTAGCCAAAACAAAAATTCACTTTTAATCAAGGAGGAAAAGTGTGATTTGAATTTATGCAATTTTATGACCGTATTCTCTTGTGACCATGAAGCTTGTCAACATCTGGCTGCTTCTGCTAGTGGTTTTGCTCTGTGGGAAGAAACATCTGGGTGACAGACTGGAAAAGAAATCTTTTGAGAAGGCCCCATGCCCTGGCTGTTCCCACCTGACTTTGAAGGTGGAATTCTCATCAACAGTTGTGGAATATGGTAATGATATTGTCTTAAATGTTAGGACCTCCTACCCTATTTTTTGGTCAAACTTAATATAATAAACTCTAGCTTTTGTCAAAGAACATGTCCCTTTTTTCTACAATAAATTTTCAAATGGGGCAAGTGCATAGCACATGGATATTAACTTTGCTTACGTTTGTTTTCTCTATAGTGTTAGCTTACGTGAAACAAGGAAGTTGACATTCTTAATTATTTACTTACAACTTGATTCCATGGAGCAGATGTCATTGTAGCTGGTGAGGGTGGGGGGGTTGGAGGTGCCGAATGTGAATGCTATAAAGTTCAAGTGACCAGATGTGAATACCTAAGGAAGTAGTCTCATGGAATCCACTCTGGAATTTTGTTATTTTCATTAAGATAAAACTGAGCATTCAGTTCTCTGAATTCTTTTTTTCTATTTGAAAAAATACACATTTCTTTGCTGTGTATTTAAACATCTGCAGATACTTGCTTTTTAAAAAACTATCACAGGCATACCTGGTTTTGTGTGATGTATTCTGTGTGATTAGGGGACTCACATAGGTCGCTTTAACTCAAGCTCTGCAAACAGCTGTCAGAGCATTTAAACTAGTGTTTTTGGTTTTTGTTCTTTTTTACTGTGGACTTTAAGATATATAGTTTTTCTTTTACCAGATTTTAGGTTAGATATAATATAGTCTGTGTTATAATATATGTACATAAATTCTTATTTTTATTTATGGTCATTGATTTCAGAATATATTGTGGCTTTCAATGGATACTTTACAGCCAAAGCTAGGAATTCGTTTATTTCCAGTGCCCTGAAGAGCAGTGAAGTAGACAATTGGAGAATTATACCTCGAAACAATCCATCCAGTGACTACCCTAGTGATTTTGAGGTGATTCAGATAAAAGAAAAACAGAAAGCGGGGCTGCTGACACTTGAAGATCATCCAAACATCAAACGGGTAACACCCCAACGGAAAGTCTTTCGTTCCCTCAAGTATGCTGAATGTGAGTATTGTGATCACAGGCAAGTTTTTATATCACTTTAGTTTCACTTTGAAAATTGCAAAGTGCAGAATAATTGAGAAATAGTATAGTGAATACCCATGTCCTTTCATCTAGTTCACCAATTATGAACATTTTCCTGGCAAGAATTTTTTTTTTTTTTTTTTTAGCAGCATCATGCTATTATGGTAGGAAAAAAAATCTGAGGGTTTACAGTAGAGGATGGTAGTGATTTGTTTCTGTTGGAATGATTTTCATCTAGGTTTTTCTCAGAGCCTTTAGACTTGGAAGCTGTGACCCCTCTTCACATGCTGAAAGGAAAGACCATGTCTTTGTGTCTCTTTTTGCTTGCATTTTGCTTCTCTCAGTATGTGTTTTTAATTTTTAAGGCACTCTTGTAAAACATCTTTTCCTTAGGTTTCATTTTGTTTTTCTCAAAGTCTCCTGACCATGAACGGTCATGCCTCAGCTGGGTTTATTTAAGTCATCAGCTGCGCAGGTATGAGGTTGGAAGGAATCTGGTTTTTTGCTTTTCAGCTTGAGGGCTTAGTCTTTCCTACTTCATTACAATTGGGCTCGTCAAGATAAAGTTTATCCTCAAAGAATAAATTGCATATTTATTACATGATATTTTCCAAAGTATATGTATTATCAAAGGAAAGATTATTTTTCCTGTTTATCATAAACTAGGCCAATAAATTGCTGGTTCTATTATTATTTACTATCATTTCTTTCATTGAAAGGAAGAAGAAATAAGATTTTACTCTTCTTCCTTTGTCTTTCATATACTAGGCCTGAGAGCCTCCAAGGTTTTGCTGCATTTTATAAGAAAAACAACACCAAGGAAAAGTTAACTATTTTGCATAGTACAATTCTTGAGTCAGTTGTAGACTTCAGGCGTGTGACTTCTTCAGACCCTTTTATGCCAGTCTAGATAATTTTGTATTCTTCTTCTTAAAAAGCAGTAATACCCCCACAATGATTCAGGAAGATAAAAGCATATCAAACTTGGTATAATTAGCCAAAGGTGGTATACGTTGTGCCATTTTACTTGACTTTATTTTTATTTTATTTCATTTATCTTAAAGAGCTCTAGAATGCTTTAGGAGACATGGAGGTAGCTAATTTTAGCACAAGAGTCATAGACCGACCCTCCTGGGCCGGTGAAGGTGTGCATGCCTTCTACACCATCTCCACTGTGTGTGTCACGGGCGTGCCTGACACCCCCGTAAGGAGACACTCACATACTGACACGCCTGTTGTTGGAGTTAGCTGTGACCTTAAGCAGGAAGTTCCTTTTCATCTTTAAGCTTTCAGGTTTTCTCAGCCATAACATGGAGACAATACTGCCTACTTCACAGTTCTCATGGAGATGAGGAGAAATGATGACTGTGAGTAGAGCTGAGCAGAGTGTTCAGGATGCTGTGAGTAATAAAATTATTAGTAGAGGTTTTGCTTTATTTTGGGCTGAAACATACCTCGCTCTGGAGCCCATCCATTTGGCTGTATCCCACGGGCCGTAAGACAGAGCTAACCTGTTTTCCACAAGACATCATTTAAAGATACTGTGAAGGTATCTGTCTTCCTGATATTTGCAGATACACATGGTATTTCCTTTGACGATTTCTTCTTTTCAAGCTAATAATCTCCAGTTCTTTCAACAGTTACTCAGATGACATGGTTTCAAGTCCCCTCACCATTTTATTTGTTGTCCTTTGAATACAGTTTTCCTAAATTGTTCTTAAACTGTGAAGCCCTGAACTGAATATAATACCTCAGGTTTAGTCTGCTATGTTCAAGGCAAAGCAGAATAGATCCCTTCCTTGTTCTAAATGTTGTTCTTCAATTAGTAACTCCAGTATTGTCTCATGCTGTTGACTTAAAGATCAGAATCAACATGGCAATTTCAATGCAGAACAATTTCTGTTGAACTGTGCAAATAATTACTTAATAGAATTGACACAACTGTATATTTTTCTCGGTCCCTGTACTTGCATGGGTGTAGCCTGGCAAGGATGGAATAAAAATGGTAGGAATTTGCTTTAGAAGTAGAACTGCAGTAGTATTTTTCTTCTTAAGACGCATTTGAAATATGATTTGTTCTTCATTATAACATGGACTTTGGAAGGTAAAGGGAAAACTTGTGGTATTTCTTTTGCTTTTTTCCTCTATTTTCTAAAAATAGATTTACAGGTAGTAAAATTCATCTTTTAGGAGTACAATTTGGCATGTTTTGGCAAACATACCCACCAACAAAATCAAGGTATAGAATAATTCCATTACCATCAGAAATTCCCCATCCCTCACTCCTTTGTATTTTGAAAGGTGAAATTCTAGCAGATAAGAATACTGAGAGTATTGAGCAATATACAGTTTGAAAAAGGTCCTGTTGCTGTTTGGCCAGAGATGTGTTCAGTTGGATAACATGGCTTTTTTCTGTCCCAGAAATCTATTAAAAGTTCCAGTAAAACTAAAACTTCATTATTGGTTAGTGGCCATTTTTTTCAACTTTTGTCCCCTTTCTGGTTCAATGAGAACAAGTTACTGATGAAAAATCAAGTTTTTCTTTAGTTTTAGTATTACAATTGGCTTTATTTTCCTCTCTGCCTTACCTTGGTTCAAAATTTTCAAATAAAGGATTATTTGGGAATAATATGACAGTTAAATAATGTCCTATAATTATAATTACATTGAGAACATTCTTTTAGAAAAGGGAGAAAATCACACTTCCTTCAAATAGGATTTCAAGAGATCATCATTACTGCATTTAGAATGTTTGCTTTGCCTCACAGGTGTAATGTAGTTTGTTTTTTCTCTTCTGCTCTGACCTTTCTTGTCTCTAGCTGACTCCATAGTGCCCTGCAATGAAACGCGATGGAGCCAGAAGTGGCAGTCATCTCGTCCCCTGCGAAGAGCCAGTCTCTCCCTGGGCTCTGGCTTCTGGCACGCTACAGGGAGGCATTCCAGTAGGCGGTTGCTGAGAGCCATTCCACGCCAGGTTGCGCAGACACTGCAGGCAGATGTGCTTTGGCAGATGGGCTATACAGGTGTGTGCTGTGCACTGGGGCAGCATCACAGGTCTGGTGTCCTGGGATTCCGTCTGTGGGAGGGCCTAGTGCTGATGCTCTGCAGCCTTACACGCCCGTCCCTCTTACTGTTTGCTGAGCTGGACGTAGTCATTGACCCCTCATCTTCTATTCCTGTTATGCCAGGCATCTGTTTCTGTGGCTTTCGTAATTGTCACCATGTATGTCTTATTTTTGTTACCATTTCTGATGTTAGAAGGGGCAGATTGTGTTCATTTCTCTTCTGTTGACACAAACACACACAGCACTGCCTCACAGCCTGAGCTGGCTGGCAGTACTGCAAAGGTCTGTAATTTCTCAGGGAAAAAGATCAAATTCAAAGATGGTCACTTTGACACGGGCAGTTTCATGAAAACTAGTTTATCACGTGAGTTAAGTGCCCTGTATGCAGAATGACCAAGTAATTGACTGTCACATATGTCTAGGTATCTTTTCTCATATCTCCCTGTCTTAGAGACTCTTACCTCTCCTTTGATCTTAGCACCCTGAAAATTTTTAACTCTTGGTGGACTGACATTTTATTAAAATGTTCGTCTCCTCTTGGTTTTATGTTTTTAGAGTGAGAACTGCTTCACGAAACAAATTCTCTAATCATTAGAAAACCATTCTCCCAAAACCAAATTGTTTCTGGTTTTATTTGTGCTTTTTTTAAAAAGTAGCAATAATTTTGATAGTTATCACTGTGTAATTGATTATTTAACATAGTATTGTTATGTAAATAACTCTTCATACCAGAAAGACATTATCCTCTTTACATTAGTTAGTTGTTCAACAATACAAGTATCTTGTATTTTTTCTAGATGTATTCTAGAATTTCTTTATCTGACAGGCCAATCATATTTCACATTGGTACAGATGGTTTTTAGCCGGTATCTGAAATAGACTCATCATTACAGAAAAGTGCACACTATCATGATTTTCCTTGAAATGTAATTAACCGCACATGTTGTTAATAGTACTGCTCTGCAGCGTTTGTTGTCCCAGGTGAGCAGCATTGAGTAAATTGCTGTCCTTGTGAGGAATAGGAATAATTTCTCCTTTCCCTGTTTGCCACTCTCTGCTCCAAGGAGATAGGGGGACGGAGACATGTAGTAAATTACCAGGGAAGATCAGTCATAGATGGCATCCCACAGCCTGGAGGAGCCCTCTAGGAGTGGGCCAGGCTGTTCCATTCCTGAGTCCTGGGGATAGTTGAGGAGGGTCCAGAGAGATTTTGTTTACCCTCGAATCTCGTTTAGCAGCAAATGGTGGCCTTTCTCCCACTGTCCTTTTTTCTTAGTGTTGGCTCAGCCAGCTAACCCCTAGAGCATCTGACCTAACCTGATGCATTCTGGGCAGGCTTCGGAATGACATGTCATTTTCTGTGGGTCCCAGGAAGGAATGTATTTTACAGGTAATAATCCAAAAAAGATGATTTCTCCAAACACAGTTTCTTTCTTTCTTCTTGGAATAAAGGTGCTAACGTAAGAGTTGCTGTTTTTGACACTGGGCTGAGTGAGAAGCATCCCCACTTCAAAAATGTGAAGGAGAGAACCAACTGGACCAATGAGCGAACCCTGGACGATGGTAGGTCTCAGTGTGGTGGTGAGAACATGGTGATGTACAGAGTTAGGACATCACCCCCATCCTGTCTGTTAGGTCTGTTTCTCTATGTGCTAATGATCCCACAGTCTGTGTCCAACAGTTATTTAGACAAACCCTAGTTATTATTATAGCAGAAGCTATAACAAAAGCTTTAACAGAAACAAGCTATAACAAAAGCTATAACAGATGCTTTTCTGAATATCTCAGAGGATGTTGGAAAATAGATTTGGTGGGGAGGGTATCGTGGGAGGATGCCTTGTGGAGGAGCAACTCTTTGTCTAGAGGAGAGTGGGTATGGCTAGCCCTTTAAGCTGTGCTCGTGTCGGGTGAGTTCTGAGTGAAGTGGCAGCGGAGATTCTCCATCCAGGACTTGGAGCAAAGAGTCTGTGTGGAAGTGATGGTTTGGAGTGTTGCATTGTGGCCTATATCATCAACTGTGTTTAATGGAATTTTTTTCCCCTTACGGGCTACAGGGTTGGGCCATGGCACATTTGTGGCAGGTGTGATAGCCAGTATGAGGGAATGCCAAGGATTTGCTCCAGATGCAGAACTTCATATTTTCAGGGTCTTTACCAATAATCAGGTAGGTGTTTTGAGGAGTCATGAATCTTTTAAGGAATTGGTATTGAAATGTAAAAATCAGTAAAAACACGGGACTATATCCACTTGTTTAAAAGCAGCATATGTCAGTGATGCTGATTACTTCTTGCACCCCTTGTGTGCTACACTGTCTCTTTACCATCCCTTCTGTCCTCGACGTGGCCCTGTCCTTCTCCTGCCACTCCCTTTGTTGCCCTAACTTGAACCCTAAGACCCTACTCCGAGGCTACTACGTACAGTGATTTCCCATTTCTTCTTCACCTGCAGGCTTTCTCAGGGCCTCTGTGCCTCCGTGTCCTGTGTTTTCATGGTAGAGTCATCGTATGTTTGTGTATTTGCCTCCCTGTTTAGATCCCTGCCAGCTTGAGGGTGGGGCCTGTTTTAATATCCTTTGTGGTCCGCACCTAACATCTTGTAATGGGAATGGGTAATGGGAATTTAAAAGCTTTGTTTCCTCACTCTTCATTTGGAAACTATTGATAGAAAAAGGAGGAGCCTAGTATTTGTTATTTTTTTAATTTAATTTTTGAATAAGTAATACATAGCTCAAAAGTATCAGAAAGCAATGTAGTGATAAGTCTCCCAACCGTGTCCTTATGTAGCAGATTCTTACCTTACTTCCCCACGTCTCCCATGTGGTGGTGTTCTTAATTTCTTATACCTCCTTCTAGAACTTCTTTTGCATATATAAACAAATATAAATATGTGGTCTTTCAAAAGCCTTTTGAAAACATCATTCTCAATCATTACATTGCTTCTCTACCTACTGTAAATTTAAGGTGATCTACAAACTAATATGACTTCTGTAGGGAAAGTAGGAAGAATTGAACATCAGAGAACTAATACTGTGAAATAACTATTATTGCTGTCATTTATCCTTCAGGCTGTTTAGGAATAAAGAATATTAGACAGAACATACTACTTGGAAGTGCCTAACATACTATATAGGAGTGTTTAACTTAATAGAAGTGTCTTAGGATACATCCTTTTCTAAGTCAATCAAAGAATATTAAGAGAAATACCTTATACTTTTAAGAGTCTTAGAAATAAAAACTGTCATAGCACTTTGAGACATTTACTGAAACACTAAAAGGGCTGTTCTAAAATTTAACTAGGTATCTTATACGTCTTGGTTTTTGGATGCCTTCAACTATGCCATCTTAAAGAAGATTGACGTGCTGAACCTCAGCATCGGCGGTCCTGACTTCATGGATCACCCCTTTGTCGACAAGGTCAGTCAGGTCACTGCACATGGACGTCGTGTTTGGATGCCGGCTCCTGCTCTGTTGCAGCCCCACTTTGTGTCATTTCTAGTGTGCTGGTAGCTTTTTTCTCCCAAGTGGTGGCAGCTTTGTGAGGACTAATGGTTAATAACATGAACTTTAATGGCTTACATGTCATAAATTCAGTGGGTTAGAGGCCTGGGAAATAGGTGTTCATAAGGAGCACTTGGGGCCGTGTTGCCTCTTCCTTACCTAAACATGTAACCCCATGTTTTCCTGAAAAGGACTGGGAAGCCAGGAAAGCCAACATCTGCTCTGTGTCCTGCCTTTGGGCTGCTGTCCTCTCTGGGCGTGGCACTTATCAGACATCTTCACCTCTGTAATCATCCAGTGCTTTTTTATTTTTGGGACAGGGTCCTGTTCCGTCTCTAGTGCTTTATTTTGAGGAGGCATTCCTTCTTTTTTAGGATATTTTTAGATGTTGTGGGTTTTTGTTTTTTTTTTTTTACAATTATATGTGGATTGTTTAAAAGTGTTATACTCATTGAATAAATGCTTTCTGACTTTATAGGTGTGGGAGTTGACAGCTAACAATGTGATCATGGTTTCTGCCATTGGCAACGACGGACCTCTTTATGGGTGAGTAGCCTCAGCAGGGATGAGCCTAGGGATGTTTTCCCCTCCAGTGCTGGAAAGCTATTGTCTGTCTGTGTGCCTGCCTGTGTGTATCTGTTTATCTGTATAAAGCTTTATATTAGGCATGTTTTCATCATACAAAAAATAGAATGTATAGTGAACCCCCAAGTACTTACCACTTACTTCAGGAGTTGTCAGCCCATGGTCAGTCTTCCATTTAATTTTTTTTTAAACTTTGCTTGTAAATAGTAATAGTAATTTTAATTCTATTTTTTCCCCCCAAAATCAGTCAGGAAAGTAAATCTGTTAGAGAGAAATGGGTTCTGCTGTATTTATGAGACTCATTATTTACATGCACAGGCAGTGAAGAGGCAGAGAGGTGAGGGCCTTCCTTTCTGGGAAAGATCAAGTGCAAACAAGGAAACCAAGACAAGGGAGGAATGCTGGGGCCTAACAGACACACAGATGGTGCTTTGGGCGTGGACATGGGATCGGATAGGGCAGCAGGGAGGATGGTGGCCTAGAGGTACACTTTTGTACCAGGCTGCTGTGGTGAGTTTGAACAGCATGAGATGCAAAACATTTGTCATTCACAGCCAATCAACTTTTGTCTGGTTAGAGATCTCAGTTGTCTTTCTACCTGCAGCTCTGAATTTTTTTTCTGTAGATAATGTATGCAAATAATTTCTTGTGCTGAAAGGTTTCTGTAGAGGATGTTTGTTACTGTCCTTTATTAAGTACCCAGGATGTATGTAGTTTGGTACTGTGACAAAGGATTTAAGGTAACCACCAAGAAAAAAAGAGAAACTTACAGAGTGTGTGCTCAACATGCCATGATACAGTGGAGAGAGAGAGGGGTGTGCCCTCTTGTATCGTGAGTGTGCTCATTTGTGGTGCACATGGGGTGGATGTGTGTTTATGATGTGGGCACACTCATCGCGTCTTGCTGGGAAATCCTAGCAGTGCCTGCCAGGGAAAAGCAAGTTGTTTTGGGGATTAACGGAGTTCATGTAAATCATCCAGGGTACGGTATGAGGCTAAATTCTGTGAAGTTAATGTTTATATAGCTCAGAAAACATGAATGTTGGCAGTCACATGGTTCCAGCCTAGTAGTTGGGTAAATGATCCTGTCCCTCGTAAGAGGTCCAGGGTTTGGATTTTGCCATGGAATCAGTGATGCATATTGTGATTCATAGATTTAAGTGGCCTGGACATACTCTAACTGTAGCTGTACGGTGACAAACAGTTATTAAGTCATCTTGTCAGGTTTTCTTGTTTTCCCTTTCAAATGTTTCTCCCATTTCTGATGTTCCCACTCGAGGCTGGCACTCGTCAATTCAGAGTTACCCCAGTTGTCAGTGTTTCCTAGGCTGTATTCCTACCTATAGTCTTTGCCCACCCCAGCTGTTCCAGCATGGACAGGCCTGGAGCCAGATGTGGAAACAGACAGGTCCCACCTGCCACTTTCAGGCTGAGGGGGCTTCACTTCTCTGAGCCTCAGCTTCCTCTGTCACAGAGGCATGGGACCTGCCCTCGTGACTGTGAGGATGAAATTATATAGTAGAGGGAAAGGACAGAGTGCCAGTGCTCTGTGAGTGGTAGCTGCTCTTTTTTCTTCCTTTATTCTGTATTTCTACTGTTAAAACATGTATTCTAGCAGTTCTGTATTCAAGAATCTACAATGGATTATTATTGCTTAATAGATCAAATTTTTCTTCTTGGTTTTCAAAGTCCTCAATATTCTAGCCTGGAATTGCAAACCTTTTCTGTAAAGGGTCATATAATAAATATTTTAGGCTTCGTGGGCCATACGGTCTCCATCGCAGTTACTCAGCTCTGCCACTGCTGCGCGAAAGCAGCCATAGGCGGTGTGTCAGCGAGTAAGCATGGCTGGATTTCAGCAAAACTGTGTCGACAGAAACGGGCCAGAGTTTGCCAACTCTCGCTAGAATTCTCTTGGCTCAGTGTTACTTTCCACTACTCCATGCACATCTTCCTCAAATCTGGGCTTCCTGTCATATCTCCAGTAGAAACTGTGTGTTTCAAGTCCCCTCTGCCTGTCCCTACTGCTGATCCCATGTTTCACACTTGTCTGGATTGCCAGCTCTTTCACATGCTGTCCTGACTGCTTTGTCACACACCAGTTGCCCTTCGAAAACCCCGTGGCTTTTTGTTGCACTTGATATTCTTATCAAAGAGTTGTGAATTAGAGGAAAAAAACTTGAGAGGAAAGCCCATCTCTACCTTGTGTGTATGCTCATGGTGCCTCACACAGACCTGGACTCTAGTAGTGACGGGAAATGGCACGTGATCTTTGTAGCCCAGTCTGTGGCAGCAAGTGTTTTACTGCTTGGGTGTCCAGTAGGACTGCTCCCAGCTCTGGTCCCAGGGCAGTAACATGCTCACAGCAGCACCTCTGGAAATAAGCCGTGCATCCCCTGGACCCCTTCCCCCTCTTTCTCTGGGTCCCACATTCTTGGCACTCTTAGACTTTGTGGTGCCAGTGAGTCTGCAACTGTAGCTTCCTCAGTTTCAATACCAACAGTCATTTATTTCCTAGATCTTCTCTCTTGATGCCTTCTCTTATTTTTTAAGGGTTTAAAGTGCAGTAAGTATTTGGATTGACAGGTAGAGGGAGGATGGGAAGATGGCATTTTTTGGTCAACTTCAGTGAATGTTTCTGTCAGTGACTTTTGTACTGCCTTCTGCTCCTTGAATTCATGGACATTTGTAAGTTTCTAGCAGCAGCCAGTAGAAAGTCACTTGTTAGATCCTCTGAATGACCACTTGACAGCATACTCGGGGCCAGTGAGCTGAGAAAGCAGTGCCACTGCTGATTCGGTATAGTTTGGAATCCTTGGTTAAAAGCACATGCGCTAGAGCTTCTTGCTATTATTTAATATCTCCTAAGCCACTTGGAATCTGCTGTAGTTATTGAATTGTCAAAGAGTTCATTTTTTGGTAGTAGAGTTATAATAGATACAGCTTAGAAATGCAGATTAATAACTGATTATTCCATACTTTCAAATAGTTCAACTTCATCTTTATAGTTTAAACATATTTTTTGTCATTATTCATTTCATTATAATTTCTTTGCAGATCTAGTGCACTTGTGGTATTGGAGAGAAGTATACAGCTTTTTCCTTGTATCCTATGTCTTCCTCTAACGAGCTCAAGATTACAGAGTAATGGTAGTCATTCCCACAGTCCCTGTGAGGAAGGTGGAACACCACTGCAAACGCTCAATTGAAAGCTTACAAAACTTCCTGCCCGTAGTGGATGCAAATGTGTGGATATGGTTTCTTCCCAGAGAAGTATCTAAATCTAGTTGGGGAGGCAAGATGGATATACTAGGAACAATTAGAAAGTGATGTAAGAATGTGTCATTAGCTGGTGAATTGTAATCATGTTAAGTTTTGTGAAGTTCAAGGCAAGGGGAGATCCTCAAAGCCTTGAGTAGTGAGCCTTGAGCTGGGCCCAACTGTGATAACGTTGACAAGGGAGGAGGAGAAAGGAAGGACTTTCCAGGTGGGAGGACATAATTTGAGCACGACACAAAGGTGGCAGAGAACGTGGTGTTTCATAGGACATCAGTGAGGAGCAGCAATCTGTCAGAGTTGCACAAGGCTCCTCACAGAAGAACCTACGAAAGTCTTAGATTTTTCTTGGGATATTTGATCGTATTTGAATTATTCATTTTAAATTGTCTCTCTTCCCTTGTTTTTTTGTGACTCAATTTAGCACGCTGAATAACCCTGCTGATCAGATGGATGTGATCGGAGTAGGCGGCATTGACTTTGAAGATAACATCGCTCGCTTTTCTTCAAGGGGAATGACAACCTGGGTATGCTTTGCTTTGTTAGTCTCATGTGGCTAATGGATCCATTTGTTCAAGAGCCCTGGGTGCATTTGTAAGTGCATGGATTGTAAGCTTGTAAGGCAGACCAGCCTTCAGATTCACGGTTGAGCCAGAGCTTTGGGTGCTGGCCCTGCCATGAGGACCGGAGTGCTTCCCCTCGACATCTGCTGCTTCACTGGCCAGTCCAGAGCCACTCACAGAGCACCGGCCGATTCTGGGTGGTGTTTCCCAGTTCTTTTAATGTATTTCTGAGTAACTCACTTTTTGGGTGAATTGGATTTCTGCCCACTTGTCCTAACTAGTAGTAAGATGACAAGTCCTCCTCAGTGCTAGGTGAGATGATTTTTTGGTTTTGGCCTTAAGAAGTGGGAGAAGACATTGAGAACAGCTTAATATCAACTCTACTAACACAGAAATAATTATATTTAGCTGGACAAAATTGAAATAACTCCACCAAGTTAATAACTCAGCTGCTTGGGGTTTATTTATGCTACTAATTTACCCTTCAAAACTAAGTTTGATTCAAAATGAGATGTTCAGTGGAGCAGTATGCAGGTTCTTTTACTGAGCGGGTGAGGGGAGCACCTACCCCTGGCGTTCTTCTGGGGCAGACCATCTCTTGGTACTCTACTTAACAGGTGCCAAGCTCAGAGGTAAGTCCTGGAAAGATCCACACTTCCTGGGAACACTGTGGGCCTGCCTTGTCCACCCCTGCAGTGCTTTATGGGATAGTTTTCCACTTGCACCTTAGTACCTTGAGGGTGTCAGCCCCCCAGGGGTCCCCACCTTACACGCTGAAATGCCTCCTCCTGGAGTTGACTTGATGCCTCTGACTTGATGCCGTGGTCTGGTAGACCCCACTTTTAGGTGCAAGTCAGTCCCAGGACTGTGCTCCCTCAGCATGTTGTTTGTGCTGTCGAATACTAGGAAACGATGTGTCTACCAGTCTGTCTCTGTCTCCCTGTTGTAAGCGCTTTCACTGAACTGTGATGTGGTGTGGTGTCCTTGGCCTTCATCAAGAGCTTGTTTTTAATGGCATTTTGAGAAATGTTCCTCAGTCATCCATGGAACCACAAGAGCAGATCTCTCACTCACACATTCCTTTATGGTTGGTTGTCAGGAAAGATTTTTCACTCCAAATTGGTATACTTTTTCCAATGTAATATGAGACCCTATTGTACTTTTCATTTTGCCATAATTTCTAGGAAGCTTAAGAGAGTACTTAGTTAAAATCTTATCCCAAGTTAGTTGTACAGTTATCTTGATCATTCCAAATGGTTTCATTTTTGATAACAGTTTGAAACATCCAGTCATACCATGTACTTTTTTCTTTGTAAAGAAACATGTTTGAGTTTTTTTCTAATTTTTAATTGTAATTTTCTAATTTTTTGAACGTATTTCTGATTTTTACTTTATCTAGAGATAAATTACTTTCCAGTTTTTGGTCTTGTTGATCAGTCAGTATCCAATTTCTAGTTTTGCCTTGCCTGTGAGCAAAATTAAAGTATTTATTTTTTAATTGCTTGATGCCCTTGTTATTATACTGGTTATTATAAAACATACTAAGAATAGTTTTATTTTCTACATTATCATCTAAACTTGCCTTCTGTATCACAGTGAATTTCGGATTAAACCCAGTACCTTCCTAAAGCTACACCATTTTTAAATAACCCGTATTTCTTTTCTGGCTTTATTCACTCATAACTACACGTGGCTGTGTACCAATGAATGAACTGTAGAAACCGAGCTGCTTTTGTTCACAGGAACTACCAGGAGGCTACGGTCGTGTGAAACCTGATGTCGTCACCTATGGTGCTGGAGTTCGGGGTTCTGGTGTGAAAGGGGGGTGCCGGGCCCTCTCGGGGACCAGTGTTGCCTCTCCAGTGGTTGCAGGTGCTGTCACCTTGTTAGTGAGGTGAGTGTTGCTTGGCACAGACCAGCAGCTTTAGTGTCAGGACAGGAGCACTTGGTGCCAGCACAGCAGGATCGAGTCTTGCTTCTGCCCCTGGCTGGATTAGAGAATTTAGGCACATCATGATTTTGATCTCTATTTCTTCACGTCTACAAAAGAGGTAGGAGTCCCTTCTTTTATAGTTAGATGACATGTATGTGAACACACTTTGTAAACTAAACCGTTATAGCACTGTACAAAGGCAGAATACCTATTACTTTTATTTGTGTTCTGTACTTTTTTAACATATGCTGTTTATGTGCTAGAACTGTGCTTTTTAAAAATTTTTAAAATTTTATTTCTTTATTTATTTAGAGATAGGGTCTCACTCTGTTGCCCAGGCTAGAGTGCAGTGACATCATCATAGCTCACTGCAACCAACCTCAAACTCCTGGACTCAAGTGATCCTCTTGCCTCATCCTCTCAAGTAGCTGGGACTGCAGGCACATGCTGCCATGTCCAGTTAATTTTTCTGTTTTTTTGGAGAGATGGGGTGTCACTCTTGCTCAGGCTGGTCTCAAACTCCTGGCTTCAAGCAATCCTCCTGCCTTGGCCTCCCAAAGTGCTAGGATTACAGGCATGAGCCACCACACCCAGCCAGAACTGTGCTTTTTATATTCAAACAAGTATATATATCAGGCAGAAAACAAAAAGTAAGATGTTTCTCTGCCATATCCCCATTTCCTGTGGGAATCACCTTTTTTTAAAAAAGTAAATTTTATTATGGATATATAAGGTATACAACATGATGCTATGGGATACATATGGCTAGAAAAAGGTTATTATAGTGAAGCAGATTAACATATTCATCTTCTCACATGGTTAACCATTCTGCTGCTGCTGTTTTTGTGGCAGTGACTCACCTTTTAACGTACTCTGTGAGCAGCTAAGAATGTCAAACCTGTCAGAGACTAACAGTCACTGCTCCTCTTTGTGTCATTGAATCTCATATATGGCTAGAATGGAGTTTAGTGATTGGCCCTTAATCTTGCAGATTATGGAACTGGAAGAAAGTTCTCAAAGTTGGGAGACTGAAATTGAAGCTCACAGGCTCTTTTAGTTGGATGGGCCATGTTTCCTTATTCTGAGTTATTAAAAGATGTCTTTGGGGCCTGCAATTTATTTTGTGACTGTTTTTCCCCCCACTATAAATCTTAATTTTTCTATCTAGATGAGGTTTTAGTAGCGCTCTTATGTTGTGATAACACTTAAAGCTCTGCATATTTGAAAATTATTAAATATGTTCTAATTTAAAAATTAGATTAAAATAAGTAACTGATATTCAAATTTTTTGTTTAAAATTGTATTCAAAAGTAAATTGTATGTTGATATTAGCTTCTAAAGCCTGAGATGATTTTGTTGATAAAGGTAGTAGATATCTTGAATCCTTGATAAAGGTAGTACATATCTGCCTCTTTCCTGCTTCCCTATCTTTTTCTTACATCAGAGCCAAATTCTTGAAACTGTTGACATTGGCCAGAGTAATCTTTGGAGATTAACCATATGCTTGCTAGAAACATTGTATTCTCTTTCAGTTGTTTTCCTCTCCCTTGTGTTACATAAAGTGAAGAACAGAAGAAAGTGAAGGTGGATCATGGGTTACCTGTTTCATTTGAGCTTTTGTAGTTGCCAAGTGGGTACAATTCAGCTAGGGCTCCTGTTTCCAATCTTGGTGATTCTGGAAACAGAAAATACTGGTTCATTTCTCCTGCTTGCTGTGGTTGTTAGCAGAAAATGAGGGTTCTAGCTTTACCCTTGAGCCTATCAAATCTCTTTACTGTTAATAGGTGGGCAGATGAAGAGGTTGTGTTTTCCATTCCCAGTGGCATCTCTAAGTACAGGTATTTTCAGCAGCAAGGAAACTTTTCACTCTCCTCATCTTCCTGCAGCAGATAAAAATGCAACTGTGATCATTCAGGAATACTTTTGTGGCTTGACAATAGCTCATAATAGATGCTAAACAACAAAGGAGAGCTTCCTGAGCTTCCAACTGTACAGCACTCTGAAAGGAAATGGAACCTATCCTTTGATTTTGCTTTATAGACAGGAAGAAGGGGAAGATTGTTGACTTAGAGATTTTAGCAGTTTTTTTATTCTGTCATTAAGAATTAATCCTACTTTATTTCCTCTTACTTCTCCTTATATCAGATTTCCCATTTAGAAAACCTGCCTAGACTCCAAGACCAACCACCATCATATAAAAATATTTAGGAACTTAGGAGAGTAAGTTTTCCTTTTTTGTTTACTGATTTTTTTTCCCTTCAATTTAGGGATTAACATTTACTTGCATTTGTAATACATAGATATACAAAAATGAACGTTTTCATGGTAGTATTACCTAAGTACCCAGTTAGGTAGAGCTCTATGCTAAAATTTGCTCAGATAACATTCTGATGGTGAAACTCTAAAGGTGGCCTTGGTCTGCAATGTTGTAAAAGGTGGTATCCACCAGGGCGATGCCGCCAATCTGGAAACAAAAAGGCAACAGTTAGCTTTGGAGGCAGTGGTCTCCATGCAGACCCCGTGCCTGCTGCCCATCCCTCGCTGTGGTTCCTTCCCAGGACTCATCTGTGCTCCTTTTCTTCTCCCAGCCAGGTGGTGTCCTGGGGTGTCTTCTCCTGGCCATTGGGCTTTCTCTCCTCTGAGGAGCCAGTACCTCTTATATATTCTTGCCTTCTGCAACCTGTTGGTTCAATTTAGTTGAATTATCAGGAAAATGTGTGTTGCTGATACATTTAGTATAAACAGGCACTAGCCTATAAGTGACTTCAAAAAAAGCCTTATAGAAGTTGGGTTGCTAAGTAGTTGGTCCTGAAGCAAGTACAGAAATGAGTAGATGCTTATTCTCATCTTACATGGGCTCCAACAAATGCTTCATTTTCCCCCCAGCACAGTCCAGAAACGTGAGCTGGTGAATCCTGCCAGTATGAAGCAGGCCCTGATCGCGTCAGCCCGGAGGCTTCCTGGCGTCAACATGTTTGAGCAAGGCCATGGCAAGCTTGATCTGCTCAGGGCCTATCAGATCCTCAACAGCTACAAACCACAGGCAAGGTCAGTATGCTGTACCTCTCAATAGGCCTTTCTCTTCTTCTCTGGGCTCTTGAGGGCTTCCTTCTGCACAAAATACTAGCCTCAAAACAGATGGTCACTGATCACAGTACCTGGGGCATTCGATGAGAGTTTAAAACACGATGCTGCTTCTATTAGGGTGCTGGCTGGCAGGCCTTGGAACTACTTTCAACTTACTGATGTTCTATTATCTTCAATATAAATGGTTAAAAATTATGATAAGTGTTTGGGTTTTTTTTTTTTTTAACTTTTTAAGCTTTTGAAATAATCTTAGGTTTACAGAAATTTTGCAAAAATATAAAGGAGTTCTCAGATACTCTTGGCCCAAGCTTCCGCTAATGCCACCATCTTGGATGATCGTAGTACAACCATTAAAACTAACAGATGAACACTGTAATTAATCTGCAGACTGCACATGCTGCCAGTCCTCCTTGAGCTCTTGTGCCTTGTGGGCCCAGTACCCATGTTGCAGTTAGCCGTCTGTCTCCGTCTGCTCTGACCTTTGACACTTCATTTGTCTTTCGTTTATTACTGTGAATCCTTTGGAAAATGCTAGTCACTTATTTTGTAGACCGTCTCTCACTGTGGGTTTATTGGATATTTTCTTATGATTAGTTTGAGGTTTAAAAGTCTTTTTAATAAGACTTTTTTTCCCACCCTTTATTTTGAAATGATTTTAGATTTATAACAAAGTTTCATAAATAGCACATGAGAACCCATTAATCATTCACCCAGCTTTCCCTAATGTTGACATCGTACATAACCACGGTATGAGCCTCTAAGCTTGGAAATTAACATTGATACAACACTGCTGGTGATCTCCAGACCACGTTCAGATTCCGCCCGTTGTCCCACTCTGGTCCTTTGGGATCCAATCTGAGATCTCATATTACACTTAGTTGTCATGTCTTTTTAGTCTTATTTAATCACAGACAGTTCTTCAGTTTTCTTTGGTTTATTACTGGTAGTATTAATTTCCACTATTTGATTAATGTGGTCTGTCACTCTGGGTCCTCCAAGAAGCAAACGCCAAGATGGGGTTAGAAGTTCAAGAGCTTATTGTGGGGAGGGAGGCCTGTGAAGGACAGAGGGAAGGGAGTGGGAGTAGGCACGGAGTCTTAGGACTGGGGCGCTGATCTGACACCTGTGGAGAGAGGAGGGGAGGGAGGATGGGGAGAAAGCCTCAGGCTGCAGTACAGGTCTAAGAAGGTTTTGGCTGATGGGGAATCCTTGAACCAAAGTCACCTGTTGGAGGAGTCCTGCATTGCCTGGGAATGGGCCTGCCTGAGTACAGTCTTTGCTCAGAATCAGCTGGGAGCAGCGGGGCGAGTGTGGCTTTGGCACAGACATGGTGGAGGATCTCGAGGGCTGTAGCTGGAAGTGTCAGCCACCTGTGCTCCTGCAGCAGGAGCTCTCAGTGGTGTCGTTGGCCAGGTGTGTCCACTCTGTAGCTCCTGTTTTCCCTTTGTGACTACTAAGTATCTTGTGGGGATACGCTCTGAGATGATCGTGTTTCTTAACGTACTTCTATTCACTGATTTTGGTATCCATTGATAGTTCTTGCCCACAGTACCTACTATTGAGAAGTTTGACACATGATGATTTTCTGTTTCCCTTATTACTTCTGCATTTATTAATTGGAATTCTGCTGGAGGGAAGAGCTGTCCTTTCTCGCTTGTTTATTTATTCAATTATTTATGTCAGTATGGACACATGGATTTTTTTTTTGACTCTGTGGATTATAATCCATTAATATCATTATTTAGGTTTTTGCTCATATTGTCCCAGGTGTGGCTATTGGGAGCTCCTTCTAGTTGGCTTCTGTGTCTGTTCAGCACATCGTCATCATTTCTGAGCACTTCCTTTCTTTTTGGCAGTACAGGATGTCCCGTGATGTATTTCTGTGCTGCAGCCTTGGTATCATTTCTTTCTCCAAGCAGCCCTGTTCCTTTAATTGCAGAATGGTATTCAGAAACCCAGACCTGGGTGCTAGGTGTGCTCAGAGCTGCTGTGCTCATAGTTGTTCTAGGCTCTTTAGCAGACAGACCTAGGAAATGTATGTGTATACATGTGTACCTATTTCTGTATCTGCCCATTTGTGTTTATATTGGAAACATGAGTTCATACTGTCTCCTGAGTCCGCCCCACATCACAGTGTTTGTTCTAACCTTCCCTCTCCTTGTTTCTAACTCCTTTCTCCAACAGTGAGAAACCTGGTTCTTGTTATCTGAGATATATTTATTCACTTACTTGCTGCGTCCTAGTATATACATATCAAGTAGCTTTAGAATGGCTTACCCATACCCTCGTGACTAACGCATTTACTAAGTACAGTATTTGTGATAGTGCTTTTTTATCTTTAGCCTTACAGAATATACTCATAGTGTTTTCCAGAGTTACCTAGGTTCTTTTCTTACTGTTCATTTTTAATATGGTTAGGCTCGTTTGCTAGTATTCGTATTCCTTTTTGGATTCCCCGCTCCCCTACCTCAAATCCTGGTTGATGTCAACTACTCATTGGGTGTTGGAGCATTCCCGTGGTTCTAAAGGTCAGAACTGCACATGAGGTATAACTGTTCCCATTCTCTCCACCCTGCTTCCACGAACCCCTGTGGTAAAAGTCACATTAGGTTTTGGTTTATCCTTTTTGAATTCCTTTTTGCACCCGAGCACATCCACAGAAGGATAGCATGGCTGTGGATATTCATTTGCACTTTGCTTTTTTCACTTAATGATATCCTGGAAATCACTGAATGGCAGTGCATAGAGATTTTCTTCTTCCTTTTTTACAGTGATATCATGTCAATGCACAATTATTTACATATAGGTGCTTAAGATGTTTCTAATATTTTGTAATTATGAGTTGTTGCAATGAATAACCTTGTGATTCTATGTCTTAGTTTTGTTAGAGGTATTTCTTCAGAGTAAATTCCTAGAAGTGTCATTGCCGGGTCAAAGTTAAGTGCATCAGGTAGCCTTGTTAGGTATTGCTGTGTTCCCCTCCAAAAGGGTTATGCCAGTTTGTGTTCCCCCTGCAGTGTTAGGGAATGAATGTCTGTTTCCCCAAAGCCGACTTGTTACTTTTTTGCCAGTCTGATAGGTGAGATATGGTATGTCAGTATTGTTTTAATTTGCATTACTCTAGTTATGAGTAAGTTTAAACACTTAATGTCTATGTTTAAGAGCCATTTTTCTTTCTTATGAATTGTCTGTTCATTTTTTTTCATTTTTTTTCTTTCTTTTTTTTTTGAGACAGAGTCTCACTCTGTTGCCCAGGCTAGAGTGCCATGGCATCAGCCTAGCTCACAGCAACCTCAGTCTCCTGGGCTCAAGCGATCCTCCTGCCTCAGCCTCCTGGGTAGCTGTCTTTTTCCTCTTTTTCTATGGGGTTTTTGGTCCCTCAGTTTTTAAGAGTTCTTTTATATATTAGGGTTAGTTGTCAGTGTTATATGTTGCAAATCTTTTTCTCAGTTTGTCAATTGTCCTTTGACTTTGTGGAAGGTATTTTTTTGTTGTTGTTTTTTAATAGTCATTTTTGTTAGTTTTTTTGCTGTCGTTAGGCCTCTGGGATTTGAGTCCTAGAAAGTCTGTCTTTGCACTGAATGAGGTAAAAGAGAAATTTACCCAGGTTTTCTTCTAATACTTGTTTGCTTTCTTTTGTTTACTTGAGATTCCCTGATCCATTTAGAGTTTATTCTCATTTGCCATATGAAGTACAAATCTAATTTTATCTTTTGTCAAATGGCCACCCATTTGTTAAACAGCTCCATTTATTAAAAAGTCCATCTTCGGTGCAGTGAGTTGAGATGCTGTCTTTATCATGTACTAAATTTTCATATGTATTTGGATGATCTCTGGGCTTTCTGTTCCATTCCACTGGTCTATCTGAAAGGCTTCCTGGCATGTTTTAATGTCGGGTAGGGTTAATTCCCCATGTAATTTTTATTTTTAGTGTTTTCTTGACTGTTCTTGAATGTTTGTTTTCTTCACATGACTTTTCATATCAAATTCTCCAATTCCATGAAAGATGCTTATTGGAATTTTTATTGGGATTGCATCAAATTTTAAATGAACTTAGAAGTGATATTTTTATGAAAATGTTGAGTTATTTTTTCCAAGAGTAGAGGATGATGTGTTTCCATTGGTTCCAGCCTTTTGTGTCTTCCAGGAGGTTTTTACAGTTATCTTCCTATGGGTTTTACACATTTCTTGGTAAGTGTAAGTATTTATAATTTTTGTAGTCATTGTTGGTGGGGTTTTCTATTATATCCTTTAACTGGTTGATTTTCTTTCTATATGTTAATTTTATATCCTGCTACCTAACTGGATTATTATTTATTTTGATTTTTCTAGTTTTTCAGGTATACTAACATATATCATATGGAATAGAAATAGTTTTACCTCTTCCTTACCACTTCTTAAGGCTTTATTGATTTCTTTTGATTAGTTGTGTTTGTTAATATCTCTGGCACAGTGTTGAATAGCAGTGGGAATGGTGGGCGTCCTTGTGTTGTTTCTCAGCTGAGTGGAAATGCCTCTTTTATTTCCCCATTAAATAAGATGCTTGCTTCATGACTAAGGTGTATCTATCTATCTATAGAGATATATATGTTGTAGTAGATTACCCATCAATTGCTATTTTCTTGAGTGTTTTTCATCAGGACTGTGCATTGGATTTTATAAGCCTTTTCAACATTTATAAAGGTAATCATGTGACTAGTTTAGACCTATTATTATGGTTTATGATATTAATGAATTCCCCAGTATGGAATCAATCTTACATTCCTAAAATAAATCCCAGTTGATTTTAGTGTATTGTTTTCTTAGTATGATGTTGAATTCTGTTTGCTAATATTGATTTGTTAATTGAATCTTATTAGTTGAATTAAACTGTTTACAGAGCACAAGTACCAGCAAAATTTACAAATGTGTTTCAGGTGGAAGAGGTACTTTTGCTGTTAGCCACATGGCCAGCCTACTCATGATTTTTAAAATTAGGTGGTATCTATTTTAAATGACTAATTATGGTATGTATTGATTATAACTGCCCATGGAAGTCACAGTATCCCTGAAGATACTCTGTTTGGGTTTTCTGTAAGATAGAGTGGTGGTCAGGTTCATGTGCCCACTGCACACAGGTGCAGCTTGGTAAGCAAGATCCACTGACCTTCCCAATGAGGTGGTCTTGGGTCATGTCCTACTTGAAGCACTCGCCTCCTACCTATCTTTTTACTTGTGCATAGATGACACTGCGGCTGTGTTAAGAATGATATTAACCTACCACAGATTCATTTCAGATAAGGGGAAAATGTGGAACAAACAAAATTGGGGGAGCCACTTGTGTCAGCACTTCTGACACAAATTATGTCAGGGTCCCCAGAACCACTCTCAGGCTTGGTGCTTTGCTGGAAGGACTTGTGGGACACAGCCTGTGGTTGTACTCACAGTTAAGATTCATTACAGTGGCACAGCCAGGATGGATAGTCGATCTGTAACAGAAAGAGGTCCTCACGTGGAGGGAGTCTGGTGAAATCCAGGCTTAGGCTTCCTAAGCTCACCCCTCCCTCCTGCCAGGCAGGGTCTCATGGAGCTGGCCCCTTTCCCAGCAGTGAACTGCATCGCCACATCGTGTATTTCTGCCCAGGGAAATCCCCTCTAGACTCAAGTCCAAGGTTTCCGTTAGGGCCGAAGCTCCAGACTTGCAGAAGGAAAGAGGTGTTCCCCACACATCATGCTGTTTATACAGTCTAGTGGGCTGGCACAGCACCTTATCAGCACAGGAGCATTCCAAAGCCACGTTCCCAGACACCAGCCAAGGGCACCCCTGCAAGCAGGCCCTGGCAAAGCTCAGGTCTGCTATATTACCTCTTTCTTGCACAGTTGTATTGCTTCATTGTAGTTTTCTAATATGGTCTACTCTAACACTGTATTCTTTATTTCAGTTTGAGCCCCAGCTACATAGATCTGACTGAATGTCCCTACATGTGGCCCTACTGCTCCCAACCCATCTACTATGGAGGAATGCCAACAATTGTTAATGTCACCATCCTCAACGGCATGGGAGTCACGGGAAGAATTGTAGATAAGGTGAAGCTTCTCTCTGTCTTGGTGTCTGACTTGGTGGTGAACTTAGATGTGGCCCTGACCTTTATGCCTTAGTTATTTCTCCTGAAGTTGAAAGAGGAAAGTTTCCCTTTTACCTGTCTAGGGTCCCAGGGCTATTAGAAGTAGTGGTTTGTTACACTACTAAGTCCCTTACAGAGTAAGTCAGGGCATACTTTAATGAAACCAGTTTTACTTTTTTGCTCTGGCATCTTTTGCTTGGCCCCTGAATCAACTAATCGCATTTGATTCTTCATCTATACAATTTTCCACCTATAATTAAAGGCCCAGTTGTAATTATTTTATTCCTTAATGAGCGTAGACTGGCCTTTGTGTTTGGAAAGTATAGCCTTTCTTTTGAATTTTTTTATATAAATTTTAAAATACTGCATAGACATTATCACAACAATAAAGGATAGGGAAGAAGAACAGAAAACTCATTTCTAGCCCTAGCACACTAACATAGCCTCTATTTTTAAAATATTCTTTTCCAGCCTTTATCTGAAATACATATTCTTCTTATGTTTGTGCGGTAGGCAAAACTTCGCAATCTTTTTTTTAGTTCTCATTATATTATAAACATATAAAAATATAACTATGTACGCAGTAGCAGTGTACCTTTTAATGGTTATTTAATATTGTATAGAATTAATAAATTATAATTTATTTACTTTTTCCCCCTGTTTGAACAGTTAGGTGGTTTTCAACTATAAACATTTCACTGAATATCTTTGCATATATTGTTTTCTTCTGAATTATTTCCTTAATGTAAACTCCCTGGATTCACTCCCTGAATCAGAGGGTGTGGACCAGGTGTCCTCAAACTACGGCCCATGGGCCACATGCAGCCTGCCAAGGACATTTATCCGGTCCGCCCGCCGGTGTTTTTGCCGCCGCTGCCTGTCCTTGCTTAGCAGCTGACTCATCCCAGGCCTACAGTGCGCATGTGTGGAATGTGCGCCGCACTCTCCAACAGCACTCCAGTGGTCTGAGGGACAGTGAACTGGCCACCTGTTTAAAAAGTTTGAGGACCCTTGGTGTGGACATTATTATGGCTCTTGGCACATACTAACAAATTCTGTATTGGAGAGAGGATTTTGTCCCATCAGCTTAGACTGCATGCCAGTGGTATTCAGGGGGAAAACATCTCCATCAGGTCCGTACTGGGTGGTAACATCTTTTTTTGCTTTTTTTAAAAATTGAGATATAATTAACATGCTATAAAATTTACCCTGCAGTTCAGTGGTTTTTAGTATATTCCCCAGATTATACCAATATCTCATTCCAGAACATTATCATTGCCCCCCAAAAGAAACCTCATTATAATTATCAGTCACTCCCTTCTCCCACCTTCTCAGCCTCCTTCCCCCACCCCTGGCAACCACCAGTCTGCTTTCTCTCTCTGTGGGTTTTCCTGCTCTGGACATTTCATGTGAGTGGAGAATTGTACAGCATTTGCTCTTTGGAGTCTGGCTCAGTATAACGTTTTCAGGATTCACCCAAATTGTAGCATGATTCATATTTCACCTCTTTTTATAGCTGAGTTACACTTCATTCTATGAACTAGACCACATTTTGTTTATCTGTTCATCTGTTGATGGGCATTTGGCTTTACTAAGTGGTATATCTTTCGACTTTAAATTTAGGGGATGAAATGAGCATCTTATTTAATGTGCTCTTCAGTTATTTGTGAGGTGGGTATCTTTGGATGTGTTTACTATTAATAATTGTATTTCCTCTTGTGTGAATTACCTTTTTGTTTTCTTGGCTCATTTTCTACTGGAGTTGGGATTTTTCTCTGTCAGTCCTAACAAGATCTCTCTCTGTTATAGAGAAATTAACTGTGCTGTGTTTTATGCCAAATGTTCCTCCAGGTTATTCTTTTCCTTTCCCTTTAATATTACTTACCGTAGTGGTTTTTAATTTTTCTATAAAAATTTTACATTTCATGTAGTTGAATTTTTGTCTTTTGTGATTTCTTCCATTGTTTCAAAGATTAGAAACTTATCCCTCCAGAGATAAAATAAAATCTCAATTTTATTTTTCTACTCATTTTCATTTATATGATTGTTAAATATTTAATTTTTCATCTGTGTTAATTTGATATGTGGTATAAGGGATGGATGAAAGTTTAACTTTTTTCTCACTTACTAACCAGTGGTCCCAAGAGCATTCATTAAAAATCTCTTTCCTTCCTCATTATTTGTGATGCTATATACTATAAATATTTTTCTTTTCCAGAATGTTTTTCTTGATATGCTCATTCACTTGGGGAATATGTTCTTGCTATGTGGCTTGTGAGGGAAATAAGTAATTTAGGTTTGTTTGAAATATTGATTAGTTTTAAGAGCTCATTCATGTTTCTTCCAGATGGTCTCTACTTGAGCTTTCCTTTCTGCTTTCCTCAAATCCGGGAGGGACAGAGAGGGTCGGCACCTTACAGCTGCCTGTCACTAGCTTCAGAGTTTGATTGGGGACAGCTGGTGTACATGTCATTTTATTGCTTTCAGTTAATATGATTCTTTAAGTGAAAGTACAACTAATTTGGATCTAAGCTCAATCTGACAGTTTTCACTTATATAATTTCTCTACTCAGATAAAAATTCTTCATCAAGGAACTTTTGACACATGTCCCCTCTTTTTTTTATAATGGGAAAAGAAGTCTTCATAAAATTGAAGGCTATTAGAAATAGTGGTTGCTAGACTTTTCTAGTGGGTGTGTTCCAGGCAGTCCATAGGTTACTTTGGTTATAGGTTACTTAGTATCTGTATATAAATTTTACTTTACCCCATTGAATGTAATATTTCTCAAAAGCTGATTTAGATCATTTAGGAATTGAAGCATATCTAATTTTCAAATGTTTTCTCTTGTAACATTTCACTTCAGCCTTTGCTTGGTTTCTTTTTCCTGCAGCCTGACTGGCAGCCCTATTTGCCACAGAATGGAGACAACATTGAAGTCGCTTTCTCTTACTCCTCAGTGTTATGGCCTTGGTCGGGCTACCTGGCCATCTCCATTTCTGTGACCAAGAAAGCGGCTTCCTGGGAAGGCATTGCTCAGGGCCACGTCATGATCACCGTGGCTTCCCCAGCAGAGACGGAAGTAAGGACGCCCCAGGGAAGTGGCTTGTTTTTCTCAGCCTTTTACCGTCACCTGCCAGGAAGCGGGTGGGCAGGCTTAATGCTTTAGACTCTCAATTTAAAGTACAAGTGACAGACGAGATTAGCCTTGATGGCCATGATTGATGGTTCCAGGGCCTGCAGAGCCACTGGAGTTTAAAAAATCATCTCGATACATGACTGATAGTGCTTGCTATTCTGCTGTTACACAGCAGCGGAGAGCACTGTTTTGTTCCAGATTTCAAGCTCAAAATGAGTGCACCAGAAATATATATTCTCTGAAAAGAAATGTAGGGTTAATCTAATTGTTTTCAGAAAGGGTCTTAAATTTTAAGTCTTAAACTCTTAAGTGTTGGAAAGCAGTTAATTGTGATACATGAATATTCTGTCATATGTTTGTAATTGGAAATTCTTGTGTTCAGATTATTTGGGTTAAATTGATAAATGGAAATGATTTTTTTTTAAATCTGAAAATTTTTTTCTGGGCAGAGAAGGCATTTCAGGTTTCAATGTTTTTTAGTCAAAAAATGGTGCAGAACAGACTTCAACGGTGAAGCTCCCGATTAAGGTGAAGATAATTCCCACTCCCCCACGAAGCAAGAGAGTTCTCTGGGATCAGTACCACAATCTCCGCTATCCACCTGGCTACTTCCCCAGAGATAACTTAAGGATGAAGAATGACCCTCTGGACTGGTAAGCACCACACTCCGATGCTCTTCTCCTCCTCGGTCCTGCCACGGGGGACAAGGCGCCGCTGTTCCCGTGACTGGTGGGAAGGAGACGTTGCTCAGCTTCTCATTAAGCTTGGACTCTCGCGGCCCCTACACTTTGCAGGCCCTTGTTATGCTTAGGGCAGCCCGACTTCTCTCGAAACTCAGATAATTGTGTAGTAAAAACCTTAAAGTCCTCCTTAACTGCTCTCTCGCCCTTGCTGCTTCCCTTGAGTCAGTCAGCAGATCCCATCAGTCTGACCTTCAGACCATGTCCTGAATCCTTCCGTGTCGGCCTTCTCCTCTGCTCCGAGCCTAGTCCCAGTTGTTGTCGTCTCTTGCCTGGATGGCTTCAGTAGCCTGATGAGTCTCACTGCTGTGGTTATTGCTCCCCTAAATTCCACTCCCCATATAGCAGCATAATAATCTCAAAAATAAATTCCATCACAGTTGGCAGCCAACTCTCCAGTGACTGCCTATTCAGACTTCCTCACATGGCCAGACATCCTGGCGTGCCCTGCACGATGCTTCTGGACCTGGGGCCGCTTCCCTCCCTGGGTCCTCACACGGCCCTCCCTGCACTGCACCTGCAGGGCAGCTGGGTCAACTTTCTCTCGGCCCACAGGCCAAGCTCATTTTTGCCTTAGTGTTTGGACTCCATGCTGAAAGTAGGGGAAAGGGGGCCATCGAAAGGTCTGACTAGCATACTTTTAGGGTCAGATTTGCCTTTTAAAATAAGACGTCCCTGGGAGACAGATTGGAGGGTCTCAGACCAGAGACAGGTAGACAAGAAGGTGGGAGGTTGATAGAGCAGGGTGAGGCTGTGGGCCTGCAGAGGAGCACGTGGGGTAAGTGCTGCTGAGGAGTTGGGCTCTGGAGGGCTGTGAGGTGGGGACGGCGTGACCCCTGGGCTTTTCCAGGGTTCGTTGGGGTAAACAGTGTACATGGAGTGTCCGATGGGAAAGTGAGCACAGTTGGGAGGGACAGAGATGCAGAGGTGATCAGTAGCAGTGATGCCAGCTAGTCATACGCTTCCGGTGTAGTGCACTCGCCCTGTGTGGCTTGTCCTAGTGTCCCTGCACGCCCATTACCACATGCTAATAAGCTCATTTGTCAGATGCAGCTGAGCTGCCAGCAGTTTACATGGATGCCACTACTAAAGTGATGCTCCAGCGCACTTTAAAACACGTCTTTAGCTCTCTGTTGTCATCATTTTATCTCCTTTGTGCACATGGCATGTACATGATTTCCTCTTACCACCCATTTCCATATGTCCAGCCCAGAGAACGCATGTCTGGGGAGGCTGACACCTGTCACAGTGAGCCAGACATCCTGGGCCTTCTCTGTGGTGACGACGCAGTGCTCCCACAGAGGCGGCCCTGTGGCTAGATACACCTTTATTGCCAGTAGAGATGGATCATATTAATGCCGAGGCCTGTTGTTTTTCAGGAATGGTGATCACATCCACACAAACTTCAGGGATATGTACCAGCATTTGAGAAGCATGGGCTACTTTGTGGAAGTCCTCGGCTCCCCCTTCACGTGTTTTGACGCCAGTCAGTATGGTGAGGAGCAGCGACATGCTAGCCAGATGTTCTTTCTGCTCAAGTTGGATGTTTGTTTAAAGTTTGGAAAGTGAATCCCGGTTTCCAGCAGGAGGCCAGCCAAACGAGCATGTGTGTGAGCTCCGTGTCCTAGCAGAGGTTGGGGACAAGGCTCTGAAACAGAATGAGGCACATTCCTACTTGATGGGGATAGGTGTGGCGTCCAACTAAAGTGCTGAATTGTCGGCTGATTGGAGACTGGGGTCTTTGTACCCTTTTTTTCCTTTAAGCTTTAGCACTGTATTTTATCCCTCTTCCAGTAAGTGAAAACTCTTTATTTTGAGCAGCACAAATGGAAACAGAAGATCTCAGTTAGTTGGTTCCTATGTTTTGTTGGACCCTGCTCCTTTATTTTTTAGCCCCTTTTACAGTGGTACAGGGTGGTACACACCTAAATGTTAGGAGTCAGTATCTATCTTGAGTTGTGGATCCAGTGAAATGCTGTGTTGCCGAAACAGTGATATCCTGTCATTTGGAGGTGACAGTTCTCAAACCGTGGCACTTTGTTTGTCAGGAACTTTGCTAATGGTGGACAGTGAGGAGGAGTACTTCCCCGAAGAGATCACCAAGCTGAGAAGGGATGTGGACAATGGCCTTTCTCTCGTCGTCTTCAGTGACTGGTATAACACTTCTGTTATGAGGAAAGTGAAGTTTTATGATGAAAACACAAGGTACTGATAAAAGTTGGTATTTGAATAAGAAATGTGACTTTTTGGGAATGAAATTCTTCTCAGTACATACTTAAGTGACTATTTGACCTGTTGGTGGTCTTTAAAGTTAGCAGAGACATGTTCAGAGAGCTAGGCTAGAAAAAAGCTCTTTCTTTATACAGCAAAGATGTTCTTGAAAGTTGCTTGTGAAGTGAGTAAGATGTGTATTGATTCTGACCACTAATTTAGAGTCTTTATCATCTTTCCTATTGGTCGCGTAGATCCTTGAGCTGTAAATTTGTGTTTATTCTTCTCCATCCTCCCATCTCTCTGTTACTGAATATGTACAAATTTAATGCACCAAAAGAACTGTTATTTCCTTCTAATAAATTAGTTGTGTATTTAGAATACATTGAGATCAGAGATTCACAATGTATTATAAATATATCACCCTTATATTTTGATTTGTTTTCTTTTAGAGTCTGTGACTTGAACTTTTATAAGCTTCCCTCTCATCTCTTTTCCTTCGCCGAGTCTTGCTAGGTCTCGGCTAAGCAGATAACTTGTGATGCATTTCAGTACTGATTTTCATTTCATAAAATAAGTTTGTCTTTAATTTATTGTGCACATTGGCTGAAGCATTTACATTTGCAGTATTACTCAAACCCAGACAGTTAGTTTTAGTTGAAACCTTAGTGTGGATGGATTGTATTGTGACCAGAGAAATTTAATTTCATCATGAAAAGACTCATCTACATGGAGTATCTTAATCCTTTTGTCCTCTGTGCCTCTCGTCACTTTTACAGGCAGTGGTGGATGCCGGATACTGGAGGTTCCAACATCCCGGCTCTGAATGAGCTGCTGTCCGTGTGGAACATGGGATTCAGCGACGGCCTGTACGAAGGGGAGTTTACCCTGGCAAACCACGACAGTAGGTTCTGGGTTTGTGTTTTAATAGGGCTCAGCGTTCCCAGAGGTGTGAGAGTGGAAGCCACACACCTCCGCAGTCTATGTTTCAGAGAGAGTTCCGATGTGATTCCTCAATAAGCTTGAATCTGTGGAAAGAACTAGTCAATATTTTCACAAAGGACATCTGTGAAGCTCTAGTTTTGTCCAGATTTTTTAAATGAAAATATTTTATATGGGCATTCTTAATTTTAATGTGCTACTTACTAGAGTCTTTATGTACTATATATAGTTTCAAATAGGAAATATTTCATCGGCTCATGATTATAAAATTCTGTTTATGAAATAACTTTGCATTTCTTATTTAAGAGTTTCTTCACAGATAAGTTTTTGGTAGCTAGTTTCTAGAACATCATCCTGAGAATTATTGTTAATAATTCTTCAAGTTCCTACTTAGATTGTTTTGAGTCTCTGACTGCTCTGACTTACAAAATCTATTCAGAAACTTTATATTAATAATAATTTTTACTTGAATTTTAGGTGATTACTGGTAGTTTAAGTGTGACAAGGCAATAGTAGCTCCTTAAGATTAAAAATAATTTTTAAAAAATACATAAAATCTAAAGAATGCATTTTAGGTGAATTAGTAACTGTTGATTACAGTGTTTCTACGTTCCTATAACTTAGAATACCTCTTTTCTAGTGTATTATGCATCAGGGTGCAGTATCGCTAAGTTTCCAGAAGATGGCATAGTGATAACACAGACTTTTAAGGACCAAGGTAAAGGATGCTGTTCGTGGGCTTTTTGGTTTCTTCCCTCCTTTCCTTCCTCACTCCCTTCCTCAGCTTTATTGCATATAATTTACATATACAACTTTCACCCTCTTAAAGCGTACAATTCGATGGATTTTAGTGTGCTCACAAAATTGTGCAGTCGTCACCACTCTGTACTTTTCATCACCCCAAAAAGAAATCCCATACCGGTTAGAAGTTTGGGTTTCTTTTAAAACGTATTGTAATATTATTTGTATGTTACATACCTTAGGCATGACAACATGACTTCTAGACAGGGGCTCTGGGAGGTACAAAGATAAGACAGCCTCTTGCTGATAAGTTGAATATGTTTTATAGATGTGTGTGTGTGTGTGTGTGTGTGTGTGTGTATATGTATGTATGTATAGTGACTACTACAAAAGAAATTAAATTCCTTCAGGAGAGGGGCAAAAATATTTATTTGTAGCTTTTAAAAGACTACAGAGTACTTCAAAGTTACCTGAATTTTCTGTTGCTATTTATGAATTGTTCTGCTTCTGTGATTGCCAGGTTACTGAGATTTTAGAAAAATTTGACCATGTTTTGAAGTTCTTAATTGCATAGAGTAACCTTTTAAAATTCTCATAAGAGTGGTGTTTGCTTTCAGTTTTGCTTCAACTGTAAGCAAGCATCACCCAGGATGGCACCATGCCAGTTCCCCTAGACCTGGCGTCTGTGATACCACTGTGTGCTCAGTGCTCACAGAGCCTACCCAGTGAGCCAGGGAGCAGTGGGGAGTGAGCTGGGCCACCTCTGCCTTCCCAAGGGCCAGGTGCAGGAAAGTAAGAACAGGTGAGCAGAAACCACAGGACATCCTTCCTTGACCTGTCACTCCAGACTTGTTATTTTGAACCACATGTATCAACTCTCACTTCTTCTGAGAGCTTTGATACTGTTGTATGCTCCAGACCATAGTCTTGTGGAAATGTGCAAGGTGGATCCTTTTCCTCATGCAAGCTAATATTATGTATTTCAGAACGATAGGGCCCATAGCAATGGCTGCTATTTTTTTTTTTACTTGGAAGTTAAAGATAGTTTTATTATTTGAAAATGAGGAAAAGGTAGGATTTTTCAACTTATATACATATTTGCAACTGCAAGATAGCATCTATTTTACTACTTGGAAGCGGTTTTTTCCTTTTATCAAAGCAAGATCAGTCAGTGAATAGATATATTTCATAGGGTTATAGTTTAAACTTAAGCACATAGTGATTATGTTTTCACAATCACTTGGCGTGGTTTACCATGGGTTAATGATTCTTTCTGAAGGTGGTTTCTCATAGGCATTGTCGCAGGTACTAGGTATAAACGAGGGGTGAGAGCAGCGTTCTCCTCATTGGCCTGTTGCCCTCTGGTATGTAATTGTTTTGGGGTGGGGGTGGGGGATCAGAAGTAGACTTACGGATGCATACTTCATTTTGGGGTTCTGGTACAGTCTAAAGTTGAATAATCTTTTGAGTGCAAAATAGGAATTTGGGTTATGCTGGATCAGAAAAGATCCTGTTGTCAGAAACAAAACTCGGCCAAATGGCAGGCAGCATGTGTTCCCTGTTTCATCTATCTGACCGATTGGTCCTTCCCTCACTCCAAAGGAAATCATGTTTTTTCTTCTGCTCACCTCCTACTGGGTTTCTGCACAGAGAGCAGGAAATGTTGCATTTATATAGCTGCAGACATTTTAGATGTTTTCAACACAGACAATACTGGATTCCGACGAAGATGTGTATCCTGTTTAGTGCTAAGGACAGCATTTGCTTTAGGGCAGAGACTTTTAGACTATCTGATGGTACCACCGATGATGCTGCCCATGGCATTTATACATTTTTTTAACTCCTTGACTCATTAAACATTTTAAATTAAGAAGGCTCCGCTGTTGGAGCATGTCTGTTTGTGAAATTAATGTAACATCTTAAATCTAAATTCAAAATATTATGTGGACATACTTTTAAAAATTAGTTACATTTGTCTTAGCATTTAATAATAAAACACCAAACCTGGGTATCAGTATATATGACTGTGTTTGTAGAGATAGCTGTATGTTTTGTAAGAGCTGCTGGCTGGCTGCCCCTGTATGAGCAGTCTGAAGACAGGCCTTTCAGCATATTAAGAGACGACAGAAATTTGTTTTTTCAGGATAAAAAGGGGGAGAAGTGACACCTTTTCGGTTGTAAATATTATATACCATGATTTCAAGTGAAAATGAATGAGGATGGATATAGGAATACACATATAAGTAAATTTTGCTAAAGCCCAAATTAATGGCACATAAGACATTGCTTTCCTATCCTAAAAGTTTGCAGTTTTGATTATATATTAGATTTTGCTAATTTTTTTAATTGGTCACATGGATTAAATCTCATATGGCAACTGGAAAATCACTCGTTGCTCAACAGAAACTCTCATTGCCGTTTTTTGTTGTGTTTCAGGATTGGAAGTTTTAAAGCAGGAAACGGCAGTTGTTGAAAATGTCCCCATTTTGGGACTTTATCAGATTCCAGCCGACGGTGGAGGCCGGATTGTACTGTACGGAGACTCCAATTGCTTGGATGACAGTCACCGACAGAAGGGTAGGAAAATAGCAGATGAGCTTAGTGATTTGGGCACACAAATCTCTTCTTCCCTTAGTCCCTCACATAAATCTCTTCTTCCCGTAGTCCCTGGGAAGGCGCTGATAAGATGCTGGGGAATAAATAGATACCTGCTCACATGAGCCACGGTCAGCTGGGGGAGTTCCAGTTGCTTTGATTGCTTAGAATATTTTGATAGGTATCTAAGTCTGGCCATGATTAATAAGCAAAACTAAACTGCTTTCATGGGCTGTGATGCTTTTTCTACGCTGCAGCCAGTGGAGGCTGGCTGGGGTCAGCCTGGCCCCTTACCCAACTTAACTGGTTTCTGCCCTTCCATGCAGCCCTCTGGGTTGTCTGTACTTTGTGGGCACTGCCACAGGGGGGCGCCCTTCTCTGCTCTGACCCACTCTTTCCGCAGCCCTGCTGCCTGGGCAGCTGCTCCTGGCTTTCTTCCCAGACTTGGGAGTTTGGGCTGTTGGGAGCCTTTGCCAGTGAGGAGTATTTGTTATCATCTTCAGGCGTGAAGGGGAGGCAAAGAAGGGACAAACGAGTCCTCTCCTACCTCTCCTGGTTTTCAGTCTGTCTTGATTGACGCATCCTCCAGATTTGGGTGTTTGAGCTTGGAACAGACTTTATTTTTCTCATTTTATAAAGGAGGAACTGGAATGGTGAAAGTGTTACACGTTTTTATCTGGTAAAATGATGACTAAACCAGGACTGAAACCTAGTCTTGTAACTCACTATGACCGCTGGAGAACGGGGGAGGCGGGCACATCACACCTTTGTGCTGGCAAGCAGTGCAGCTCAGCTGCAGAGGGGCAGGCACGAGGGCATGCCCCGAGGGCTGCATCTGCACTCTGATTTTCATTTGAAGTTGATCAAGTTCCTAGCATTTAGGTAAATCCTTAGACTATGATTAGTCTTTTTAAACATCAAAAGTGAGGGTTAAAATCACAGTTGAAAGAAGATTAATGTTTTATTTCCACCGAGATTTTATTTTAAGACCTGAGATCTCCTGATAAGAGTCCTTATTAAAATTTTAAATACCTAAGAGGACTGTCCTGGTCCTTAAATTTCAAATGGCAGCTTTTAGGATCTTTTAGAGGCTTTAAGCACTTGACCAGAAGTGTTCTTTAATGACAGAAAAGAACTTAATGGCATTTTTTCTCTCACGAATCGTCTAGTCCAAGTTGATGTTAATGGGACTCGAAGTGGGCAGACATAGGTGAAACAAGATGGCAACAGAAATTCCAGCTTTTACCCTGTGCTCAAAAGGCACCAGAAAAAAAAACCAAAAAACCCCCCACAACTCCATGTTTATCTATGGGACAGTGCGTTCAGCGAGTTCAGCCTCCTGATGGAAGGCTCCATCGTGTCTGGGAGCTGCAGACTCTAAGAAGTCCCTGAAAACAAAGTGACAGTTCTCTGCTTTCACACTTCAGTGGTCGGGGGCCCCTGACAAAAAGCCCTGCTCAAGTTAATAGACTCCCCGTCTGTTGCCCTCGCCCTCACCTCCCTGGAGGTGTCCCCTTCCCGTGTGCGCCCCGCTCCTCCCCAGGAGAGTCCCTGGAGCGCTGCTGGACCAGTGGTCCCCTGCTCGCCTCTTCCTCTTGCCACCGAGCCCCGCTCTTGAGGCCATTCCTTTCTCAGTGGGTGTCACATGGTCTTGCCATCTGCAAGTGAGCTCCGTTCTGTCCTCGCCCGGGAGGGCCCCAGAGCCGAGTGTGGTGCTTGGGCAGGTAGGTCCAGCCCACGACAGTGGTGCTGACCTTCCCGAGCCTACGGTCACGCGGAGCCTGTGTGTGCTGGGCTGGGCGGGCCGGGCTGCCCGTGGAGAACGCGACTCTCCTGAGAACAGGGCGATCAGGAACGTGTCAGGTTTACTTTGACCTGAACTGCTGACTTCTGAGCTCCCGTTTTCTCCCTCTTTTGGGGAGCTAACTTTATTTTTTATTTTCCTATAGAGAGATCTTTTTAAAAGAATTGTATTTCTAACCAGCATGCTTGTTGACTCTGCAGACTGCTTTTGGCTCCTGGATGCCCTCCTTCAGTACACATCCTACGGGGTGACACCGCCCAGCCTCAGTCATTCTGGGGACCGGCAGCGGCCTCCCAGTGGAGTGGGCTCCATCACTCCAGAGAGGATGGAAGGTGAGCGGACCGCACGGTGCCCAGGGAGGGGACCTGGACCCGGCCTGGCACAGTGCTGCTGCAGAGAGCGGGCGTGCCTGCCAGCACGAGGAGCCAGGTGTCAGGAGCCACTGAGGGTTTTTCTTGACGGCTGCAGGGGGACCCGCACGCAGTGGCCCTCACCTCCAGGGAGCCATCCTCCTGTCCCAGGAGGGACGTTTATTGAAAGCCCTGTATGTAGGTGCAGGCTCGCCCCACTGCTCACACCCTTCCCAGTCCGTGTCTGCTGCTCCACCCTCGCAGATGAGGACACCGGCTCCTGGGGTCTTCAGGAAGATTCAGCAGCATTTTGAGCACTCGCTGGGTACCAGGCACCAGGCTGGGAGTGCTTTAGGCGGATTTCCTCACTAGCTCCTCTCAGTAGCGCTGTGAAGGTGCAGAGTACTATTTCCACCTTACAGATGAGGAAACAGGAGCTCAAAGAATTTAGGTAGCTGCCTGCGATCACCCGGGCGGGCACGCAGTGGAGCCTGAAACCCGCTTCTGAGGCTGTGCTGGTTCTGTGGGGCCCTGACTGCTCTGCGCATAGTAGGGCCCGTGGAAGGTGCCTGCAAGTTCCTAATGTTCCGATCCTTACAGAGCTGTCCGTGGAAGACTCATATGAGCCACAGATGTCATTTAAAAATTTCCAGGAGCTACATAAAAAAGTAAAAAGAGGCCGGGCGAGGTGGCTCACGCCTGTAATCCTAGCACTCTGGGAGGCCGAGGCGGGCGGATTGCTCAAGGTCAGGAGTTCGAAACCACCCTGAGCAAGAGCGAGACCCCGTCTCTACTATAAATAGAAACAAATTAATTGGCCAACTAATATATATAGAAAAAATTAGCCGGGCATGGTGGTGCATGCCTGTAGTCCCAGCTACTCGGGAGGCTGAGGCAGGAGGATCGCTTGAGCCCAGGAGTTTGAGGTTGCTGTGAGCTAGGCTGACGCCATGGCACTCTAGCTTGGGCAACAAAGTGAGACTCTGTCTCAAAAAAAAAAAAAAAAAGTAAAAAGAAGCATGGCTGAAATTCATTTTAATAAGACACTTTAGCTTAGTACATGAAAAATATTATTTAAATATGTAACACCTCATTTCAATTGCTTGGTAGGCGCATGTGGCTAGGGGGTACAGTTTTGGATGGTACAGATCTAAGGCATAAAAGGAATTTTGAAATTGCAGATTAAATATTTCAGGAGAGAGAGATTTTTCCATGCAGCCTATCTGTAGGTTAGATTCCTCCAGTGTGGCCGGGTACGTGTAGCTAGTGGTCAGCACAGGTTGACCAGCCAGTGCCGCACACGCGGTGGCCATCCGACAGGGAACGGTTCTGATTCGTTTGCCCACCTTCAGCAGCGAAGCCACACGTTGTCTAGGAGGAACCAAGCAGGTGTGGTCCCTGAGCACATGGAGACAGCTGAATAGAGCACGGGGGCCTGTTGGCAGGACAGCAGACAGACAGATTCATAAAGGTGTATTTCTTTTCTTTCCATTTTAATAATAGAGTTTATTTCTTTTTTTGTTGATATTGCTTCCAACCACAGGAAACCATCTTCATCGGTACTCAAAGGTTCTTGAGGCCCATCTGGGAGATCCAAAACCTCGGCCTTTGCCAGCCTGTCCACATTTGTCTTGGGCCAAGCCGCAGCCTTTAAACGAGACAGCACCCAGGTTAGTGCCTGCCTGCGCCTTTCCACTCTTTCTGCAGGGCTTATGAGTCATTCCTTTTTTTATAGCAGAGAATGGAATTTTACTGACATCATTATCAAATAATCAGATCTTCTAACTTGTCATTTTGATGGTTATTGACATTAGTAAGCCCCCGTATTGACATTTAGAAATGTGCTCTTGGTGGTATCTTGCATGAAGAAGTGCTTTGGATAGATAATTTGCATTTTGTTACATTTGGTTTTTTTTTTTTTTGGAGACAGTCTCACTCTGTTGCCCTGGCTAGAGTGCTGTGGCGTCAACCTAGCTCACAGCAACCTCAAACTCCTGGGTTCAAGCAATCCTTCTGCCTTGGCCTCCTGAGTAGCTGGGACTACAGGCATGTGCCACCATGCCCAGCTAATTTTTTCTGCTTTGGGTAGAGACATGGTCTGGCTCTTGCTCAGGCTGGTCTCGAACTCCTGATCTCAAACAGTCTGCCCGCCTCGGCCTCTCAGACTGCTAGGATTACAGGTGTGAGCTACTGTGCCCGGCCGCATTTGGTTAATTCTTATTTAACAAGCTGTGATCCAGCAGAGTAATGCCATTTGAACTGAAGCTCTGACTCCTTTGGTAGGGGCATCGAGTGTTACCATGTTCAGTTGTATACCGTGTGTGAGAAGTTGATTATAAAATACAGATAAGTCCTTTCTCCTCTCATACCTGGGGGCTGAGGTTGTGCTGTGTAGGTATGGGTTCTGCTGTCGCAGCCTGGCCGGGAAGAGTGTGCTTCTGTGCCGTTAACTCTCTGTGCTGCTTACGGCTGTGGGAGAAAGCACCCCCCTCTGATGGAAGGCTGTGACCTCTGTCTGTCATTGCACTTTGTGTGCTACCCCGCAAGCATTGCTCAGTCTCCTGCTTCATCTCGCTGACTCAGCCTCTTTCCGTAGCTAACACTGGAGTTGCCCCTGGTGCTTCTCTCTGCAGCCAGGGCGAGCCAGTGCAGTGTGGCTGGTCCTTGTTTTCTCCAGATCCCACCCCGCCTGAGCAGGACAATACAAAGAAGCCAGGGACAGCTGTCAGAGCTGTCCTGGCCAGGCAGGCACACTACCAGGCACTACCAGGCAGGAGTCCTTCCCTCCGGGCCCCTTGGCCTGGTATCCGCCCCTCCCCTCCTACCTCCCTCAGGCAGTAGGCTCCCCTCCAGCCTGGTCCCCTGCCTGCCTGCTTCCCATGCCACCTGGAGGCTGCCACTGCTCTGTGCTTGGGTGAGCCTCAGGGAAGTGCTGGTGTGGCCCAGGGTTGTGGGGCCAGGACAGCACCACTGCGCTGTAACGAGGAGAGATGCCTGCAGGAGGGCGGCGGAGCTCTACTTCTGCTTTTGCCATTTGTCATGAAGAGAAAGTGCTAAATACAACACTTAGTGACCATATGTCTTCATTTAGACTATGCTTAGAAACCAGCAAAATTGTAGAATCATCACATTGTCTTCTCATCAGCAATTTTCTTCCTGAACCTTTAATTACTGAGTACTTTTCCATTCCAGTTAATGTTCCATCATTTAAAAATTTCTGATAAGTTCCCATTTTTGCATCCTATTTATTTATAATCTTCTATTCTAGCATTCAAACCAGATTTTATATTCCAGCCATGGTCAGCAGTTCATACTCAGTGGACAGTCAGTGTTAGCTAAAGTTCCAGAAACCCAATTATTCTCCACAGTGTTGTTCAGGACTCTGAGACACAGATAACGATATCGTCTGGTATCTAGCTGTCCACGTCAAATAATCCATCAAACACTGAACTGGCCCATCAAGGAAGTAGATAACGTACAGCTCCTAGAATTTGGTTTTCACAGTCGCTCTCAATAATTCCTTCTCCTTAATACTCTGCTGGGTTTCTCATTTATCTCATATTTCACATCTTGCTGAAAATTATTCTCAGTCCTCAGAGACCTAGTTCGAGACATATTCTGAATCTCTCGAAGAGATTTGAGACAAGTCGACAGCTGCAGGCATCTGTCAGCCCCACGCTGAGGGCAGGTTTCTGTCGGTGTGAAGCGAGCAGGCGTCTTCCTGGATCCTTTGTTGGGCCCTGGGCCTCCACGCCTATCGCAGCCGCAGGAGCATCGGCCCTGCTCCAGGCGGCCCACCCTCCGTCAGCACCCTGGGATAGTCCCAAGTGGCTGTGCGAGTGGCCTTAGCACAACTGCTGCCTGGGAAGGGCCATCAGCAGATAATTACGTTCCAGAATAGGATGGCACTGCAGGAGTGAAAACGCAGCCCATGTGTGTTCAGCTGCAAAGTCATGATCCTTAATGTCATTGATTCCATAACTTAACACTGTTGGTTTAATTTTCAGACTGATTAAGCCTGAATGTAAAGTTAAATCATATAAAATAGAACAGGTCATAATGAATACTTGTTGGCATTCAGGCAGCCGCCCAGCTGGGAGTATCCAGTGGCAGCGTCTTTCTTTCCTGCCTGCGAAGCCTCTTCACAGAGGCACCGGTGGGGAACCTGCAGCCTCAAGGCCACATGTGGCCCTCCAGATCCCCAAGTGCGGCCCCTTGACCGAATCCAAACCTCACAGAATAAGTAAATCCCTTTATTAAAAGGATTTGTTCTGTAAAATTTGGATTCAGCCAAAAGGCCGGTAGCCAGTCACCGCCAGCTTCTCGTGGACCTTCAGTCTGATTGCTGATGGAACTGGACGTCTTTGCTTTCACTCACTCAGAGTAAAAGGCTGAAAGTTTCCAAATGAATAAACGGCAGAAACATAGGAAGTTCATAATTTGCAAACATACTGTATTTTATTTTCCCTCACTTAAGAGCGGCATTCACATTTTCCATTCACGGACTTGGCTCTAACCTAGGTGTCCTCCTAGCTCTCTGCTGCTGTTGACATTGTGTCAGCCCCCTGTGCTCTTCATTCTGAGTTACAGTGGCCTGGACAGGCTCTCCAGATCTAACGTCCGTGGTGATACTGCTACCACGACGAGTCGGTGCCTGCTACAGAGCGCACGTTCACTGGGTCGTCAGCCCGCCCTGCAGGCAAGGCAGACGTCAATTCCCAGTTTTGCTGCTCAGACTCTCTCGACCAATCAGTTACCTGTATGTTTGTCACATTCTCCCTCTGGACATTGATTTCCTTGAGGACAAAGATGGTGTCTGGTTCCTGCCACCATTGTGCCCACTTCTGTATTTGGTGGTCGTGGAGTCGCCTTCACTGCGTGCCTCACGTTAATCAGAAAGCAAACTCCACCTGCGGCTTGTGCCTCTGTGCCACCCTCCAGCCCAGTCCCGTGTCCACTCACCAGGCTGCTGTTGTCCTGTCCACAGCCTCCTTTCAGAGCTCACCGGGACGTCCTCCCGCATTGCTTGGCAGTGTTTCCAACTTTAAGCAAAAATGAACTCCTGTTGGCCATATTATAAACCCAGTAGAGCTGATCCCTCCTCGGAATATTAAAATCTCGTGAGCAGGGACCTGATTTTGACATTTCTCTGTGGAGACGTGGCAGTGTCACCACAGTTGCTGTGCAGTGGCATATAGGTATATGTAGATGGAAACATCATTGCACGTTTCTCTTTAGGTCATTCTTTCTAAGGTATTGGCTAACTTCCTAGGCTAGTACAGTTGTTTTTTGTAATTTTGTTTTAATCCATTTTCCCGAAGTAATCTTTGGAAACATCAAAAGTTACTCTCCATCGACCTGGACAAAGTGGTGTTACCCAACTTCCGATCGAACCGCCCTCAAGTGAGACCTTTGTCCCCTGGAGAAAGTGGCGCCTGGGACATTCCTGGAGGTGAGTTCTTAGGTGCTTTATTGTTGTGCTTAAATCTTGAATTTTGTTCAAAGTAACTTCTTTCCCTCCCCGAGGAGGTAGGCCAGACTGTGCCTGCCTTTGTCTTCCTGGGAGCAGTGGGTCTTGGGTTTTTCTGTGGTACAAATCAGCAAGGCCAAAAGCAGGGCTAACAGATTAAGACATCATTGTTTTCTTAGAAAGTTTTACATAGATTTTCAAATTTTTTTTTTGAGACAGAGTCTCGCTTTGTTGTCCAGGCTAGAGTGAGTGCCGTGGCGTCAGCCTGGCTCACAGCAACCTCAAACTCCTGGGCTCAAGCAATCCTCCTGCCTCAGCCTCCCGAGTAGCTGGGACTACAGGCACGCGCCACCATGCCCAGCTAATTTTTTGTATATATATTTTTGTTGGTCAATTAATTTCTTTCTATTTTTAGTAGAGACGGTGTCTTGCTCAGGCTGGTTTTGAACTCCTGACCTCGAGCAATCCTCCCGCCTCGGCCTCCCAGAGTGCTAGGATTACAGGTGTGAGCCACCATGCCCGGCCAGATTTTCAAATTTGAATTTATTTTACAATGACCAAGTGTTACACTTAAAATCCTTCAGAGTAACTTGCATACTCATATTTCTGCAAAGCATATAGTATGTCCCCAAGGGACGCCTGTCTGCTGGTTTGGGTCCCAGCCAGTTGGCAGTAGCCACCCTGAGCCCCCAGCCTGGAGGTCTCCTCCATTTCTCTGTCCTGGCCCACTTGGGATGGGGCTTGGCTGAGCTGGGGTGTGCCCCTTAGGTGATCCGATACTGTTTCCTCTGTAGACAATGACTTTGGCCTGAATAGATTCCTTGGGACACATTCTTTTCCCTTACCTGGGACAGCTGGTACCAAGTCTTTCTCTTTTGCTGTGGAAAGCCCTACACTCTTCCCGAGAGTTTACAGCTACCAGTGGGGATTTCTCTGGGTTCCAGGACTTGGCCAGAAACTGGGGATCAGGATGGGGTGCCCCAGCCCATGCAGTCTGGGAGCTTTGTGTGGTGACAGCAAGATCCTGAAGGCCTTGCCTGTGGGTAATTCTGGAGCCCTCAGCATCGCTCAGTTACAGGGTCCTAGTGACATTCTACACCATGGGTCCTCCTGTGGCCACTCTGGTTTTCACTCACACGCCCTATCCGTGGCCAGTGGTCCTTGTCACCTCACTGCCTTGCCACCCTCCTTTCCTCCCAGTCAGCTGGTCCAGCACCCACACCCCTCATTTTCCCCTGGACTGAGACACGTCCTTCCATTGCTTTTAGGGAAACAGAAAGCACCTCTGGGTCCCTTATTGTAGGTTTTCCGTGACAGAAGCAAGGCCATCCTGGTGTCTGTGGTGAGCCCAGGGAGGGGGAGCATAGACCCCTCCACCCCGCAGGGAGGCTCGCGCTGGGCGCACCGGAGGCGTGGCTGCACTGCCTCTCATCCGTGCTTTATTGATGGCCTGGCTTACTGTAGCTGAGGTTTAAAAATGCTGTGTGCCCTGCAAGCCTGGCTAATGAAATTAGCTAGCGTCTAGTTTCTGATGAATCCAGCTGTCACAGAAAAAGATGCATAGTGGTAGCTCTGTGGCATTACCGACTATCCCCCGGCTGCTCTCTCGCAGGGATAATGCCCGGCCGCTACAACCAGGAGGTGGGCCAGACCATTCCTGTCTTTGCCTTCCTGGGAGCGATGGTGGTCCTGGCCTTCTTTGTGGTACAAATCAACAAAGCCAAGAGCAGGCCGAAGCGGAGGAAGCCCAGGGTCAAGCGCCCACAGCTCATGCAGCAGGTCCACCCACCAAAGACCCCTTCCGTGTGACCGCCAGACTGGCCGACCGTGAGCCAGAGCGCACCTGCGGGGCCGGCGCTGGGGGTAGGCGGAGCCGTGGAGAGCTTCCGTGGGAGCCGCCCGTGTAAAAGGGATCCAGTTTCCAGCTGCAGGTTTGTGAGGGGCCATCCTAAATGAGCTTCCTCCTGTGGCGGTGGGGGCTCGTACGTCTCGGAGGCCCCGCAGGAGGGACTTCGTGACTCAGCCTCGAGCGAGACACCGCGCCGCTGTGAGCACCAACCGGAGCACGTGGGAGGCTGACTGGGCCCTTCGGACCTGAGGGGAAGCATGGACTTTTTAAACACATGAAACAACCTGACCAAGCTAAGCTAACGCTTGTGAAAGGCTATTTTCTATATTTATTGTTGGGAAAAAGTCACTTTAAAGACTTGTACTATTTGGAAACAAAGCTATTTTTTTTTTGTCAATGGAATGCAGTTTTTTACTATTACATCATGAGGAATGACACAGATTCCATAATCTCCCTTTTGATGAAAGGACAGACTGAGATTTGAAGGAAACTTGCACAAATCTGTGAAATATAGACCTTTGCTTTATTTTTATAAGTATCAACTGCCACCATGTTTTGTAATTTGGGGTCTTGATTTCACCATTGTCGGTGAAGAGAATTTTCAATAAATATGTACTACCTGTATGAAGCTGAAAAGCATTGATTGTGTAACAGACTCTTTCTGTTCGTCCATTTCTCTTTTGATGACTACCGGGAATGGGTTCTGAGTCAGCTTGCTAATTTTTTTTACTAAGATGTAATTCACATACCATAAAACTCTCCATTTTATAGTGCACAGTTCAGTGGTTTTTAGTGTATTCACAAGGTTATGCCACCATCACCACTCGCTGTCTAACTCTAGCACATTTTTATCACCCCCAAAATAAACCCTGTACCCATCAGTGGTCACCCCCAAGTTTCCTCCCTGCCCCCAGCCACCGGCACCCAGTCTGCCCGCGTCTCTGGACCTGCCTGCTGGACATCTCACGAATGGAATCACACGGTACGTGGTCCTGTCTGTCCAGCTTCTGTCACTTGGCGGTGTGTTTTCCAGGCTCTCCCGTGCCGTGGCGTCAGTCAGTACCTCACTCCCTGTAACGGCTGAGTACCATTCCTGTTGTGTGCCTAGACCACGTTTTCCATATCTGGTCCTCAGCTCGTGAACCTGTTGCCACGTTTTGGCTGTTACATAGTGCTGCTGTGAGTATTCTAGTACACATTTTTGTGTGAACATAAGTTTTTTATTTCTGTTGGATATACACTTAGAAGTGAAATCATATAGCTCTATGTTTAATTTTTTGAGGAACTGCCAAACTTTTTTCCAAAGCAGCTGCACCATTTTACACTCTTGTCAGCAACGTGTAGGAGTTCCAATTTCTCCACATCCTCGCCAGTACTTGTAATTATCCGTCTTTTTGATTACAGCCATCCTAGTGGGCGCGAAGTAGTATCTCAGTGTGGTTTCGATTTGCATTTCCCTAAAGACTAACGGCGTTGAGCATCTTTTCATGTCTTTATTGGACATTTGTATATATTCTTTGGAGAAATCTCTGTTCAGAGCCTTTGCCTGCAGCTTTAATTGGGTTGTCTTTTTATTACTGAGTTGTAAGAATTCTTCCTTTGTTCCAGACAACAAGTCCCTTATCAGATATGTAACTTGCAAGTATTTTCTCTCATTCTTTGGCTTGTCCTTTCACTTTCTTGACGGTGTCCTTTGAAGCATAAAATTTTTCATTTTGATGAAGTCAGGTTTTCTGTGTTTTTCTGTGGTTGCTGGTGTGTTAGGTTCATCCAAGAAGCCATTGCCTGGTCCCAGGCCGCCTGGTCCCGTGGAATCCGTGCCTGACCGGCATGTTCACTGAGTGCGGACTCAGGTGCAGACTGGGCAGGCACCAGCCCTTCATTGCAGACGAGGGTGAGCTGGGAAGGGCAGAGGCTGTGGGGTGCCAGTGGGGTGCCACCGACGACGTCACAGGCAGGAAAAGCGCAGGCCAAGGGGCGGGACAGAGCTACCAAGGCCCTGCCCTCCCTTGCTCGGCAGGTCACAGGGCCACCTTGCAGCTCTCCCTGCACTCACGCTGCCGTGGCTCCCAGGACTTGAAGGACTCCCCATCCACAGTTCCTTGGGCACCACTGGCAGCCCTGAGGACGTGCATATTTGGCACATGGTAGCCTGTTTGTCCTCAGCAGGTGGCCGTGGGTCTGAGCGCCCCTTCTGCTTATCCAGACGAGGGGCTTGTACACTGGCCTTTGTGCAGCCTCTCGTCTCCCTGCCCGTCCTCAGCAGATGTGGGATGCTCACCGGTCACCTGCAGCTTGATGCCGTGAAGCTGGGGCCGCCTGCGCACCACTGGCTCTCAGTCCCCAGCAAGTTACAGCCAGGTGTACAACAGCGGGTCAGGTGGCCCAGGGCTCACTGGAGCGCCAGGCCCCATCTCGGGGACAGCATGTCTCAAAAGAAGCCTGAAACCAGGATCATGCATTTTAATGTTGACAAATATGATTGAACTAAAGAAATATTTTTTTATTAGGTAGACTAAGTTTCTTTGATCTCCATGGTAACGTCCCACCAACACTGCAGGTGTTGTGGTTGTGGAAGGAAGTTCTGGCCCAGAGAACGTTAACAGGTGAGCTGGGAGACGCTCTGGGGCCCTGCGGAGCCCAGCATCGGTGTGGACCCCCGGGCTCAGGACTACAGAGATGACCCCGAGGGCTCAGCCCCACCCTGCGCCCACTGCTGACACCACGGGTGCGTTTCCTCCATGGGGCAGCGGGAGCATGAATTTGAAGGTTGTGATGAGACTGCTTCACTCCCAAACTTCCAGTCCCTTTCCTCCTCCATCCAAAGTAGGACTCCCAACTAGAACCAGCGCTTCACGGGGCACAGGGACTTGGCAAGGCCTGTGCTTGCCTCCCCTGAGGGCCTCACCTCTGCCCTGGAGCCCAGAGCGGGCGTCCTAGGGCCTCTGCTGTCAGTGTTACCCGAGGTCAGAACTCAGGATGCTGCCGTATTCGTTTCCTGTTGCCACTGTCACAAGTCACCACCAAGCCAGTGGCTTAAAACAACACATTTAGGCTGGACGCGGTGGCTCACGCCTATAATCCTAGCACTCTGGGAGGCTGAGGCGGGTGGATTGCTGGAGGTCAGGAGTTCGAAACCAGCCTGAGCAAGAGCGAGACCCCGTCTCTACTAAAAATAGAGACAAATTAATTGGCCAACTAAAAATATATAGAAAAAATTAGCTGGGCGTGGTGGCGCATGCCTGTAGTCCCAGCTACTCGGGAGGCTGAGGCAGGAGGATTGCTTGAGCCCAGGAGTTTGAGGTTGCTGTGAGCTACGCTGACGGCACAGCACTCTAGCCTGGGCAACAGAGTGAGCCTCTGTCTAAAAACAAAAACAAAAAACAACACATTTATTCTTCTGCAGCTCTGGAGGCCTGAATCCAGCCTCACTGTGCCTAATCAGATGTCAGCAGGGCTGGTGGTTCCTTTTTGGAGGCTCCAGGCGAGAGTCCTCTTCCCGCCTTTCTTGGCTTCTAGCAGCTGCTGCCCTCCTGGGCTCGAGGCCCTGTCCTCCGTCTTCCAAGCACACCACTCCTGTCCCCGCCTCCATCTTCAAGGCCTCCTCTCTGACCTCTGACCCCTCCTGCATCCCTGTTGCAAGGACACTCTGGATAACCCAGGATAACCTCCTCACCTCAACATCCTCAACTTAATCTCGTCTGCCAAGTCCCTCTTGCCATGTGGGGTGACATACTCACCAGGCCTGGAGGGGAGGACAAGGACTTCTTTGGTGCGGTCATTCAGCGACCACACTGGGTCTCGCTGTCTCTAAGGTGTCATACGTTGTCTGTGCAAGGACTTTGGCTCCCTAGAGAACTGCTGCAGGTGCCTCTGCCCTTCACAGTCCCTAAACTGCTGTCCCCTGAGGAGGCTCCCTGCAGCCGGCATGTCCCGGCTGGACAACGCACAGCAAAGAAGGCCGTGGGCCCTGCCTGCCCAGGACTGGGGCTCCACCTTCCCTCATCTGTCCTCCAGAATGTTCTAATGGGTGGGGAAATGAGCCGAGGGCGCTAGTTGTAGAAGTGCTTCCCCTGCGGTCCCTGCAGCACAGAGAGGAGAATGCCACCATGTGCTGGGTGCTCCGGGCAGGTGCTGGGCCGCGCCACCGCCTGGGCTATCCACACGACGCCTCTGTGCGTCCCCCGTGAGTTCCTGCTGCACCAGGCCCGGCAGGGCGGAGTTGGGCGGGGCGGGGCGGGCAGAGGGTGGCCGCTCACCCACCCCCGCAGCCGCGCCTGCAGATGGGGCCCAGCAGGGCGCCCTCCTCTGCTGGGAAAGGTCACGGCCCTGTGATGCCAGCGGAGGGTGGATATCAAAGCCCCTCAGAACTAAGAGGTGTCCCGTTGCCTGGGATTTCACAGCCCGGTGGCCAATTCCTAAGTCATGCACGTTAATGGGCAGCTAATGAGGGGCCAGGACAGGGACAGGGAAGGGCCCCCAGCCCCAGAGCTGAGATTAAGGAGTACAAAGCCCCCAGCCACTGATGCGGGGGGCTTTATCTGCTTTCTCAGGAGGCCTGATTTGGGGGAAGAGGGGGTGACGTGGGCTCTTTGGAGGGCCTGGGAGAGCAGTGTGACTCCTACGTGTGGCTCTGGGGGGGGGGTCCCCACCCGCCAACCTGGGGTTCCCAACCTGCTTCGCCACCCGCAGCCCCCACTCTCCCTGCTGTGCCCTGCGCCTTGGTCACACAGTTTAATGACCCCGTCCTGCCCGGGAGAAGGAACACTGAACTTAAAACTCTTGGGGTAGATAAGACAGCCTGTCCCAGCGCAGCCCCAACCTGGGTCTGTCCCCTAGGGGTCCTCAGACCACTGTGGGCCTCTGGTGCCCCTGGCTGAGCTTGGCACTGGGGGTCTCCACTGCCCAGAGCAGCCCCCAGCCACTCCCCACTGGGGCACAGATGCGGCACCTTCTCCAGGACACCCCTCCAGTCCCCCCACCCTCCTCGGGTCCACGGCCCAATCCTTCTCCCATTGGGCCAGGGCTGCTCATCTCTTTCACCTCTGAACTGCCAGCCAGGCCTGGCATGCAGTAGGTGCTTTTTTTTTTTTTTTTTTTTTTTTTGAGACAGAGTCTCCCTGTATTGCCCAGGCTAGAGCACTGTGGCATCAGCCTCGCTCACAGCAACCTCAAACTCCTGGGCTCAAGCGATCCTCCTGCCTCAGCCTCCCGAGTAGTTAAGACTACAGGCATGCGCCACCACGCCTTTCTCTATATATTTTCTAGTTGTCCAGCTAATTTCTTTCTATTTTAGTAAACGGCGTCTTGCTCTTAACTCAGGCTGATCTCGAACTCCTGACCTGGAGCAATCCTCCCACCTCGGCCTCCCAGAGTGCTGGGATTACAGGTGTGCGCCACCGCAGGCAGCTGCGGTAGGTGCTTAATCAGTGTTTGTGGAATGACTGACTGAGAACACCAGGTACCGGGGGTGCCAAGGGCCGGATGGTGGCCGCCAACAGAAACGTCCACACCATGCCCGGAGCCTATGATGGGACCTTATTTGGAAATGAGGTGTTTGCAGAGGTAACTGAGGATCTTGAGATGGGAACACCTTGGGTCACCCAGGGGGCCCTGTCTAGACCTTGATCTCTGACTTCAGGCCTCCAAAACCATCGGAGAATAGATTCCCATTGTTCTCAGCCACTGAGTTTGTGACACTTGGTTACAGGAGCCTCATGGGGGTGGGGGGGGAGGAAGTAAACCAAACAACGTTCCCTGTTCTGTGCATTGGCGCATTCATTCCCTCACTCAGTCGTTCGCTACTTCCCATCCTGGGCACTGTCCCAGTCAGCTCCAAGGCAGGGAGGCAGTGTGACATCACAGCCTTTGGGACGAGACCGACTCGGGGGTTAACCCCGGTCCTGCCGCTTGCCTGCTGTGACGTTTGGAGCCCCATATTGGACCTAAGCCAAGGTCCTGCTCGATGTGGTGGGGACGGCCAGGATGCCACCTTGGGAACCGGCGTGAACACTCGTGCGAGGCCTGGCTCTCCCATGGCACATTTATGCGGTGGCGGCGTGGGTGCCATGTGGGACACGCAGCAGCCTTGAGCCTTGTACTCCTGCCCGGTGTCCCCGAGGAGAAGCTGGGCGCTCAGCAGGGCGCGGTGACTGAGCCCCCGCCACGTGGAGCTGGTGACACTCGGTAGATGACAGCAGTCGGGTAGGACCGTTAGAAACTGTGTCGAGAATAAAAAGCTTTTGGGGGCCTGACTGGTGTGGACACGCAGGGCTGACGGGGTGAGGCGAGGCTCCGGGCAGTGAAGACGGTTAACTCAGAGCAGCGGTGCTCAAAGGGGACCCAGCGTCAGCAGCGAGGATGCTTGGGCCCAGCCACACCCGCTGAGGCCGAGACTCTGAGTTCGAATGATGCCAGCTGACGTTTATCAGCAGAGGTGAGAGGGCACCTGGGTTACAGGAATAAACAGGGTCATGTTCCAGGCTTGACCTCCATGCACCTGCATTTTCTGGAAAGAGGCCATCGCAGTTGACCTGGCCATCAGTGCGGCGAGAGGCTGTCTCTGCTAAGTGCGGCCGGGGACCAGCACCTGCCCCCGAGCTGGTTAGAGACTCGGGGTCTCGGGCTCCGCCCAGGTGGAAGGAATCAGAGCACGCACTCAACAAGGCCCGGCGGGTCTCGTGCACAGGTTAGTTTAAGGAGCACGGTGGGAGCTGGAGGAAGAGGAGGAAGGTGAAAGGAGACTGACTGTGCAGCCCCCTCTCTGCAGATGGGCGGGGGTCAGGTGAGCTCAGGCGTGACCCTGCCGCTGTGGCTGCCAGCCGAGCCCCTGGGACCCTCCAGGGCCTGAGAAAACCCCACCCCCGGGAGGGGCCTGCGGGGGATAGGGTCTTAAGACTCTCTTGCTCAGGTCAGAAGTTGCAAAAGCAGCGCGTTCCTTGGGACGGGTGACTCAGACCACCCTAGGTTTGGGGACCGGCCCCAACCCAGGCTCTCAACACCTCTGTTCATTAGTGACTCACTCACCTACCCCTGGGTGACCTGGGATCTTCCCTCTTCCACCCCTCCAGGCCCAGGAAATGCAGCCAGACCAGCTGGAGTGACCATGGAGTTGGGATTTGGCGGTAAGGGCTGGGGCTGGAAGCAAAGGGGGTGGCAGGTAGGGGTTAGGGGGGGAGAGGACAGATGGGGGAGGAGGGAGGGGTGAGGGTCACCTTGGGGTCGAAGGGGATATAAAGTGGGGCTTGGGGAGGGACCGGCAGTTCAGGGAGGCGGAGGGGGAAGAGGGGGCTGGGGAGGGGGAGATGGCAGAGGGGCCTGGCGGGTCTCAGGAGCGACACCGTGAACTTGGGAGAAGACGGCAGCCTGCATACTGCCCTTTCCCCCGGACCCCGCTGCCTCTAGCCATGGAGGGCCCGGCCCCAGGCACCGGCCTTGCAGAAAAGCCCCTCTCCGCCACGCTGTCCCCCGTGGGAGCCGTCTTCATTCTCCTCAAGTCGGCGCTGGGGGCCGGCCTGCTCAACTTCCCCTGGGCCTTCCACCAAGCGGGCGGAGTCCTCCCTGCCTTCCTGGTGGAGCTGGTGAGTCCCCAGGAAGCATTCTAGGGGGGCTTGGGGGGCTCCTAGAGCAAGGGGGAGGTGGATTTGGTTTTTCTGGGTGGGGTCCTCTGCGTGGCTTCTGCAGAGCCGCCATCGTCTACACTGCGCCCCTGGGACTCTTGTTCTCCATCCTGCTCAGCTCATGGGGGAAGACGCCCCGCGGTGGCCCTGGGCGGAGAGCACCCTCTGCCCGCTCCCTGCGAACCGGCATCTCAGCCGGGGGACGTCTCTGAGCATCCTGCCGGCCAGGTGCTCTTCCTGGCCTGCTCGTCCCGGCTCCGTAACGAAAGCTGAAACCCTGGGTGCAGACGGAGCCTAGAACTGGCGCGGCATCCTCACGCCCCACCCAGAGCTGGGCCAGGCCTTGCGCAGTAGCGTCGGAGAATATTGCCACCTCCTATGTGCCTGCGTTCCCTTCCAAGGCAGGCCAGGGGCTGTGTGTTGAGCCACCAGGAGCACAGCTGCGCTTTTTACTAAGACTCCTTCCCCTGGGCCGGCGGGAGCCGCTGCGTTGTATATTGAGCTCTTTGATGAGCTTCATGTCGCACACGCTTTACAGCAGCCAGACAGTGGCCGAGTTCCCGCCGTCTGTGGGCCCCAGGGCTCTGCACGTCCCTCTGGAAACCGCCAAGCCCCGCTCCGTGTGGTGCCCAGGGGGAACCCACGCCGCCCCGGTGCTGGCCAAGTGCCTGCTCTGGGCCCGGCGTGGGGTGGACAGGGCGGTGTGGTCCCTGTCCTCGTGACGCTCTGCTCTGATGGGCAGTCAGACGGGACACGCGTCGTCAGGTGGAGCCCCAGGCGGTGTGCTGCGCAGGGAGGGCCGTGTGACGGGCGCTCTCTGAGCGGGTGTGGTGTAGGCTCAGCCCCGGTGGAACCGGCACCGGCTTCTGCGCCCGTGTTCGGAGCAGCGCCCCCCGCTCGGCTGCTGCTGGAAGGACCACGAGGAGGAAGCCGGATGTCCAGCCACGAAGGGATCGTGATGGGGGAGGTCCGTGGCCAGGCCGAGGGCAGCCGGAGGGGCTGTGAGCCGGAGAGGTAGGCCCCGCTCCCTCAGCTCTGTGCACGGCCATGTCCCGGGCCTCTTGCTGACATGCAGATGGCGATCCAGCGGTTCTGGGTGGACCTGAGACTTGCAGCTGGGCGACACGGCTGCTTTGCACAGGATGGACTGAAGATCCTGCCTCCCGCAGGCTGGGGAGGGGACCCCGACAGGGACAAGTGGGAACTGCTCACAAGGAGAAGAGCCAGGCTGGCCACTGGCACCCACCCACCGCCAACGCCGTTCCTGTCCCTCCAGAGCTGCCAGGGAGAGGGGGTGGGGCAGGCGGGTGCCCTCAGCATGAATGATGGAACACTTGGAGGGAGCCTGCCTCCCCCTTTACCCCGAGTGACCTCCGCCTGGAAGTGTTTAAACAGCACAGTCAGTGGGACCTCATCAGGGTGGGAGGTTTGATGACATTCGATGACAGCAGGACCAACCCTCTCTCGAGCTGTGGAGAGGCCCGGCCTGGCAGGGGGGCCAGGGTGCTTTGCTGTCCTGCTGCCCAGAGTGACAGGGGCCCCTCTCGGGGTCACCCGGTCCCGGGGATGGGTCTCGGGCTGAAGCTCCTTCTCCCCTAAGCACAGCCGTTGGCCGAATGCCTGCACGTGCCAGACACCCCCGGGGCGAAATGGTCAGGAGAGTCACAGTCCTGTCCTCACGGAGCTTGGAGTCTGGTGGGTGAGAGTCACTGGGGACCCCCGCAGTATTGCAGGGGAGCAGGTGTCTGTTTCCTGTGGCTGCCGTTAACAGATATCCAAAAAAGGGGGGCTGAAAACACACATTTTCCATAGTTCTGGAGACCAGGGGTCTGAAGTCGGGGTGTGGGCACGGCCTCGCTCCCTCTGAAGGCTCTTCCAGCTCCTGGGGCCCAGGCCTTCCTCCTCACCCCAGTCTCTGCCTCCCCTTCTGTCTCCATAAGGCCACTTGTCGTTGGGTTTAGGCCCCACCTGGATGATCCAAGATGACCTCATCTCGAGGCCCATCATTGCGTGGGCAAAGACCCTTTTCATTTAATTACTCTCATTATTGACATCTGCGAGAACTTGCCAACGTGCAGCATTCCCAGGTGCGAGGGATTAGGACGTGGGCGGAACAAACTGCGGTCCGTTCACACAATGGGCTGTTTGCACAAACGGGAATAAACCGACACACTGTGGATGAATCTTCCAAACATGCTGAGGGGGAGAAGCCAGATACGAAAATGTATGAATGTAGGGAAATTTTAGATCGGTGGTCTCATCTGTGGGCAGGGGATGGAGGCAGAAACTGGGAAGGGACCCGGGGACCGTCCTAGGGGACCGTCCCAGGGAGTGGTCATGCTCCGTCTGTAGGGGTTTGGGTTGCGCGTGTGCACTTGTACCTCCTCTAATGGTACGTGTGAGATTCTGTGCACTTCGTCATAGGTGAATTTTCACCCCTGAGAGAGGGGGCCTGTTCGCAGACATCGCGCTCCGATGAGTGACAGGTGGGCTAAAGTGTTCGGGCAGGGGGTGCTGATATCGGCAACTTCAAAATGCAGGAATTAAGATGGATTGTTGGCCTCACAGGCGTGGGTGGGTGGCTCGAGATGTTACCCAGGGGGTGGGTGTCTGTGGTGGGTGTTCACTGTAGGATTCTTTCAGCTCTCCTGTAGGCTTGAAAATCTTTCCTAGTAAGCGTTGGACAGATAAAGCTGCAGCAGGGAGAACACCATTTCTTGAGCACTTACCCCGTGCCAGGCGCTGAGCACTTTGCTCAGTCCTGATGCGCCCTGCAGTGTGGGTGGTGGTGTGCCCATTTCACAGATGGAGAAACAGAGGCTGCCGCTTGCCTCGTGCTGCACAGCAGGTCAGCGGCAGAGTCAGAATCTGAACCCAACTCTGCCCGTTCCTCCAGTGGGTCCCAAGCACCCCACCTTCCTGCCGTTCGTGACCCAGGAAGTTTTAGGAGAGAGATGTAAACTCTCTGGGTTTTTGACGTCTCCCTTGTCCTGCGGGGGCAGGGTGGCACTGGGGCCCCAGATTCCCGGCCTTGGAGACACCGTCAGAATCTGCCTGCTCTGCAGCGCTGGCGGCAGGGCTGCCGGGGGGGCCCCCTAGGCTGCGGACAGAGGCCACGGGGAAGGTGCTCGTGAGGTGGGGGAGATGGGCCTCGGGCTTGCTACAGCTCAGGGTCCCTTCCGCAGGTCTCCCTGGTCTTCCTGGTCAGCGGCCTGGTCGTCCTGGGCTACGCGGCCTCTGTCAGCGGCCAGGCCACCTACCAGGGCGCGGTCAGGGGGCTGTGCGGCCCGGCCGTCGGGAGGCTGTGTGAGGCCTGCTTCCTCGTCAACCTGTTCATGATCTCCGTGGCCTTCCTCAGGGTGATCGGGGACCAGCTGGAGAAGCGTGAGTACCCTCGCCGGAGTTGGGGGGGCCCCAGTGACCTGTGGGCTTGAGCGGAAGTTCGATCCCTGGTGGGGGGGGCAGCAGAGGCCCAGACCACACCCCAGCTCCTGACGTGGTGGGGAGGGAGGCTCAGAATTGAGGCTCGTGGCATCAGAGGTATGGCTGCAGCTGGGATGTCCCGTGGAGCCACCGCAGGAAGCCCCTGGGGGGAGAGAGGTAGGAGCCCCTTCAACTTTGGGATGGCCGAAGCTCCCAGCCCCCATCCGACCTTGACCCCTAACTCCAACCAAGGCTTTCCCGCTGAGCGCTGCTTTTGCCACCGCTTGCTAATTCTGCCGTGCTCTATTTTAATTGTCATTCCATTCAAAATATTTGCTAATTTTTGCCATGGTTTCTTCTTCAACCCCTGGAACGTTTAGAGTCGTGATGTTGAATTTCCAGTTACCTCGGAGTTTTCTACCTGCCTGCTTGGTTTCTTCTTCAATTGTGTTGTGGTCAGAGAATATACTCTGTGTGACTTTAATCTTTTGAGGTCTGCTGAGACTTGCGCTGTGGTCCGGGGCGCACTTGGTCTCGGGGAGCAGCCCGTGTGCTCCTAAAGGACTCGTGTTCTGCTGGCCACAGTGTGCTGGGAACGTCCCTTAGGTCAAGGTGGCCGACAGTTATGTTCAGATCTCCCATAGCAACCTGGCTGCTTTTCTTTTTTTTTTTTTTTTAGGTCTAGTGATTATTCTATCGATTTCTAAGAGAAGAGTGTTAAAATCATGAGTGGTGATTTCAGCTTTGCCTATTTCTCCCTTTGAATCTGTCAGTCTTTGTTTCCTGGTTTTTTTAAGCTCTGTGATTAGGTCCGTCCTTTGGTTATTACAAAGCATTCATCTTTGCCGTTAAATCTGCCGTCTCTGCTATTAATAGTATAAGACTAGTGTCACGTGCGGCTCTCCCCGTTCTTTTATTTTGAACCTGACTGTGGCCGGGGATTTTCAGATGCATTTCTTTATAGACAGCATATGGTTGGGTCCTGCTTTCGTATGCATCTTGACAGCCTCAGACTCCTAATTGGACTGTGCAGACTTCTAATTGGAATGCAATTATCGATAGGGTCGAATCAGGGTCTCCCGTCTTGCAATTTGTTCGTTCCATCTGTTGACCCATTAGCGAAAGGGTCCCTGGCTGTGGGATACTGAAATTAAAAGCTGCCACGTCTTGGGAAACCCTGTCACACCTAAAAGCTCCAAGGTGGGTGTAGCTGAACCTCCTTGGTGGGTAGATGGGCACAGAAACTCCCTACCTGCCGGTGGCTAGTTCATCTCCAGGGACGGGTAGTGTTGCTGTGTTGAGAAGGATTCTGAGGATCAGGAGTTGAGCACCCCAACTGGTTAGAATGCTGATCGGGACACGGGCCACCCCAGCTCTGGGTGGGCTCACCGGGGGGAGAGAGCACCGCTTGCGTGTTTCTGGTTGGGTGTCTGGGGATGTGTCTTTCGTAGGCGAGCCCAAGCTTCTGGGAGAAGGGCGCTAAATAGAGGTTGGGTGGGGGGGTCGTTGCATGAGTTGGGTAGGAATGACACATGTCATTGGTGCAGAGGACCTCAGGGGATGTCCTACAAAATTGGGGTTTAGGCAGGAGCTGGTGTAGTCTGGTATCAGAGCTGAGGCTTCCTGGCTGCAGGCAGTCCAGAAGGATAAGAAGGGGTCCCGCCACACCCCACAGCACCCGCGAGTCCCTTTGGGGCATTCTCTTGGCGTCTCTGGTCCAGATACCTGCTCTGCCCTTGCTCATAGATGCCTCTGGATACAACCTCTCCTCTGTGTCATTTCAGTGGAAATGGCTATTATTTCCTTGCATGGCTGGCTTGGTGGAACATTTGAGAACAAAAGGGTTTACATCGCAGCCAATACCACTAACCCCAAGCAGGCCATCTCTCACCTCTCAGCCTCCCCTGCAGCAGGAAAGGGGGGGGCTGCTCCCTATGTGGTCACCATGGCTGCAGCCTCAAGCCATCTGCCTTTGTCCTCCCCTCCCCCGCCTGTCTGGCCCCTGAGATCAGCTCCAAATTATCCATCTTACTGTGGCAGAATAAAAGTGGGCCCAGATCCTTCGGTGCCCCTTCCCCTGAGAGGTCGGTGGGGCCCGTGTCCCCTGCCCTCGAATGCAGGGACTGGACCCTGGGACTTGATGCCAGTTCCGGGCCTGGCTATTAAGAGGACGGCGGGTTCCACCTTGGTCTCTGGGATCCCCCGGCTGCCGCGGAAGACATTGGACTCGAGTGCTAGAGGGTCCACGTGGAGAGACCCCTACCCCTGCCACCTCCAGACTGCAGGGAGGGCCCAGGCGTCCCCACCAGGTGTCAGGTGTGGGGTGGAACCATCGAGGGCCCCAGACAAGTCCCACCATGAGCCAGATACCCCACGTGACCCCAGGCAGTCCCACGTGGAGCAGGATTGGCCGGCTCCACCCTGCGCTGATTGTTCCCTGCGATCCATGACGCACAGGACGCTGGTGGTTCCAAACCACCAGGCTCTGGCGCGGTTTGTTGAGCCCCGACAGCAGAGCCGGCAGGGCGGAGGGAGCAGCCTGGCTGTGCCCAGCAGCGCGGCCCCAAAGCGCCTCCAGGCCCCGGGTTGACCCCAGACACCTTTGAGTCCTGAGCAGAACAGAAAAGGGCCTTTTGCCCGGACGCCTCGAGGGCAGGTGTTCTGTCTGCTTGTTGGTGGCCGATCCTGCCACTTAGAGCAGAGCCCGGCTGGCGGGAGAGCTCAGTGAATGCATTCTGGTGGCGGGTTCCTTCCCTCGTGGGGCCCGTGGCCCTCCCCGTCTCACCTGTCATCCGACCCGGGGCTGGGGGCCGAGTTAATGTCGACGTCCAGCCCCACCTGGGGGTCAGGACCCTTGCGGCTGTCCTGTGCCTGGTGGCTCAGCCCTTCCCGTGTCCCCGCCAGTGTGTGACTCTCTCCTGCCTGGCGCCCCGCCGGCCCCGCGGCCCTGGTACGCCGACCAGCGCTTCACCCTGCCCCTGCTCTGCGCGCTGCTTGTCCTGCCACTGTCCGCCCCGCGGGAGATCGCCTTCCAGAAACACACCAGGTACCTGCCCAGCGGACTGCGGTGCCTCTGGCCAGGGCCGCACCTTGGCAGGCGCTGGCAACACCAGGGTTTCTGCCCGCCTGGGATCAGAGGAGCTGCGGGGTTGGCCCTCCCGTTTGCAGAAGGGGAGATCAGCAAAACATGACTCAAGTAACATGTCCGTGGTAGAAAGCACAAGCAAAGAAGGAAAATGACTTGTAGCAGCGCCACGTGCTGCTTGCGGTGGTTATTTTGTCGTTGCAGACCTCGTGCATAGGCGCAGAGCGGGACAGAGGCCGAGAGAGACATGCACGCTTTTTTTTAAATCTTGGGATCTGAGGCTTTATGTATATTTTGAAAAAATAAAGCCTGGCAACATTATCTGCCCAGGACTTTGACCCGCCTTTCCCTTGCCGTACACGAACAGTAGACTTCCCAGCTCGGAAACGGGACGTAGAGACGGCAGGTGCAAACTGAGCCTGGGTCCCTGCGAGGCTCTAGTGTCTCCTGCAGGCGAGCCCAGGATCCTCGTCCCCTCCACGGTGTGGCTGAGCCCAGTGGTGTCCTAACTTAGCCAAACCCCGGGCGGCCACCTGGCCTTCGTGGGTGGGAAGAAAGTCACAGCTGCTGTCCCGGAGGGTGCCGGTGCCATTAGGGATTCTACACGTCTGATCTCTGGAGCTGGGAGCAGCCCCATTGTACAGAGCAGGAGACTGAGGCTCGGGCGGGAGAGGGCTATGTGGGTGCCGTGCTGGCTCAGGCGGGGCTGGGGCTCAGACCTGCCGTCTGTGCGCTGACGGCCTGGGTCGTCCTGCCACAAGGCCTTCACGCTGTCCTTGTCTGTCGCAGTATCCTGGGCACCTTGGCCGCCTGCTACCTGGCCCTGGTCGTCACCGTGCAGTACTACCTCCGGCCCCCGGGTCTGGTCCGAGAGCCCCGTCTCTCGCTGAGGTGAGTCTGCGAGAGTGGTGGCTTCTGGGGTGGGGTGGGGGTGCAGAGGGGAGCAGAGGAGCCTTGGAGGAGGCGTCCCCATGTGCGTGGCAGAGCCGGGCTCCACCCCACGTGACTCTTCTGTTCTCTGGGGCGATAAAGTGCAGGGAAGCTCCCTGTCCCTCTGCGGGACGGTGGGCAGTCGCTGACCTGGTACAGGCCGAGGGGCGTGAGACCACTAAAGGCCAGCCCGGGCTGCTGCAGACGTGGCCCACGGCGAGGCCAGCCTGGGCAAGGGCAGAGAGCGTCTGGGGATGTCGGGGAGGGGGTGGCCTTCAGAGCCACAGCAAGGACGTTCGTTTAGCTCTGGATGAGCCGGGGGACGCTGCAGTGTTTGACGCACAGCAGGGATGCGGCAGGACTTTGCTCTAAAGAGGGTCACTCTGGCTGTTTGTGTCCTCGGACAGAGGGACGGAGACCAGGTAGGAGGCCCTTCCAGGATCCAGGTCTTGGAGCAGGTGGTTTTACAGGAGGCTCAGACTCGGGGTCGTTCTTTTTTTGTTTTTTTTGAGACATTCTCACTCTGTTGCCTGTGCTAGAGTACCGTGGCGTCAGCCTAGCTCACAGCAACCTCAGACTGCTGGGCTCAAGCGATCCTCCTGCCTCAGCGAACCTGGCTGCTTTTCTTTTTTTTTTTTTTTTAGGTCTAGTGATTATTCTATCGATTTCTAAGAGAAGAGTGTTAAAATCATGAGTGGTGATTTCAGCTTTGCCTATTTCTCCCTTTGAATCTGTCAGTCTTTGTTTCCTCGTTTTTTTTAAGCTCTGTGATTAGGTCCGTCCTTTGGTTATTACAAAGCATTCATCTTTGCCGTACCGTCTCTGCTATTAATAGTATAAGACTAGTGTCACGTGCGGCTCTCCCCGTTCTTTTATTTTGAACCTGACTGTGGCCGGGGATTTTCAGATGCATTTCTTTATAGACAGCATATGGTTGGGTCCTGCTTTCGTATGCATCTTGACAGCCTCAGACTCCTAATTGGACTGTGCAGACTTCTAATTGGAATGCAATTATCGATAGGGTCGAATCAGGGTCTCCCGTCTTGCAATTTGTTCGTTCCATCTGTTGACCCATTAGCGAAAGGGTCCCTGGCTGTGGGATACTGAAATTAAAAGCTGCCACGTCTTGGGAAACCCTGTCACACCTAAGAGCTCCAAGGTGGGTGTAGCTGAACCTCCTTGGTGGGTAGATGGGCACAGAAACTCCCTACCTGCCGGCGGCTAGTTCATCTCCAGGGACGGGTAGTGTTGCTGTGTTGAGAAGGATTCTGAGGATCAAGAGTTGAGCACCCCAACTGGTTAGAATGCTGATCGGGACACGGGCCACCCCAGCTCTGGGTGGGCTCACCGGGGGGAGAGAGCACCGCTTGCGTGTTTCTGGTTGGGTGTCTGGGGATGTGTCTTTCGTAGGCGAGCCCAAGCTTCTGGGAGAAGGGCGCTAAATAGAGGTTGGGTGGGGGGGTCGTTGCATGAGTTGGGTACGAATGACACATGTCATTGGTGCAGAGGACCTCAGGGGATGTCCTACAAAATCGGGGTTTAGGCAGGAGCTGGTGTAGTCTGGTATCAGAGCTGAGGCTTCCTGGGTGCAGGCAGTCCAGAAGGATAAGAAGGGCTCCCGCCACACCCCACAGCACGCGCGAGTCCCTTTGGGGTGTTCTTTTGGCGTCTCTGGTCCAGACACCTGCTCTGCCCTTGCTCATAGATGCCTCTGGATACAACCTCTCCTCTGTGTCATTTCAGTAGAAATGGCTATTATTTCCTTGCATGGCTGGCTTGGTGGAACGTTTGAGAACAAAAGGGTTTACATCGCAGCCAATACCAACAACCCCAAGCAGGCCATCTCTCACCTCTCAGCCTCCCCTGCAGCAGGATGGGGGGGAGCTGCTCCCCTGTGTGGTCAGCATGGCTGCAGCCTCAAGCCATCTGCCTTTGTCCTCCCCTCCCCCGCCTATCTGGCCCCTGAGATCAGCTCCAAATTATCCATCTTACTGTGGCAGAATAAAAGTGGGCCCAGATCCTTTGGTGCCCCTTCCCCTGAGAGGTCGGTGGGGCCCGTGTCCCCTGCTCTCGAATGCAGGGACTGGACCCTCGGACTTGATGCCAGTTCCGGGCCTGGCTATTAAGAGGATGGCGGGTTCCACCTTGGTCTCTGGGATCCCCCAGCTGCCGCGGAAGACATTGGACTCGAGTGCTAGAGGGTCCACGTGGAGAGACCCCTACCCCTGCCACCTCTAGACTGCAGGGAGGGCCCAGGCGTCCCCACCAGGTGTCAGGTGTGGGGTGGAGCCATCGAGGGTCCCAGACCAGTCCCACCATGAGCCAGATACCCCACGTGACCCCAGGCAGTCCCACGTGGAGCAGGATTGGCCGGCTCCACCCTGCGCTGATTGTTCCCTGCGATCCATGATGCACGGGATGGTGGCGGTTCCAAACCACCAGGCTCTGGCGCGGTTTGTTGAGCCCCAACAGCAGAGCCCGGCAGGGCGGAGGGAGCAGGCCGGCTGTGCCCAGCATCTCGGCCCCAAAGCTCCTCCAGGCCCCGGGTTGACCCCAGACACCTTTGAGTCCTGAGCAGAACAGAAAAGGGCCTTTTGCCCAGACGCCTCGAGGGCAGGTGTTCTGTCTGCTCGTTGGTGGCCGATCCTGCCACTTAGAGCAGAGCCCGGCTGGAGGGAGAGCTCAGTGAATGGATTCTGGTGGCGGGTTCCTTCCCTCGTGGGGCCCGTGGCCCTCCCCGTCTCACCTGTCAAGGGACCCGAGGCTGGGGGCTGAGTTAGTGTCGACATCCAGCCCCACCTGGGGATCAGGACCCTTGCGGCTGTCCTGTGCCCGGTGGCTCAGCCCTTCCCGTGTCCCCGCCAGTGTGTGACACTCTCCTGCCCGGCGCCCCGCCGGCCCCGCGGCCCTGGTACGCCGACCAGCACTTCACCCTGCCCCTGCTCTGCGCGCTGCTCGTCCTGCCGCTGTCCGCCCCGCGGGAGATCGCCTTCCAGAAACACACCAGGTACCTGCCCAGCGGACTGCGGCGCCTCCGGCCAGGGCCCCACCTTGGCAGGCGCTGGCGACGCCAGGGTTTCTGCCCGCCTGGGATCAGAGGAGCTGCGGGGTTGGCCCTCCCGTTTGCAGAAGGGGAGATCAGCAAAACATGACTCAAGTAACATGTCCGTGGTAGAAAACACAAGCAACGAAGGAAAATGACCTGTAGCAGCGCCACGTGCTGCTTGCGGTGGTTATTTCGTCGTTGCAGACCTCGGGCTCACGCACATGCGTGCATAGGCGCAGAGCCGGACAGAGGCCGAGAGAGACATGCACGCTTTTTTTTAAATCTTGGGATTTGAGGCTTTATGTATATTTTGAAAAAATAAAGCCTAACAACAGTATCTACCCGGGACTTTGACCCGCCTTTCCCTTGCCGTACACAAACAGTAGGCTTCCCAGCTCGGAAACGTGACGTAGAGACGGCAGGTGCAAACTAGGCCTGAGGCCCTGCAAAGGCTCTCGTGTCACCTGCAGGCGAGCCCAGGGTCCTCGTCCCCTCTGTGGTGTGGCTGAGCCCAGTGGTGTCCTAACTTAGCCAAACCCCGGGCGGCCACCTGGCCTTCGTGGGTGGGAAGAAAGTCACAGCTGCTGTCCCCGAGGGTGCAGGTGCCATTAGGGATTCAACACGTCTGACCTCTGGAACTGGGAGCAGCCCCATTGTACAGAGCGGGAGACTGAGGCTCGGGCGGGAGAGGGCTATGTGGGTGCCGTGCTGGCTCAGGCGGGGCTGGGGCTCAGACCTGCCGTCTGTGTGCTGACGGCCTGGGTCGTCCTGCCACAAGGCCTTCACGCTGTCCTTGTCTGTTGCAGTATCCTGGGCACCTTGGCTGCCTGCTACCTGGCCCTGGTCATCACCGTGCAGTACTACCTCCGGCCCCCGGGTCTGGTCCGCGAGCCCCGTCCCTCGCTGAGGTGAGTCTGCGGGAGTGGTGGCTTCTGGGGTGGGGTGGGGGTGCAGAGGGGAGCAGAGGAGGCTTGGAGGAGGCGTCCCCATGTGCGCGGCAGAGCCGGGCTCCACCCCATGTGACTCTTCCGTTCTCTGGGGCGATAAAGTGCAGGGAAGCTCCCTGTCCCTCTGCGGGACGGTGGGCAGTCGCTGCCCTGGTACAGGCCGAGGGGCGCGAGACCACTAAAGGCCAGCCGGGGCTGCTGCAGACGTGTCCCCACGGCGAGGCCAGCCCGGGCTGCTGCAGACGTGTCCCCACGGCGAGGCCAGCCCGGGCTGCTGCGAGTGTCCCCAGCGCAGGGCCAGCCGGGCTGCTGCAGACGCTGTCCCCACGCAGGCCAGCCCCTGCTGCAGACGTGTCCCACGCGAGGCCAGCCTAGGCAAGGGCAGAGAGCGTCTGGGGGTGTCGGGGAGGGGGTGGCCTTCAGAGCCACAGCGAGGACGTTTGTTTAGCTCTGGATGAGCCGGGGGACGCTGCAGTGTTTGACGCACAGCAGGGATGCGGCAGGACTTTGCTCTAAAGAGGGTCACTCTGGCTGTTTGTGTCCTCGGACAGAGGGACGGAGACCAGGTAGGAGGCCCTTCCAGGATCCAGGTCTCGGAGCAGGTGGTTTTACAGGAGGCGATGAGAAGTGAAGTGATCAGACTCGGGGTCGTTCTTTTTTTTTTTTGAGACATTCTCGCTCTGTTGCCTGTGCTAGAGTGCCATGGCGTCAGCCTAGCTCACAGCAACCTCTCAGACTCCTGGGCTCAAGCGATCCTCCTGCCTCAGCTTCCTGAGTAGCTGGGACTACAGGCACGCGCCACCATGCCCGGCTTATTTTTTCTATATATTTTTAGTTGGCCCATTACTTTCTTTATAGTAAAGAGACAGGGTCTCACCCTTGCTCAGGCTGGTTTCGAGCTCCTGACCTTGAGCAATCCGCCCGCCTCGGCCTCCCAGAGTGCTGGGATTACAGGTGTGAGCCACCGCGCCCGGCCAGAGCAGGTGTTTTTGCAGGAGGCGATGAGAAGTGAAGCGGTCAGACACGGTCATTCTTGAGGTCAGATTTGCTACTGGACGGGCCGGCTGGTGAACGCCTGATGTGAGCGGTCGCCCGGGGCCCCACGCTCGGTTTAACCCTCTGCTGTCGCCGTCTTAACACCCTTAGTTCTTGTCCACCGAGGGGCCCAGCACGTTCCCCTCGCACCAGGCCCCGCGAGCTCTGCGGCCTGAGCTCCGGGTGGGTTGCAGTCGGGGAGCGAGTGCGAGTGAGCCAAGGCGACCGGTGCTTGCTGGGCGGGTGGAGATGCCGCGTCGAGACGTCTCAGAGAGATGCCGAGCGCCTGGTCGGATCCGTGTGTCTGGGCTCGGGCAGAGAGGTCCGGGCTGGAGGGAGAAGTGTGGTCAACATGGGCCAGAGAAGGCGTCGAAGGCCGTGGGCGCTGCGGTGTTTGCTCTGGGCCGGTGGCACCCGGCACTGGGCGGGGAGGAGGAGGAGGAGACAGTAACAGAAGGGCGGTGAGTTAGGAGGCTGTATGAATGTCCTATTGTCGCTGGGACCAGTGACCACACACATCGTGGCTGTGAAAACATCAGAAATTTCCCTCTTGGTTCAGGAAGCCAAAAGTCTGAAATCTGAGTGTCAGCGGGGCCAGGCTCCCTCCCACGGCTCCCGGGTCGGGGGATCCTTCCCGCCTCTCCCAGCGTCTAGTGGCCACCAGCAGTCTGTGTCCCTTGGCTTGCAGATGCGTCACTGCAGTCTCTGCCTCCGTCTTCACGTGGTGTTTGTGTGTCTGTGTCCTTGTCCTGTAAGGCCACCGGTCCCTGGATTCAAGCCCACCCTGATCCAGTACGACCTCCCCTTAATTTAACTAATCATATCCACAAAACTTGTCCAGGGAAGCTGGGGACCAGGTGGGGGTCCCCAAGAGAGCCTTCCCTGAAGGTTCTGCCCGTGCACATCTCCGTCCTCTTAGGTGGCTCGGATGGGGGTCAAACCATCCGTGTGCTCTTGGGGATCTGTCGGGCAGACGCCACCGGTGCCGAGCCGCCTTCGACAGGCAGCCTCGGGGGAAGCTGGGAATTCCTTCTGCCCACAGGGGGAATGTCGGGTTGCCAAATGTCAGCAAAGACGTATTTAGAAAGTGCAGCTTTTAACAAGCATCCTTTTTCCATTCCCCAAAAACACAGTCACGGACACGGTCATTAAAAACATATCTTGCGGCCATACCCGGGCAGGTTTTCCTGGTGTCACTTGAAATGCATCCTCTCCCGTTGAAGGTGGTTTTGCATCTGACTGTCTGTTAATAAACACCTGTTCCTGTCTATTTTGCAGCCCTTCCTCCTGGACCTCTGCGTTTAGCGTCTTCCCCACCATCTGCTTCGGATTCCAGGTAACTTCAGCATCTGTGCCGAAGACCGTGGCATTTTCGGAGGCTGTGGCTGACTCTCTGCCCCCTCGGGAGAGCTCGGCCTCCCTGTCGGGGGGGGACGTCTGGGGGCCGTTCTGGGATGCGACACCAGAGGGCCGTGTTCTGGAGACGGCGTGGTGGCTGGTGTCCCCTGGGCTCGGAGGCGTGAATCGCCACTGAACTTGGGAGTCAAACCCTCCCCCCACCCCGCCCGCCTGCCAGCCAGCAGCACCACCACGTTTGTGGGGTCTCTGGTAGACAGTGGGGATCCTGGAAGCTGTGTCCCCTCCTCTGCAGAGTCCCCCACAGGACTGTCACCATGCCTGGGGACCTGGAGCTGCCCACTTGGCTCTGCAGAACACTGTTACGTGGGTAGATTCTGTCCCCGAGCCTTGGAAGGGACAGCCCCTGCCTTGTCAGGCTTACTGCCTGGAGGGGCTGAGTGGCAGGGGACAGGGACAGGGATAGGACATGCAGAATTGTGTCTAGACTGTCACGAGGGTGGGGACGGGCCTCTGCACATGGAATGAGGTGGAAGGGCAGGTTCAGAGGTGCCGGCAAAGGTGGTGGCACCTGGGAGGCCTCGAAGGACACATGCAAGGTGGCCAGGAGCTGGGGAGGGTGTGCCAGGTTGAGAGGACGGCACAGGCGAACCGATGAGGGGGAAAGGTCCCAGGGACCTTTGGGGACCTGCAGAGGCTCGATGTGGGCAGGTGTCACAGGCGGGGAGGGGAGGCGGAGTGCCTGGGCCCAGCTCCCTGCGTCCTAGCCCTTATAGCACAGATGGCAGCAGACACGGTTCTGTCATTTGTCACTTATTTTAAGGAGTATTTGCCTCTACTTCTTAAAAACAAAAAACCCCCCCAAAAACAGCCACCCACTGCCACCACCACCAGCACCAACAAAACGGCCACCAAGTAAGATCAAGTCCCCGGGGACATTAGTCCGGGATTCACAACAGTGTCCCGGCTCTGCAGCCCGGGAGTCGTTCTCTTCCCGTCCCTGTTCAGCAGCCAGCTGCTCCTGCTCTCCCTCTTCTTGTGTGTGCTCTGAGAAGCCTTTTGAGAAGGAAAAAAACCCCGAACTGTTTCCATTTCTCTCCCCTGCCAACGGCTGAGCGGGCGGCCCGCACGGTTCTCACGTTGCTGCCTGCACGCCCAATATTTTGAAAGATCCGAGGAGCTGATTTTGCTGTCAACCGTTTGTCTGGATCGAGTTGAACGGTCCCTCCCTCTGCCCAAGCACCATCTGCTGCGGCAGACTCGCCCCGGGGCCGCGTCCCAGATGCCCGCGGGGGCCGGGGGCCCCCTCACCTTCGCCTCCCGCAGCCTGGGCGACTCGCCTAGCAACCGGCTGCGGTTTCCAGGGACACGGGATGCCGAGGCTGCGGAGATGCGCTGGGAGGGACGAGGATGGGCGGTATGGGCGGGGGCGCAGGCTGGAGCGGGCGTGACCGGCGGGGGCTGCCAGACCTGGCTCTGGGACACTTGGGGGTCTGGGGCAAGGGGGGCATATAGATGAAGGTGGCAGGAAACGGAGCAAGTCTGAAGGGGCTTCGAGGAAGGAGAGGGTCACCTGCTGTCATCAGGAAGTCTCGCACGCCACCCTCCCCCAAACACAGGCACGTTTGGTGATGGGGGGCAGCCCCCAGCCTGTGCGGCGCCGGCGAGAGGGGCCTCGGAGGGGTGGGGGTGGGGGTGGGGTCCACTCCTGCCCCGTGCGACCTCATGGGGCTTCTGGTTGTGGCTTTTAAGCGGAGACGGAGTCCACCTCCCATCCGATTCGCCTCCCCAGGTGTGTGCTGCGAAGGCTTGTTGTGTATGCAGAGTCGTGCAGCCGTCACCGCAGGCAATGCCAGAGCCTTCGCCCCAAACACGCCCTCCCCGGCAGCAGCCACGCCCGTTCTCCACTCCCAGCCCGGGGCCACGCGTCTGCTTCCGTCTCTGTGGACACCATAGGAGCCCGTCCGTGTCGTAGCGTGTCCCAGCACGCCGTTGCTTGTGACGGCTGAGTGGCGTTCCACCGAGTGGACACGCTACGTCCCGAGAATTGTTTGCCCTTCCATGGACGCTTTAGTCGTCCCGCTTTTTGGGGATTGTCCTCTTCCCGGTCTCTTCCCATCACCAGGTGACGAGAGAGCCTGCAGCCACTGCCACTGCCTCCTAGGTGCCCCGGCCTTGGGGCCCTGCTCTGTGTCCCTTTGTAAAACCAGCGGAAACCCAACTCGGGAGTCGCAGGGAAACGGGACAAAGGGAGGACTCCCTTCCCCTGGTCCCCGGGAAGTGGGGCCGGGCTGCTGGTGTCTGTCCAGGAGCAGGGAAGGGGGGTGCTGCTGAGGGCACCTCAGGGGCGTTGGGCCCCCACCGTCTGGCTGGGTTCGCCTGTAGCCGGGGGGGTCCCTGGGCCAGGGAAGCCCCAGGGCAGAAGCAGGGTGCGCCTCGGCCTCAGGCCAGTGGGTCAGGGAGGAGCGAGCCCGTCTGGGCTGGACCCTGCAAGGACGAGGCAGGAGGGCCACCCCACCCTCAGAGCGTGTGCTTCGTGGGTAGGGGCCTTGTTTACGTGGCCGCCCTGACTCGCGCAGAACGGGACTGGTGAGATTTGAGTGCCCAGAGCTGGGGTTGGGTGCAGGCGGCCGTGGGATGGCTGGGTGGGTGGCCCTCAGCCTTCCTGCAGCTGTGTGGCGGGCTCTGCGCCTGGCCCGCACTCGGAGCCCTGAGCAAGGCAGGTGTGGTCCTTGCCATTGTGTGGCTGGTACATGCAGAGCAGACACACCCACCCCTGCTCACGGGGAGTATGCGGTACCGTACCACACGACGGGAAATTGGCCCGGCCAGGAATAGTCCTGAAGCACAGGTAGGAGCTGGCCGGACTAGGGGAGCGCCCCAGCCAGAGGGGATAGCACAGGCAAAGGCCCTGAGGCAGCCAGCAGAGACCCGGGATGTCTGAGCCCAGTGGGCGGGGGCACTATCAGGTTGGGTTTTGACCAGGAGCGCGAGTGTGGCCGTGTTGGTGGAAGCCGTGTCCCGGGAGCCTGGGAAGAGCCCAGGACCCGCATGTGTGTCTGGGCACAGCAGTGCCTTTCAGCCTGGCTCTGCGTCCCCTCGGCTGCTTGTAAAACGCCAGTGCCTGGGACCAGACAGATGAAGCTGTGTCGCAGGTGTGCTCCTGGCACTGGCTGCCTGCGTCTTACCGCCGCAGGGCACCTTGCACGCAAAGCACGTGGGCCGTGAGCACGTGTGCTCTGTGTGATGTGGTCACTCCCCGACTTGGAAACCGCCCCGTGACCTTTCCTGCCCCCACCCAAACCACCGCTCTGCCTTCTGTCACCGCAGAGCTGGTTCTTCACTGGTGATTGTGCCCCCAGGGGACGCTTGGCCATGTCTGGAGACAGTTTGGGTGTCATGGCTAGGCAGGGGGAGGCTGCTACAGGCCACCCTGCAACTCATGGGGCGGCCCCACGCCAGGCCCCTCCTACCGCCAGGCCCCTCCTACCGCCAGGCCCCTCCTACCGCCAGGCCCCTCCTACCGCCAGGCCCCTCCTACCGCCAGGCCTCCCAACCGCAGGCCTCCCACCCCAGGTCAACCCAGCCCTCCAACCCAGCTCCCAACAGGCTCCCAACCCAGGCCCCTCCCACGCAGGCTCCCACCCCGGCCCTCCCAAACCGAGCCTCCCCAACCCAAACCGTCACCAACATCAGCAACCGTGAACTGAGAAACCTTAGCCTAGATCTGTCTTTGGACTTGAGCTTCACATCAGTGGAAGCGGTCTCTGCCATCTAACTTCTTTTGCTTGACCGTGCACCTGCGAGCTGCTTCCGAGTCGGGGTGCGAGGCACCTTTGTGCTTTTTCAGAGCCGCGTCGTATTCCACAGGCAGCACCCTGCACTTTACTCGTGCCTCCCGCTCTTGGTGGCCACGTGGGGCGGTCCCCATCTTTCGAAGCTGTCCCGGGTGAGTCTCGGGACCCCCCTGAGCCAGGCCCTGTCTTCCAGTGCCACGAGGCCGCCGTCTCCGTCTTCTGCAGCACGCGCCCCCGCAGCCTGTCCCGCTGGGCGCTGCTGTCCGCGCTGTCCCTGCTGGCCTGCTGCCTCGTCTACTCACTCACTGGTAAGGCCTCCTGGGGGGCCCTCGGGTGGGTGGGGGCAGCCGTAGAAACGGGAACAACCACGGGTGTTTCCAGAGAGCTTACTACGTGCTGGGCGCGATGCTGAGTGATTTGAGCGCCTACATGTGAATGATCCTTAGCTCCCCGCAGGAAAAGCCCCATTTTACAGACAGGGAAACTGAGGTTCCGAGGGCTTCCGGGGCTTGCCCAAGGTCTTAACTAGATGTGCAAAGCTGGGACCCGAACTCTGGCTTGGCTGTCTCCAAAGCCCCTGCCCTTACACCCCGCACCACCCTCCACCCACGCTGTTCAACACACAGCAGGAGTGATGGTCTGTAGCTTCATATCTGGGCGCAGTGGTTTATAAAATGCTTGAGGACATGATTTAGGGGCTCACGACTCTGTGTGGTAAGCAGAGGGTCTTCATGGGTGATGAATGTGTGGCTCAGAGAGGGGTTGTGACATGCCCAAGGTCACACAGCACATCCAACGCTCAGACCCAGGGCTCGGGCATGGTTGGCTTCTGGCCGGCCACTCTGGTCTAGTCCTTTTTAGCCACTATCGGGGCTCTGATTCAGGAAGCCCCTGGTCTGCAGCGAATCTGTCCGGCAGCCTCCGACTCCTGTGTGCTGTGGTTTGAATCTCTGTCCCCTTCAAAACTCGAGTTGAAACTTAACCCCCAGTGTGGCGGTATTGAGATGTAGGGCTTATAAGAGAAGGGATTGGGTCATGGGCCCTCTACCCTCATAAATGGATTAATCCATTTGTGGATTAATGGGTTAATGGGTTATGGACATGGGGCTGGTGGCTTTTATAGAGCGGGGAAGAGAGATCTGAACATGCTTGGTGCCGTTGCCATGTGACACCCGGCACCACCCCCGGGCTCTGCAGAGAGTCCCCGCCGGCAAGAAGGCTCTCGCCAGGTGCAGCCCCTTGACCTCGGACTTCTCAGCCTCCAGAACCGTCAAAAGATAAACTCCTTGTCTTTGTAAATTACCCAGTTTCAAGTTTTCTGTTGTAAGCAACAGAAAACGGACTAAGACACTGTGACCCCAAGACGCTGGGTGACCGTCCCTAGCAGCGGAGGTCCCACCGGTCTGCAGCCCTGGGGTCAGAGGGCCGTGACGCGATGATGTCATGTCACCTCCAGACGGCCCGAGTACCAGGTCCTGGGACCTGTTAGAAGGGCTCAGAGAGAAGCCTGCACGGCCAGAGGTGGGAGTCTCAGGACAAAGCAGGTGACACGGGGTGACAGAGGCAGCATGGTGTCAGGGAGAGGGGACTGGCACTCTGGTCCTGGTTCTGCCATTACTAGCTCTGTGATTCTGGGCCATCGTTGACGCCCTGGGCCTTGGTTTTCCCCACCTGGAAAATGGGTGCCCGGCCAGGTGCTTGCTGGAGTGGGGTGGGCGGGGCACGGGAGGCCAGTTTGGGTTTTGCAAAGGGCTCATGCTCCCCGTCAGCACACGCTCTGTGAACAGGCTCCTCGCGCCAGCCCTGCTCGAGACTCGAAAGGAGTGTGAGTGGCAGATTTCTCTGCATGAGTTTTGAGTTGATGGGACAGAGTCACGTGTCTACTTAGGACAGGAAAGTCTTTGGATAACCCTTCCGGAACCTTCTTTTTTTTTTTTTTTTTTTGAGACAGAGTCTCACTGTGTTGCCCAGGCTAGAGTGAGTGCCATGGCGTCAGCCTAGCTCACAGCAACCTCAGACTCCTGGGCTCAAGTGATCCTCCTGCCTCAGCCTCCCGAGTAGCTGGGACTACAGGCATGCGCCACCATGCCCGGCTAATTTTTTCTATATATATATTTTTAGGTGGTCAATTAATTTCTTTCTGTTTTTAGTAGAGATGGGGTCTCGCTCTTGCTCAGGCTGGTTTCAAACTCAGGACCTTGATCGATCCGCCCGCCTCGGCCTCCCAGAGTGCTGGCTCCCCAGGAGAACCTTTCCTGAGGGAACCCTGTCCCTCTGTTGGCATTTCTCTAATCTTCGTCCCCCGGCTTCCGTCCCCCACCTCCAGGGGCTTACGGCTTCCTGACCTTCGGGACGGAAGTCTCTGCTGACATCTTGATGTCCTACCCCGGCAATGACGTGGTCATTGTCATCGCCCGGGTCCTCTTCGCTGTGTCCGTCGTGACCGTCTACCCCATCGTGCTCTTCCTGGGGAGGTGAGGCCGGGCTCACAGACATGTGTCGTGGGTTAGCGTGTGCCGGGCATGTGTTGGCGCACGTCATGGGACTCTGCGTCATCTGCGTTGTATAGAGGAGACAATGGGCACAGAGGATTTAGGTCGTTTCCCCAAAGTCACTCAGAGCGTTGCTCGAGCCTGTGCCCCATTGGCTGCCTGCAGGTGGCAGAGACCCTGAGGTTGGCCGGGTCCCCCGGGGGGTGGGCACGTGGGTGTGGAGCAGGAGCCCTGCCGGGGGTGGGGGACTCGGGCAGGATGGGGGCGCCCGGCGCCGGCAGGTGCAAGTGGGCACAGGTGCGTGTGGTGGGCGTGGCCTCCAGGTCGGTGATGCAGGACTTGTGGAGGAGGAGCTGCCGGGGGGCGTGGTGGCCCAGGGCGCTGGCCGACCCCTCGGGGCCGTGGGTCCGGATGCCGCTGACCGTGCTGTGGGTCGGCGTGACGCTCGCCACGGCCCTGTTTGTGCCCGACCTCAGCGAGATCGTCAGCATCACCGGTGGCCTCAGCTCCTTCTTCATCTTCATCTTTCCAGGTGAGTCGCCCACCTTCCTGCCCGCTGCCCCCGCCCCTCTCACTCGTGTGGGGACCCCTGCGCTGGAGGTCGAGGTTCTGGAAGGTGGGAGCCCCACGTGGGTAGGATTAGAGCTCCTGCCAGGCGTACCTTTGTCATCCCATCGCACAGATGAGCAGACTGAGGCCCAGAAGCCCCCGGGGGGGGGCACACGGGGGGGGGCACAGGTAGTGTGTATCGGGGCTGGGGGTCAACGCCGTACTTTGATTCCTACAGCTTTGCCTTCTGCTGCAGGATATTGTTTTATTTAAAAAAAAAAATAATTGTGTGCATGAAAGTCACACGGCCCAAGATGCAAAAGGCACACTGGGAAGCCCGCCCCCATCCTGTGTCCAGGAGCTGGGGGCAAACTCCCCGTGGCTGCTGCCACATGCCACCTTCCCGCTGTGACTGAGCAGCGGCGGGAAGTTCTCATCACAAGGGCTGGCCTTGGCCCAGACGGGAAGCCTCGCGGCCGAGGCCGGAGGAGCGTTGCAGGGACCCTCAAGTGCCCAGGCCCTCAGGGGTGGGGCGTTCCGGGCTCCACGCACGGTGGGTGCCTGGCACACAGCAGGCCCTCGGCACACAGTGGGCGCACAGCACACAGTGGGCGCACAGCACACGGCGGCTTCCGTCAGTGTGTGCCGTGAGTGGACCCGAGATTCTGCTGTGGGTGCACCCACGTCCGACAGACCTTGAACTTGGGGACTCTTAGCCCGGTGTCCCGACACCCCTACCCTGCCCCATAGCAGACGGGCGAGAAGCGGGTGCCCGGTGGGGAAACGCGCAGGAAGGGCACGTAGAGTTCGGTTTCCCCCTAACTCAGACGGGACGATGAAACCTGACTCGGGCGGCGATAGCTTCCTCAGCAGCCTGGCACACGGTGGAGGGATTGGGGGGCACAGAGAAACTTCAGTTATCGGGGAGACTGACTCGCGTGGGGTGTGATCGGCGGGCTCTGGGTGGGCGAGTTAGGGATCGGGGCTGGCCTGATGTGGGGACTAGAGCGTGTGACCCGCCTGTAGGACGGGGCTCCGCTGGGAGTAGGGGGGAGGTGTGGAGGGGCCGGGCGGCCCCCCACTCTGCCCTGGCTCTGGGGGCTTCCCTGGTGAGGTGAGGGTGCGGCACACGGCTCCTCTCCCGTGCCCTGGATCTGGGCTGCTGTATCCAGTCTGGGGCCGTGTCCCGGCGGCGCCTTTTGGCTCCGGCCACATCTGCGCTGGAAAGCCGGGCAAGGACTGGTTTGGGACCCCACAGGACTCTGGGGGTGCTTGAGGCAGGGCTGCCTGGCTTCGAACCCCTTCTGAACCACTTTTTTTATTTTTTATTTTTTTTTGAGACAGAGTCTCACTCTGTTGCCCGGGCTAGAGTGCCGTGGTGTCAGCCTAGCTCACAGCAACCTCCAACTCCTGGGCTCAAGCGATCCTCTTGCCTCAGCCTCCCGAGTAGCTGGGACTGCAGGCATGTGATACCATGCCTGGCTCATTTTTTCTATATATTTTTACTTGTCCAATTAATTTATTTCTATTTTTAGTAGAGATGGGGTCTTGCTCTTGCTCAGGCTGGTCTCGAACTCCTGACCTTGAGCTATCCTCCTGCCTCAGCCTCCCAGAGAGCTAGGATTACAGGCCTGAACCGTTTTTAAAAAGGGGGAAAAGAGAGGAAACTGAAACAGTGGCAGCTACTACTTGCTGAGCATTTCCTCGAGTGGGGCTCCGATCCTTGCCCTCTCCTCGCAGTCCCTGGCCACCCGGAGGCTGAGGCTGGGAGGTCACAATGCTGCCACCCCTTTGGCCAGGTGGTAGGGGGGCGTTGAGCTGGGACCCCAGCCCCCATCTTTGCAACTCCAGAGTCTCACCCAGCGCCCCAAGCTGCCTCTCCAGGGGTATGAAGCCCGCGGGGCCGCCATTGGGCAGAGCCTTGCTGCCCTCCCGGACCCTGGGGACAGCTCTCGGGGGCTCTCGTTGCTTTTGGGCTTGATAAGAAAGATCTGAGGGTGACTCTGTGTGTCCTTTGCAGGTTTGTGCCTCATCTGTGCAATGGGCGTCGAGCCCGTGGGACCGAGAACCAAGTAAGTGTCCCCGAGATGGGGGTGGCAACCTGGGTGTGCCCAGGGGCCGGAGTGAGGGGCTCCTGGGGACTGTGGAGGACATCCTGTTGCCCATCCTCCTCCTCCTCCTCCTCCTGTACAGGAGAAACCCGCAGGCCCCGGGGAGGGGTCTTGTTGTCCCGTGGTGCGAGGGGTCTGAGCCAGGACAGGAGCCCAGGCCAGTGACACCCAGCCCTGTGACGGCCTTCCCTTCCGCTCTGAGGGTCTGTGGTTGGGACTTCACGTGGCTTCGGGGTCTTCTCGGCCTCTGGAGGCCCCGGTGGTGTGTCCCCAGCCCCCTTGCCACCTGGCTCGGACCCAGGCAGGATCGGGGGGTGCAGGCTGGCCCTGAGTAACAGAGACCCCGTGGCAGGGGGGGGGGCGTGTGTCCTGTCGTCACGGCAGCAGGTCCTTGTTGGGTGGCTCCTCTGCGCCAGGCCCCTCCACACGCTCACCTCCCTGCCATATTGGGACGTCTTTTTCCTACGGCCGGGGGTGGCTGGGGGTGGTGGGGGGTGGCGGGAGGCTGGCGAGGACGGAGCTGGCCTCCACCCCGGCCCTCGGGAGCCGAGCCCAGGCTTGCCCGCTCCCCGGCACACGCCGCTGGTGGGCGGGAGAATTTGGATCCTCCGCTTACTTGGCCAACGTTGATCAGGGCGCCGCCTCTGGGCTGGCCTGTGCGTTGGGCGTGACTGAGACCTCGTCGTTTGTCACTGAGCGCCTCTGTCTGACCCCACCGAAAAGGAGAACGCCTGTGCCAATGTTGTGACATACCTCAGCAAGTCCCCGGGGCCTCCGAGAGTCCGTGTGACTCTTATCCCCATGCTACAGATGTGACCACTGAGGCCGGGGACTAAAGAGATGCCGTATCAGTTTTCTAGGGCCACTGTAGCAAGTGACCACAAACCGTAGGGGGTGAGGACGGGGTTGAATATTTTCTCACCGTTCTGAGGCCAGAAGTCTGCGGTTAAGACGCCAGCAGGGCCGGGCTCTCTGAAGGCCTTTCCGGCTTCCGAGGGCTGCGGGCTGCGTGCTCCCTGGCTGTGGCCACGCCACTCCAGGCTCCGCCCGCGTCCCACTCTGCCCTCCTCCGGCGCGTGTCTGATCTCCCTCTGCCGGTCCCTGGGTGTAGGGTGCCTCCGCCGAATCCCAGGTGACCAGCACCTCTGAAGACCTTTGACTTAACTACATCTGCAGAGGTCCGGTTTCCAAATAAGCTCACGGTTCCAGGTGGACGTGGATTTTGGGGGCCGCCACTCGGCCCTCCACAGATGCGCGCAGTGACAGCAGCATGGACTCGGGTCCCAGCTGCAGGCCTGTGCCGCAGACGGCCCCGGCCCCCAGCCCGTCGGGTCCGGGATTGCCCAGTCCACAGGTGCAGGCTGGGCGTAGTCCCCTGCTGGAGCAGGGGCCGTTTTTCTGGATGTCCCTAAACCTGACTTGCGCTTAGAGCCAGCTCCCCAAATGACTGGCAGCCCCGCAGGCGGCTCTTGCCCTGCAGCACTCGTCAGAGTCTTCCTGCTTTTCTTTTGTCCCTTGATCCAAGCTCACGGCAGCTTTCCGGATGAGCTTCCCGGATGCTTTCCTTTCTAAAACCGCGTCAGTCCTCCTGATCCATGCAGGCTGCCAGGGAGCGTGGCCCAGGGGCACGCTGGCGGCCTCGTGTCCCCTGAGATGAACGGATGTTTGCGGCTCTAAGGCCGAGATGCTGCTCGGCTGGAAACGCTCCTTCCCTGGCGACGATCCCCTGGCCCTGGTGGACGGCCCTGCCGTTCGAGGGAGTCTCGAGCCGTCTCCGGTGACATCAGGAAGCTCACACATGTGGCCCTGGTGGCCACCAACCCCGGCCACCTTTGCCTCTTCTGTCCTCGTCCCCAGCCTCCGCCGCCCCTGTGTTGGGTGCCCAGAGCTGCCGCCGCCTCTACTTTGGGGACGCCGAGGAGCAGGGAGGCAGGGACGCTGGGATAGCGTCTCCTTCCCGCCGTTTCTTTCATTTGACAAAATGTTGTTGGGTCAGAACGAGGCTGTGAAACGGCAGGTCGGGGAGAGGGCTTTTGAAAACCGCCTGGCACAGGGAAAGTCTGATCATTTTCCAAATCGGTGACCCGGTGGGCTTCCGATGATGAGATGAGGCCGCGCTCGCCGCCCCCGCACGGAACCGCAGGGCGGCGTGCTGACGCGGGCTGTTGGCTCGGCAGGTGCTGCCTGGAGGCCTGGGGCGCGCTCTGCGTGCTGCTCGGCACCTTCATCTTCGGCCAGAGCACGGCGGCCGCGCTCTCCGGGCGGCTCTGATGGGCGTCCTCGCCGGGCAGGAGCGGCCCCCGCGGCGCGAGTGCTCTCCGCCCTGAAGATGCCGGAGGAACGACGCCTCCCGCCGTCTCGGGCTGCTCGCTCGGGCTCAGCTCGGAGGGTTTCTTTTGCAAACGTGCGGAAGGGACGGAATCGGCTCCTGCGGCCACTGTAACACGTTCCCCCACACAGGTGGCTTCGTACAACAGAAACGCGTGGCCTCGCCGTGCCGGAGGCCCAGTCTGCAGCCACCAAGGCATTGAC